GGGGGCGGGGGAGAGGGCTAGAAATATCTCATGCGAGTCATGCGGAGCAATAAAAAAACGTGTTTTCGATTAACGTGAATTAACGGCGCTCCTTAACTCCCGATTAGCTTTCCATTAAAGATGTTCTTTATCAGCGTATTATTATATATACTATTCATAGCATATACATCTAGTATGTTAATGAAAATACGAGGTCGAATTGATGGAGATGTTAACGTGTCCAGCGACGCAGCAATGTCGCGACGATAAATATAATAACGTTAAATATATNAAGATCACATGAATTGTGCAAATTGACGTTCTTCGGTATTAATGCATTAAACATTACGGTGCAATTTAAAATAAATTGAGTAACCGCACGAAAATCACGTTTATTCTTTATTCGTTCACACGCATTATTAATACGCTGTATTAATTCAGCTCGAGCTATTAGCTTTCCTTTCGTGTATTAAACTTATAATCTTTATATTTTCTTTCTTTATATTTTCCATTTTTAATTAAAAATATCTCAAAAAATTGTACTGTCGTTTATAAGCTTTAAATATTTATCAATGGATAACCGTTTCGAATTGGATCCATATTTGCAGGAAATTGTCTACTTCAGTTTAGATTGCAAAACATGCTCTTTAAATTGGTATCTCTGTATAATGTTACGTTAATGAAGTTACTATGTCAAATTTTGATGGAGAATACGACGTTTCCGATGGAGAAGATCGACACTCTGAGCGCGGCACGACGCGGCGCGAAATGCAGCGACTGTTCAATGACGCGCATGTAAATAATGCGTAAGTTCGTTCGCATGTAGTTTTCTCCTTGATGTCCGCCGACACCAACGGGGCTCGTCGATTGGAACAATTTCAGAAATAAGGACGCATAGTTCATTTCATCACCGCGACCGATCGCGAATATCAATGAGCGAAGCGTGACACGTGCGAAACGCGTTCCCCTCCACTCCGGAATTCGCTTCTCCTCGCCGGAAAGGCCGAGGAAACCCGTTGACCGCCGTTGAGTTGTCACTTTTCAACGTTCACTCGAACCCTCGAATAATCTGTCAATTTGTTCAAACATCTCAACTCCAGCAAACACCAACCAACAGTAACATACACAAAAATATCATAATTTCCCACTCGACGACGTGAATTATGGTAAAAAATTGTGCGTTAAATTTAACACATTTCACATGTCCAAAACGGCCCGCAAAAGTTTTCATATTAATTTAACACAATGCGAATATGTTGAAGAATAACAAAAATATTATGCGAGAAATGAACACATGTTAAAAATTTAAAATAAAAAATGTTAATACGGACCGATTTTAACACAGGTACAAAATGTGTTTTTACTGTACCGTTATGTACAACGCACGTTATATTGCACTTACGATGTTGAGCGAGAAATTATAACACTAGTGTGTAACGTTACTGTTAGTTGGTGTTTATTGGGACGAGAGGACTCCACGATTAGGCCGTTCGTTCGCACTTCGCGCACAGTAAAGAATTTTATGTTAAAGACGGCCCGCTGAAAATCTTGACGAGATGAATATGTTCAAAAGTGAGAAATGTTAACAAAATGAACATGTTAATTTAACATTGTATTTTTGTGCTATTGAACACACTCCTCATGTTAAGATAACATCAAAGAAACATCAAATTTCAGCGGGCCGTTCTCAACACAAAATCTTTTACTTAAGCTATGGGCTCCTTTGCCGAGGAGGAACCAGTCCCGCCGCGTCTTCTGAGGGCGATCGACTCCGAAGATAGAATCCATGAGAGAGACGAGGTTCTGCGGAACCGGGGGACACCCCGAGTCGCGGAATACCGCGCGGTAACGCGATCTCGTCGGCGTCCCCGGGGTAATTACGGGGGCCTCGCTGATTGACCGATTAACGATTTGCACGATCTTAATGCGATCTTAATGCGGTCCTGATGCGAGACAGCTGAGACCGTGCCGCAGTTACTCGTCGCCGAGCCTCCCGACGCTCGCCGTGTCTCACCGTTGATCTGAATACGTTCCAGCTTGGCCTTCTCGATCTTCTCGATCTCTTCGCGGCCCTCGATGTGGTAGAAGATGGATGCGCCCAACAGCAGGTAAGTAAGGAACAGCATCAGCAGGACCAGCCATTGTTTCTTGGACATCCTCGGCCTCGTGAGGGGGCTGCGGGTAACCCGGTGGCGGCGGGCAATCCGGACTGTGGGAGCGATTCCGCGATTCGACGGGCGGTCAAGTGATCATGATATATCCCTTCGTCAGGAACACCTGCCGGTCCTGTTCATCGCCGCCCTCTCTCCTGCGCGCGGATCGAGCCGGCCTGCACTCGGCTCGCTCGCCACAAGCGTACTAAGTCTCTCCCGTTGCGCGCCTCCCTTCGGCGCTTCCTTACGATTGCCGACGGCAATCGCGTCGATGGCGTGGTGACAAGCGACTCACGAGGACGATGTTATCACCGGTATCGATATCGTCGATTCGTCACGAGTCTCTTTCGCCGGCGACGACGCCGCGAGATACCGCGTGCTGATCTAGGTGTTGCTGCTGCTGTCGGCCGGCCGCCATCGCGGATCACGGACGGTCGTTCTCCCCGGTGATGACGGTATCAGGTGCCCGAGCTCTGCAAACAGAAAATCGCTGCGGATCGGTGCTTTCGGATTTGCCCGGCCAACACGCGCGATGATGATCGATGAGGGCGGGGGCGCGGAGAGCGGCGGCGCGGCTCGAATGTCGCGCGCTGTCGATTCCTTTTTGATTTAATTAACAGCTACGTCACGAGCGTCGAAATGTCAAACAGAAGCTCTGCGACGAGCCGTCGAGCATTGACGGATGCACGGAGTAAAAATAGTCTCAAATCGATGATAGATATTCTCGTGTTTAAGCAAGGGTATTATAATTGTTCTCAGGTGATTTTTCGTCTCGAATCACGAGTTCTGCATCAATACAAATTCAATCGAATCCAGACGAAGTCTTCTAAGAAGATTGCAGTATTCTCGCTAGTAGATGAAAGTACACGGGAGAATTTATCTTAAATTAAGAATAGATATTCTCGCACATTCATACAGCAAAATCTCCAAGGATCTCCTAAAGATGCCCACAGGACGTCCGTCGGATATCGTACGCTGTATGGATATAAGCAAGAATTAGAAGCATTAATAATTCTATGCAGCCAACACGACATCCGTGGAGAGAAATTAGTATTTCGCCGGCAAAATATTCAAGTATAGTATTCCCCAAATCTTTTTATTCAAATTGAATGAATAATTGAATGAATAATTGCTGTAACGAGAAGATTATAATCTTGGAAGATTTTTCGAATTTGTATTCATGGGAATATATTACTTGTCCTCAATTCAAGATAAAAAATCTCCGGAGAATATTATAATATTCTTGCTTGTATATGAGGATATCTGATTTTTAAGGCTTATTTTTTCCGGCGTATCTATTCTCGATTTAAGACTAATTTTTTTCTGCGCAATACCTTCCTGCACTCCGCAGCAGACACGTCGTCGCATCTGCGAGGATCCGGGTATGTTTGTTCGATCGATCAATCAGGCCGGAGGTTACGGAACGGATTCGACGGTTCATCGAACGAAACAGTCGGTGAACTTTCCTGCTCGGTTGATCCACGGCTAAGAAACCGTCTCCGTGCACTTTCGAGCTACCGTAAGCGAGTCTCCCTCGACGAGTCGAGTTTCCAGTGGTTACGCAATGCGCTCGTCCGCCACCGGTGAACGCCATATATCCTGCCGACCGATGCGAAGCGATCGATTTTCGCGCGAGGATGATTTACGACACGGAGAAACGACGCGCGTTGCGTCCGCGGCATTGCGCGCGAATTCGCATAAATTTGCGCGTCGCGCGAGTTCCGAGGACGAGGAGCAACTCTGGGAGGGTCGCGGAGGATCCGTGACGGACCTTCGGCGAGCTTACACCGAGAGAAATGCCGTTAAAATTGCGGTTATTTTTTGCCGCTGCTATTTTTTCTTTTCTTCCGCACTGAAAGGAAAAATATCTAAGACATAAAACCTATTCATTCGGTGGGTACTAATGACATGTTTACTTAAGAGTTGCAGGATTTCTATATCAAGTAAAATATTTACGCTAACTAACAGCTGGAGATACGCCAATCTTGAAACTTTTAGTTTCAAGAATTTCAGAAATTATTATTCATTTTTAAATATTTCTTTATCTCAGCACAGTTTTTTTATCCTGAAAACAATAACGGCAATATGCATGCAAGGTTATTATCACTGACAAGGTATTAGAGAAACAGTTGTCCTCCCGACTACAATTCTTTCGCTGTGACGGGGTTACAGTTACAAATACCGAGCACTTTTTTGTCCAGTGTAATTCGATCGATCACGCTAGTATGGATCATCGCCTCCAATTGATGAGACTAATTTGCGAACGCGTCTCGTGTGTGGACATTTCCTTCGTTCGCGGAAACGGCACGCATGTAGCGTGCCGGTCTCATCGGTGAAACACGGGGTGGAGTCTGTACGTGGTTAAAAGGTCTCAAAGAAGATTCGAGGTTCAAGGCTCTCCACTGATTGTCCGCTGACTAATTGCGGGCACGTGTTGGTGACCTACGATCTGCGTTTCCCAAGCAAACACGCAGAAACGTCGATCGCCGGTGATCATCGGTAGCGACAACAGCGGCAGCCCGTGTGCTCGATTTGTCTTGATCTTCTTACGTTATTGCGTATACATCCATAAATATGATTTATGACGCGCGAGGAACGCTTCGGCCGTAACGTCTCGCACGTCGATCTCTATTTGCTAATAACGCTCGATGTGGACACCGCTCGTTCGCGCACACGCCCGAGAAAATTGACATTCCGCGTGGAGGTCGGGGCCTCCTTGCAACGAAGGCTCCTTACGAATTTCGGGCCTTTCCCGCGCCGGAGAGGTCCTCCGATCGGCGAGACTTGGTACGAGAATATAAGGATATTGTATAACAAGGATGTGCGTAACAAGTTTCCTCTAAAGCATCTATTTCTGTCACTGAAAGTGACAGAATTATTGAGGTGGTTCGTTTAAATGTCTCACCCTGTAGGCAAGAAATATAAATAGAAATAGAAATATAAATAGAGAGAACGAGCCAATGAGAACCTCAAGAACATCGATTTTACATCGTTCATTAAACGATTCGCTCGCACAGATCTTTCATGTGGATTAATACATTTTCAGCTATTACTTAAAACGCGCATACATGTGCGTGCGAGGAATCTTAAGAAATAGCTCGTACGATTGCAAAAGAGATTCGACGTATACGAATTTAATAATTGTCGCTTATCACTAAATGAGAAACGCTCTCTCTGGGCCTCTTTGTCTCTCGTTGACAAAAGAATAACGTCAGCCGGTCGTCGCGGACCTTCGGCGAACTTGACGATCGATCACGCTAGTACGGATCATCGCCTCTAATTGACGAGATAAATTTGCGAATACGCGCGTTTCGTGTGCAGATATTTCCTCAATTCGCGAAACGAACAGAAATTGCGGCCAATTTATCGCGTTATTCTTTCCTCAAGTGCAATTCGCAGCTTTTCCGCTGCTGTGCGCGTCCCATGACGATGAGTCGAGAACTTCGGCTTGAGCTTATTTTATTTCTCGATAAGCTTATATTAAAAAATCCGAACATTTAATTGATTCAAATTAAATTCTTGTTTGGGCTAGCAAATGTGTTGGTTATAAGAATCAAAGTTCCCTGAAACGAAAATGAAAAAAATTTAGTTCGGACAACTTTTTCATAATTCTTATAATTAAAATATTTGTTTGCCCGTATCGAAATAAGAATTTAATTATGGATCAACTGAATGGATTTCTCAGTGAAGTTTCCTCGGTCGCAGAGTATTATCGAACACACCCAAACTACCTTGATCAAAATATTTTGCTGAGAGCGAAATTAAAAAATGAAAGTAAAAAATTACTGAATATATATAAGAATAAATTATAATTTTCCTTATGAAGTGCAATGTAATATTGTGAAATATAAGGAAAGATAAGGTGTACTGTTGAAAAGTAATAAAAAAATCTTGAAATACTATATTAGACCGCAAAATTCATTGAATATAACTAAAAACCGTGTGACTTTTTAAAGAAAAATTACTGAAATGTCAATTAAAGTAATTCTTTAGTAAAGTATTGATGAAATGATAGTAAATTGAGAGAGATTTTCCATGATATTTTCGGTAAAATATTTCCGTCAGGTTATCCATAATTGCGCTCCTGTTCCTTCCATCACGCCGCCGCGCTTTTCGTGATTTTAACGCAACGCACTTTGCCACCGTGGTCTCATGGCACTTCAGTAATAATTATAAATCTCTCTCGGGGCCCGTGAGCTTGAACGACACGCCTCGTGATGCGCAGGTTAAAATGATTACTTGTAGGGGAAACAGAACGTTTTACGAGCGCCTTTTAACTCGAATAATTTTATGGCTGTTAACGGCCGTTAACAACTGTTATTATCTTCCATTCGCTGCACACGTCATCTACGCTGCGGTTAAAATATGCCGATACTAATACACACATGCGGTAATTAATGTAACAGTCCACGGAAAGAGAATATAGAAAGAGAAGTGCTCGTCACGTGGGACCCCCGTACTTATCGCGCCGATCAAATTGTGATTAATAACTGGAACTTAAAAGAGGAAAAAATGCTCTCGAACATGTTAGCATTCTCTCAACGCAGAGATTACCTTCATTATATAATATCTGTGTAGTGTCGCATGATAATGTTGAGCATTATTCTAAAGTACAATATTGATGGCTCGCGAAAATACGCGACCGCTCTCATACTGAGAAAAAAATGGTAGAATCAGCAAAATTTTGCTTAAGAATGTATTGTTTATTGAGTTGAAATGAAGAAATTATGAAAAAGTTACAAATTGATCTACATTGCGTTTAAAAGTTACATTAAAAATAAAGTACATTAAAAATAATTTTTAACAATAATTCAGGGCATGCATCAAAAGTTACTCCACTTCGAAGGAGGTTGTAAGGTGAAATAAGTTGATAAGAATTCGATGAAATTTGCACCACGTATACATTAAAATATTATCTAACATATTGCTCGTACAATTAGAATAAGATTGAATATTCGAGAGCTGAGATATTTGTAATTGAAATTGACAATTTTTTACGCATTCCTTAAAAAATTAGCATGCTATTTTTAATTTACATTTTTAATATATTTTTAATATATTTCTAAAAATAAGATTTTGACGAAAAACTACTATGGTATTAAAAACTAATATATGTAGACAAGGAAAATTAAAAATACTAATATTTTCGTATTTGTAATATTGTATATATGTCTACCTTAATTTCGTTTCAAATCAACATTTATTATATAAATAGTAAAGTAAATGTACAGGAACGTAATTTTGATAAATATTAAATTTATGATTACATTTATGAGCGGCCCCCTTGATGCGCCGTTGAAAATCCGGCACTTATACATCCTTAAGCGAATAAAATTGTTTCAAGTACAGCTTGTTTAATCTACCGAACAAATTATACAATTGCTGTTATGAGTTATCAAAATTGGTTTAACGATTGCGATTCGGTTAGCAACCGTATCAACGCAACGTTGGCTGCGCTAACGTGCGATTCGTTCAGATTTCTTTGAACGAAGCTAACCGCCGATTTTGTAGATTCAATTTCTTTTTCCTCTCAGTGCAAAATCGCCCAAATCGCGTTCGCACGCTTTTTCCTATTTTTAGGCGCGATATGACAAAATTTTGATGTATCGCAGGATCCTTCCATATATAATCACGACACACTTTTTCAAACCAAATCAATCAATTCGCACACATGTTCGATATATCAAAAATTGCGCGACAGTAGTGAACACCAAGAGATAGCGGTAGTAATCGTAACAACGTAATAGCAATCGAGCCGTGTACATGGGATTGCAATTACTAAGTTATAGCATATCTTTTTCTTCTGTATTCTACCACCTGAGAGATAACATCTGAGATTGATGTCGATATGACTTATCAACGACTTTTTCCACATTTTTCACATTTTTCCAGCCGTTTACGTTGTTGCCACGCGAAAATTTGTCGCGTTACTTAATTAACTTTCCCCTTCCAGTATTTTTCTCCTTTCTTTCTTTTTTTACCTGCGAGACGTGAAACGTCACGTTATTTTTATTTCGTTTCGATTCGACATGTGACGCGACGTGTATCTCAGATTTGACGACGAGCGAATGAGATTTCAAATGCCGATTTCGTCTATCGCGTAATCTCTACGCGAATCGAAATTACAAAAATCACACATTAGACATCGCATCGAATACGACGATTGGCCGTAGAATATCGCCGCTCTTTTAGCGAATTACTCAGCTCCTTGATTGGCTCACCTGTCTCATATCGCTGAAGCGCGTATCAAAAGGACGAGCCGCATTTTCCGGCGGTGTCGCGAAACTTGCGCGTTAATTTTCACGGGCACATTGACGAAATTCCAAAACGGTGATTTCGTAGTAGCGACGTTGAGGCTTCGAGCGTTACCTGCGGAGATTAGAACGTATCAGCGCGGTCGAGTACTTGGCCGAATGGAGACTATCCGTAATCGGGAGCAGCACTACACAAAAGATCGCTCGCATGGTGGGAGGATCGAAAAGAAGTCCTATTATTCTCTCGTTGAAACTACGCGATGTACTAAGTACCCTATAAATATGCGAGAGAATGAGGAAAGATACGTGCCAGTAAGCAAGAAATCATTAACATGACGTTGTTACAATGACATTCTGTAACATATAACGTTTTAAAATGTGCAGTTCTTAAGTTCTCAAATATGTAGTCTCTTAAAACGTGTTCTTAATGTCACGTACGTCATCGTTAATAATACTCGACCGAAACATTGAAAATAATATTTCTACACTATGCTTTTAATATTTAACAATACTACGTTATCAAGTAATGGCTTAGAAATATTTATAAGATATTATGTCAAAATGTTTATAAAATCCACGTGAGATCAATGTTTTAAAAGATCGATTTAATGTTTCTTGCTTACTGAGATGTTCATTTAAGAGAATCTCAGTGAGCTACTCTGTAATTCTGACATTTTACAATTATTGTTATTTTGGAAACAAAAAAATATTTTTTAAGGGGTGGGGAAAGTGCACTGAGATTTTTAAAAATAGATACACATACATGTGTTTCTCGTTATCTGACTTTTCGAAATTTCTACGTTTAATTTCCGAAGCCAATTATTTCTCGATCGTAAAGCCGTATATCGCCCGCCATATCTCGTGACTCGTGCTTGAACGTGCTAATCAATCCGTTTAATTAGCGATCGAACACTAATGACAATACTCGTACCCCTTTTAGCCATGAGAATCCGATTGGCAAGAAACGTTAAATTTATCTGACGGATCCAATGCGTGACGGACTATCTTTAGAATCTCCGGAAAAAATTGATTGACATTTGATTCTCCCAACTTTGCTTTTATTTCTCGTTTTTTTTCTTTTCTTCTCCTTTTCACCGACCACATTTTTAGACCATAGCGTTACATCTTTCACTTCTATCAGGTAACTACATGTATCTCGACTACTTACCAAAATTTTTTACAAAAATATATACGTTGTAACGGTATTTAAAAATGAAAAAAGCAATTTAATTCGAAAAATTAAGATATGTTACAAAAACACAATACATATGTTTCCCTTTCGTTCGTGGAACATTTGTGCATCACAACGATAATCGTATCCATCTATTGTTACAAAGTATGTCATCACAAGTCTTCCAATCTTCTACGTTCTTTTTCTTCTTTTTACAATGCATCGTCTCGCTACATTTTAATATCAATTACGATGAAATGTATCTTTCGTCGGATTCACTACCTACACGGCATTATATCCCTTTATATATCACGTAACCTGCGTTACGATATTTTAACGTTTCTCAATTCGACGGAAGCAACACATTAGCCTTTCTCGCAGTTCACTTCGGCTTTGAACATCGCAAATTTAACATACTGCTTATCGCGGCATTTGGCAGCGCGGACATAACTTTCTCTCAGACTTCCCGCCGCGATTTAGGAAAATAACCGAAGACGACGCAAAAAAAAGCAGCCGGCGCGGGCCGTCAGAAAGAAGAAGTCAAGTGCTACAGTCCGTAGACAACAACAGTAAGACCTAACTGCACGCACGTTTCAGTGTAACTTTTACCGGCAAAATTAAAAATAAACGTCACTTCAGTCATTTAGTCGAAAGATAAAACAAAATTGCACAACGACGCAATATTGCAAGCTGCAAGTGACATCACGGTATGCAGCGCTTTATCAATTACCACTTATCCTAACGCGCAAGTTTGTGTGAACGAGAGGTTCAGAATGATACATGAAAATATCGCGCGTACACACTCGATAACTACAGATGGACAAAATGTAATATATAGATATATGCATATATATATATATATATATATATATATATATATATATATTTCCTTCCACATTTTCACAAACTTTCAGGTAAGGCACTGCCTTCAGTTTAAGAAGAAATCAACAGTATATTGAACATTGAGCTCTTCGATAAACTTCGCTAAAATCTTGTCTCGATATTACGCCTGGATTAAAACCGATGCAATTTCGGTGACGTATCCGACATATCTTCGAAGTTTCGGATACTTATTATATGAGAAGTATTGAAGCGCAACATTTACGTCTTACAATATTCCCTTTCGCATTACAGTGCAGTCTCTCTCTCTCTCTCTCTCTCTCTCTCTCCCTCTCTCTCCCCCCCTCTCTCTCTCTCTCTCTCTCTCTCTCNTCTCTCTCTCTCTTCCTCATTCTGTCTGTCAGAATGTGTTCTTCAAATAAAAATGTGTAGCAAAAATAACACTTGTCGCTCGCGGTGCAATTGTGAACTAGAAAGGTTCCGGAAAACTCCGGGGCGTTCACGCACTTGTGAGTGTTTCTCTTCAGCTCGTGTCCTTGTCGCACAGGAAATTCAACGTTCACCGAAACCACGTCAGGTTCAATCCTTACCTAATGTTAATGACTATTAAATGAAGGTACTATATGTAGTACAATAACCATCGCTGATTATTACAAAATTGCCGACGCGCTCTCCTCGGTAAATTTACGAAACTGATGCATCGAAATTAAATCACTCGCGTCCCCTAACTAGAGCTACCAGTTGCTCGCACAGTCGCGAACATCAGCCGTTTTGACAACGTGCAATTGATTACATCGCGTAATTCACTTATTTGATTTTGAGCTCGGGTATTAAGAAGTACATTCTCACGAGTGGATCACCAACACTCAATGCTCGAGACTTTCCCACGTCGTGCAATTAGCTCCTTCCTCTTCTTCTCTGGCATTAATTCCATCCGAATTCTATATCCTCGATCTTGATGTTCAGTTCTTCGAAGGACGTATCGATGCCAGGATCGTCGAAATTCTCGTCCAGATCGATTTTCTACGATTCAAAATCTCAACTGAGACATTTTGTTTAGCTTAAATTTTTAACTCACGATAAGAAATAATTGCACATACGCTTCTACCGTACGGATATCAAATTCTCATGCGAACCTGCAATGCAGCGATGTGCGAAGGATCACCAACCAATAAAATCTGCGGCTCCTTATCGCTTGCATCGTCGACTATCTTAGAAATCTGGACCTGCCCATCTTTGCTTGGTAGTTTGTGCTAAATTCAATTCAAAATCAGTCACAGAGATGCGTGACACGCATAACGATAAATATTACTAAGTAGTACTGTCAATTTCGACTAGCCGGATACCCAGGTCCGATTAATTTCAGATGTTACAAATTATTGATTTTCCTAACATAAGAATAAAATGGAATTTTTCTAACGTACAAACAAATCACAACAAATGTATTGTACACTCGTGAATACTTACTCGTTGCGTATTTTCTGGCCGTCAGGGTAATATCCGTGAATACGGGCGTCCGGATACCCGGATACCCAAACACGCGGGTATCACCCGAGTATCAAGTTACCCGGATTACATCGACAGTATCAATACAAGCACAATGGCGCAACAGCTATTAAACCGAGTTTACACCGAGTACACTCACGGTTTCTTTCGCGGCTTTGCTCCTATTCTGACTAGAGATATCCAAAGCATCTGGGAAAAATGCATCCGTGCCGCCGTCGTCGCTGTCGACAAATGCGTGTGCCGTTCTCTTGTGCATCACCAGAGTGCTGCTCTGCCGGTATCTCCTGGAGCACAGCGTGCACTCGAACGGTCGTTGTTGCGTATGTACCTGAAAATTGGGAGTGCGATTAAAAATCACGCGACACGTTCAAGCACACATCGTGTCGAGACCGTCGCCGCTTCTCTGGTCTTTACTTTGAAATCCGAACGTGGATCCTAGACAGAGAGACGGCAATTTTAACGGTAACGCAACGCAGAGATACTCACAAGATGATGTTTATACAGACTAGAGTACTCGGTAAAGCTTCTACCGCAATTTTCTATGGTGCAAATGTAAGGCTTCTCGCCGGAGTGAATGCGCATGTGGTTCTTGTAATTCGTCGCACTGGCGAACGCTTTGCCGCACATCGGCTGCGTGCATTTATACGGCCGCTCGCCAGTATGCGTCCTCACGTGAACCTGATGAACATAAAGTAACATCTATCGTTAACATACACGATGTTCCATATTTAAAATAATTTCATCTAATATTTTACTCAATGTATAATTTTATTGAATATAAAAATATATTATGTAATTTTTATTACGTAGTCTTATTTAAAGTGATATTTTAATATCACTTATAATAAATTATTTCATTATATTCAGGCATAGGAGCGGTTTAGCTGTCAAATATGGTGAAAAAAGAGGGTCTCATTCTTGAAAAAGTAACAAGGTGTGTTCTACATATACTTATGACAGCCATTATCTGTTTTCTTGGCTTGTTAATAATTCATTTTGTCTTGGTTAGTAAAAGCTTGAACTTCGACATTCAAAACAACTTCGACAGACGAAACAAAAATAATGAATGGACAAACGCGGGTACGTCACGGACAACCGATTCCACGGCGTAATTTAAAGAAAACAGATGTACTTTTGACGGCCATTGTCTTCCTGACAAACTTGACAAAAGTACCTTAAAAAAACCACAGTTCTTCACTTTACGAACATTGTGTCATTGGAGTCATCATTATTTTCTATTTTGAAAGTCTTTGAAGAAGCCAATTATTGACCATGATTTCTTTCGATTAAGTTTTTTCCTAAAGTCGATCTCAAGTCGAGTAAGAAAAAGACGAGAAAAAGTGTCTCTAAATAGGTGAAGAAAAGCGAGTTACTCCCATATATTGTATATTTAACAAAAAATAATTTTATATATCATATTTAAACTGTCGTGTACGCGCGTTGCTTTCCCATACCTTCCTGATGTTACTCGTGGTGAAGGATCGACCGCAACCTTGAAACGGGCATATGAAAGGGCGCTCCCCCGTGTGGGTCCGTACATGTTTCAACAGATCACCCGACGTCTTGAAACTCTTGTTGCACGCCTCGTTGGAACATTTGTACGGTTTCTCGCCTGTGTGAGTTCGCAAATGCGCCTTCAGGCTATAGCCTGTCGAGAAGCTCTTCTTGCACTTCGAGTGGGTGCATCTGTACGGCCGCTGACCCGTGTGCGAACGCTCATGAACCTGCGACAATGGAAATTAGGCTCGGCAGTTCCGTCAAGTTTCATAACGTATACCTCCGTGTGATAGGAAAAATCACGGATGGAGACGCGGCTGTTTCTGCAGCGTCTCGTAATTCCGACTTAACTCTAACCCCGAAAACTCACCTTGAGATGATGCGGTGTGCTGTAGACTTTGGAACAACCTTCTCTCGGACAAGGATACCTGATCTTTGCATCCGATAACTTGTCGATCAAAATCTTGGAATCTTTCTTCTTCAATTTCCCATCTTCGATCTCCCACAAACCCTCGCCGACGTTCACATGGCCGGTTACCATGTACGTCGCACCGTTGATAAATTCGACCTGCGAATAGGTGTTCTCCGCGTTGTCCGCAGCGGCCACCTCGGTTTGTACGAACGAAGTTGGGTCTAACTCCAACTGAAGAGCCTTGCCATCGTTGAAGTCCGATAAACCTCGTAGTAAAATAGTATTCCCGTTTTCAAGTGTCTGCAATGTTTGTGTTTTGAAGTCTGGATCTGTAAATGCACAATTTTTTTTTTACCATGTATTCCGTAATTCAATATATAGAATGAACGAGAGAAAACTCTCTCTATCTTCGTCCAATCGGAAATTGCTTTAAGAAGCCACGGTTGCTTCACATTACACTTATGAGATAATGTCAAAGTTCAAGCTGCTACTAACCAATATTACTGAGGTTATTCGTAACGAAAGCTTGACTCCCATCAGGCAGTGTAATCAGCATTGTACCGAGCAATTGGTCGTCCAATATAAGTTGCTGTATCTGTCCTGCGTCGTTGACATTGTCCTCATTGATCATCACCGACAAGCATTCCAGTATGTCCACAGGATTGTTCTAAACCAGAATCACACCAGTTGAAACACAGAAAAATAAAAGCAGAATAATTATCAGACAAACAGAATGAAAGGAGAAACGATTACAATTACTTCACAATGTACATCTCAAATTTTACATTCGTTTCCTATTCTTGAACTGGCTGCACTGATCCAAGTAGGCTGTATTCTCTAGATCTGTTTTCTGTTCCTGAACTGTACTTTTTACTACTAGAGTGAGACAAATATATAACTTGGCGTTGAAGGGAAAAGGAACCAAGTTGCAGCGCAGCCTCGATTCAGAAACAGAAAAGAAACCCTTTGCCTCGGAGAACAGTTATTGAACAATTAAGTTAGACTATCTCTGTCTCTAGATGGGACAGCACAATGTCAACGAAGCTTCATATAGCCGCACAGAAACAAAATCGTCACACAGCATCGTCCCGAGCCGAGGAATACCTCAGGGTCGCGCAGGATCATTTCCTCCTCCTGGCTGGTGATGCATCTTGGAAGATCCGCACTCTGCGCCGACATAATCCCCTACGGTGTCGCGGCTGCGAACAGACAACATTTCTCGTTGACGGTGACGACAAGAGGTGCGCGTCGCGCCTCAGTCCGTGCGCGCGACTCCATCGCGCCGACGAAGCGAGAGAGGGCCGTTCTCGGGGACGCGTTATTAACTAACGCGCGGCAGTGTGTTATTTTTACCGCGCAAATCGTATCGATTGTCGCGTAACGCAGCCATGCGCATGGCTAACCCTTTCTAAGCGTTTCGTCTTATCGTCCTGACGCGTCAGATCGGCATTCCGAAGGGACGTCGTCGCCGTCGTCGTCGCGCACCGGGTGACACAACTGAGCCGCCGCGTCCACGCGACTCCGCGTCCCGCACGACGGCACTCGCCATCTTCGCACGGCCGAACCGCGAAAGAAAAGGAGCGAAAAGGTGCAGGCGGAGCGGCGCAACGGAAATTCCTACTGTGACGGGACGCTACGCGACGCGCTCGCCAGATCGCGGTGAATTGAATTTTCGCCAGCCCCCCGTGCCGGCACACCAAAGTATCTTGGGAAATATTACCCATAAACTCGGCCGCCCGCGAAATCCTCTCGCGATCAGCGCGCGACGAACCGGAACTCCCGCCGTGGCCATCTTGCGCGGTGGCGAAGGCGCGCTGAAATTCGAACGTCATCGGCTTAGCATCGGCTTAAAGCTGTCGCTACTTATTGGCGCTCATTAAGGTACCCGGCCCGTCAAATCATTTTCTTAGGAATCTCCTTTTGAATTTTAGCCGCTTGTTGCGGTGGAAATACCACCTACACCGTTTGTAAAGTTGGGAAACGACGATTGACTACTTGGGAGCTGAGATATTCGCAAGATGATATTTTTTATAGATTGAGGTTAACGTTCTGTTTTTAATTTTTTTAAAAACATATTTAGGATTTTAATTAGAAAAAACTACTGTGATATTAAAGGTTAGTATAGAGACATTATGCGGAAATTTCAGATTATTGACTATTTTGTTTGGAAATATAGCCATAGGAAATTTATAGTTTATAATATAATATACCCACATATACATACTCGTATATGTAAATATTTATATACCGCTTTCCATTGTACGTGTATCTCTATTAGTTCAATTGACATATATAATAAAGTATTAATAAGAAAAATAAGAAATAAATATCTTCGTGTTTGTAATATTATATATATATATATATATATATGTTTTAATTTCGCTCAAAATTAACATTTATTGCTCACATAATTAAATAAAGTTATAAAAACGTATTTTTTTTTTGTAAATAATAAACTTATGTAGACCAATATTGAGCCAATGTAACGCTAAAATAAAATTTGCTAATAAGAACCTATTTTGACGGGATGCTCAAATCGATGACGAACTTGACAACGTCGATATATAATCATATATAACTATATAAAATTATTTAGAAACATATATAGAATTATATAGTTATATAGAATTCCTTATACGATTATATATATATTTTTTTACACGATTCTATACATAATTATATATGATGCTGCCTGACTTCTTTAACGACTAGCGTAAAATTATATATAAACTTATAAGGAATTACATATAATTTTATATGTTTTCATATGATTTCTTATATGATTATATACGGTTATACATGAAAAATTGTTTACCAGGAGAGTTTGGTGAAAGTCGCCCTTACATACTCGCATGTTATTCTAAACATAGAACAAAAGCCGGATGTTGATATTAATTCGGCGTTATGTGTATTCGCGTTATGTGTATTATCGCGATAACCGCGCGCCTACAATGAATTCAACATTGCCAAATCGCAGGCCTTAGTTAATTACAATAAGATCGCATCTGTACGGAAGTTGCATGCGCAACGTGGAACCGCAGTATCGCAACAATTGCTGGTATGTCACGCTCTAATTCACCCAAGAGAATACGCAAGGGAATACGCCCGCACTTTGAGACAATCTCTAATTTGTCAAGGCACGAGTCGCAATGATATCGGCACAGACGCAAAAAATATCGCGAGCCCATTGCCGGCGAAACCTATGTCTCCTGGATCTCCATCGCGAGGAGAATTATTATCTAGGCTGAACGGAGTCGTCTGTACGCAAATAGAACAAAAAATCACGATAACATGAAAATAACGGCAAAATGATGAGAAAATGACTAGGAAATCTCGATTTTCGATCATCACTTTAACGTCATCTTCTGACCTACACACAGAAAAAGAAATGCTAGAGTCAAGCTTCAAGTAAATAATTACGTCGATACCCCTCGATAAATTTTTACTTGGATTAAATTAATATTTAATTTGAATAATGTACTTATCCATTCAATCCAAGTGAAAATTTGCTATTGAAACAATCACTTACACTTGAATTTAGCACTTCATTTTTTTCTGTCTACCCGGGTGTCTTCTCAGCGACGTTGCTCTCTTCCCGTCGATCGACCGACAACTCCTCCTTCTCGTCTCGCGTGATCCCGTCTCATGACCGCGAGAACGAAAAATCCCGACTGTAGACACATTTCGCAAGCGCTAAATTCGATCGCGCTGCGGTAGCGCGCGCGGCCGAGATGAAAGTTTCGCGATCCCTCGCGCGAGTCCTTCTTGCACGGGAGCCTCCGCAAGAAGCCGGCCTCCTCCGCACGTGTGCACCCAAAGTGGGATACCTATGCACGGACATACGTACGTACGTACGTACGTATGGCGAGAAGGGGGATGCTGAAATTCGTGCGGCACCGCCGCGAGTTCTCCATTCGAACTGGATCAGTTCCTAGCCGCATCCACGAGCCGTTTCACTTGAACCAAGTCTGAGACAAACATACACACTCTTTTATCTCGCGAGGAAGAAGGGTCCTTCCGAGGAATTGACGACAACGACGGTGATTAGTGACTCGAAGAAGTGTTGATCGGCGCTCGGCGATTGATCGTTTGGCCGCGCCATGACGACGGTGGGTGCAATGGAGTTCTTACTTAGATATCATTACAACCCGACGGTCACAGTTGCACACGTAATTGTGACATAACTCAAATCAACTTCGTTCGAAAAAATACCGCTTCTCTCACACCGTGGACGATATTTTGCGGGTACGTTCCCAGATTGAACGGAAAACGACAGTTACACGTCGGGATGACGTGAAAATGAAATGGGAGAATGATCGAAAGGTGAGCTTTCATAGTCATCTTCTCGTCATTTTGATTTTGACGTCATCCTGATTTTCCATTCTACCCGGGTCTCCGTATGCAGCTCCGTGTACAGCTCCGTGTGCGTGTGTGCAGATTGACGACGGCTCTTTCGGGCTCACTAAATTCCTAGAAGTGAAGTCTCGCTGAAAACGAGCGAAAAATGGCGGTATTTTCGCTCGAAGCGACAAAAGTGAAATCATTCAAAATCGAGCAAGAGGGAATGTTGCGCTCAAGGCCTCGGGAGTGGATTTTGATTCTCCTTGTGCGAGCGAATGTCTCAGTCGGTCGGAGTGAGTATGTTCCCGTGACAGTGAGAGACGTTATTCGGGGTGACTCTCACCAAACTCTAATCAAGCTCTGATCGATCAATACTCCAATAGAGAAAAAGCGCTACCTTCAAATAAATATTTGCTGAAAAGCGTCGGAGTGGTCGTTTTACTTCGATTAAATAAATGTTACATTGCATGTGACATTTTTTTCTCTCAGTGTGTTTCACATTCAAGTAATATTTTACTTGATCCAAGTAAAATAATTACTCGAATGTCGCACTTTTCTTCTTCCAGTGTAAGAACCGCTAGCGTCAGTTTCCAGTTCTGCAACTTGTCAACGTTTAACAATAATCAAAAAGTTCATCATTTCTATCCGTATTAGCAAGATAGAATGGGCGATAACATTTGACCAACATCGTCGATTAGCTCAGAGTTTGGTGAAAGTCACCGTTACTCTTCAATTTCGAGTGAAAATGTTCACTCGACGATTCGGAGTGGGAAATTCGCTCTGTACGAGCGAAAAGTCGCTCGAATTCGAGTGATTTACTCTACGTTCCGAGTGCGATTTCGCTCTGAGGAATTTAGTAAATGTGATTCGTGCTTACTTGATCGGACGTTCCTCGTATGTCACAGGACAACTCTTGGTTTTGACATATGTACATTTCTCTTATGTTGCTCCGCGTGTCGTGAGCACCTTTCTATAACGGAATACTCTCACAGATAGGAAGAACGATATCTTCAGAATAAGAATTGCATCAGTTTTTCAACATTGTCAACATTTTTCCCACTCTTAATTTATATGAATTATTCTTGAATAACATGAATATATTTTTAGCTAGGATACGAAGTTAAAATTAAAAATCTCTTCACGCAAGAGCTGGTTTTTATCGTCACATAAGATTATGTATTCCTGCATATACATGAGAATATATTAGTCTTGAGTTGATACTATCTATGATAATTTTTGATATATAAAAGTTTTAATACACGATAACTTATTTTCCCGTGTGTGAAAATTCCGAGATGTCTGAGGAAAGAACCGATTTAGCAATGGGACGAACTTTAGCAGCGAATGCCGCAATCGAACGTCGAACAGTCGTCCGGATCGAATGAGACTTAAAGAAGAACTTAGAGACTATGTGCGCGTCCGTTTCCATGGTCGCGAATTTTCCATATCGCTCGGGACGTTTCCCGATCGATCATCTACAATAGAGCAGAACAAATGTAACTTTATGCGCTGTACCGGAGGTTCCGCTTCGTTGAATTTCAAATACTGGATTCAATAGCGACCGAGTGTGCTCCCAGGTGAAGGTGAGCGGAAAGGAAGGCGAAAGGGTGGTTTGACACGCACTGCCGAGCACGTGTACGTCTCAGCAAACCTCCGACGACTTGTTTTCGCACGCATATATATACGCACACGCACACGCATACACACATAGATATGCGGCTGTGTACGTGCTTTATCGAGATGTAGGCGCGTATGATGGTGCAATAGCACAAGTGCGATGGAATGCGGAGATATAATGGAACTGTCGCGGCCTTTAAAAATATCACCTGTTAAAGTGAAAAGCACGATGTTGTTGGTAATCTCTGTGGGAAAACGTTGCGCGGGGGAGGGCAGCGTATTTCGCAAACAGGCCATCGGAATGACGTAACGCATTCCGACGTTACGTTGAGCTTAGGCTCGCTGTATGGCAAATTAGTTTCGAAGTCTCAGGCCTAAAGAAGAGAGGGGGAGAGAGAGAGAGAGAGAAGGAGGAAAGACGTGATAGCTTAAAAATTTATGACCGCGAGATCGCGAGGGAAATAACGAAGCCGCGCTCGAGTCTTCTCTTTGAAGCGATAACGCGTAAATGTGTGCCAATTCGATATCTTACAGCTAAAATTAGAAAGAACAAATCATGATTGAATAACGATAAATATTTGAAATAATACGCAGAGAAAAATATCATTCTCTACTGCTAAGAAAGGCAGATTACTCGGTTTATTTTCCTTCTTCGAGTAATATTTTTCTTCAAGAAGGAATATTTTTCTTCTTTATGTAATAGTCTTGAAATGTATTATACAAATTTTAGAATAGCTCATTACCACGTACTCGAGAGAAAATTCGACTATGGTTGATACTTTTCGCCGTGATTATCACGTTTAACATCGTTTGGTTAACAATATCGGCACTTTATAATATATGAGTAATCGACGTTGCGTTACAGGTATTTCGTTTCTTCTCAACTGGTTGCGCATGCACACATAGACACATATACACATATACAAACACACACACACACACACACCTTCGCATGAAATAATGGTTTCATTAGAATAACGATCGATTGTAAGAAACGTTTACTCTATATAAGAACGTTCTGCAAAACATCAACTTTCTAAATCGATCAACGTGTAACGGCTTGATATTTGTAATTTTTCCGATACATATCTGTGTGTTTTATACCACTAATACCATTCTCCACGCTATTTCTACGCTATTGATAATGCGTCGTCCACGAAAAGCGAGCGACTTAGCATAGCGTTATTACATCATTTTCTTTCGAATTACGAGAATTATGAATTTCGTTACGCGGCTTGACATAAAATAAATTCTAAAAATGTGTTCGCCTTGACACGTTTCTACAATATTTTATACGCCTATTCTTTGCACCGGAGTGATTTATCAAAAAAAAAAAAAAAAAAAAAAATTTCTTATCGTGCATATATTGACATAGAAACACACACCCCCGGGCTATCTAACGAGGAATATCATTTCAAGCGGATAGCCTTGAAGTACATTCAAATTTGGAGCAGATCCTTTCTACGACGACAAAGAGATGCAACTGGATCTTACTGTTGCAACTGTAATAATAATTTCCCATACAGCACAAATCTCCGAGGGACGTTTAAAGATATACAGAGGACGTCCCTAAGGGCGCCCATCGGATAAAAAGAGTTTTACAGGTTATTAATAAATATATACCAAAATATTAATAAATATACAAATATAAACAAGTAAAATAATTTACTTAGTCAATGGTAAAGTATATAATTAGATTAGTAATCACCAGTTGCCAATTTAAAAAAATGCGGAATTTAATACGTTGAAATTTCAGCCTCAACGATTTAAGACAATACAATTAATGAATTGTGACTTAATATCAAATTTAGGGCCTTAAATGCGATGTGAAGTTTCTTACAGTTGGTCACTTAGGCTTTATTTGCGAGGTAACATGCGCTATACGTTATAATAATATCTAGATAATATCTTGAAGCCGGAACCGCGATACGATACAGTCTTAGCAAGAAAACTTTCTACGAAAGCTACTCGGTGATCCCAGTGTATCGGGTTTCGGCAACCGTGCATTGTAGTTGGCGGTGTAATGCTTGAAACAGAGGTCACACGCGCAAGTACATGTAACATGCCCCGCCACTCCGATCAGTAACGGATTAAGATATCTTGAGACCACTCCCTTTCTCAACGAAAAATTTTAGGCCAGTACATATATTCATAATCAGATTTTATATTCAAGATCAATATCTCACAAAGTACTCATCTTCGGATGCTTCGTAACCAAACGATCCGTACAACATCTTGGAAGATGCACTTGAGAATATAAGATCTGACTATGAATACACAAAAAAATGAGTATAAATAAATTTAGTATCGATTCAAGACTCATATTCTCATATACAAGTAAGAATATATAATCTTATATGAAAATAACACTTATTCTTAAGTGAAAGTAAAAATATATTTGTCATTCAAGAATAATTGTCATGGATTGGAAGGAAAATATATTGGTAGAAAGAACGATATTTTCAAACTGAAAATTGTCAATCAATTTTTCAACATTGTCAATTCACATTTTCCTCTCAATTCGCGAAAATTATTCTTAAACAACACGAATATATTTTTAGCGGAACTATAAAGAGAATTTCTTTGTGTAAGAGCATGTAAGTTACAAACAAGAATATTAAAATATTCTTAGAAGATTTTTAGTCTTGAATTGAGTTGAAATAATACTTGCATTAATACAAATTCAATCAAATCAATACTAAAAATCTTCGGTTATCGCGGATAATTCGGTATTGTTTTCCGATTACAAGATACCTGGTTGCTTTAATTTCAGATAACGGCAGTGTTGCTGCTTTTCGCGGTGACAGCGGCCGGTGCGCTGCCGCTCGCCAATGTGCACGTGAAATTCGTGTCGCCTCCCGATGTGTACGAGCACAGCATTACGACAGATGGTTTGCACTGTTGCGTAATAATGCTTTATATCGCGCTAAGTTGAAGAGTGTTTTAACTTGTTCACGTCTCTTCAGGGGATCGTACGCTAGCCCAGGACTCGTTCATCTCGATCGGCCAAAGAAGCACGGCCAAGCGGTCCAAGGATCCCGGTGACTACTTTAGGCTTATATTTGCGCGACTACCTCAGAGTCGCTGACCAAAAGTAGCATACTTGATATAAATAATACGTTTGTTAAGCGATATGCATAGAGTGAACTGTGTAACTTTACCCGAAGTATCTCATTTGTTCTCGATGATGCGGGAAAACGTGCGTCTCTCTATTTCCGACAGGTACCGAGCTTTTCTATTTTTCTCTAGTTCTTTATCTCTTTGTTGCGATGTATGCCATTCAAGGATCATCCTGTATATATGTGGCAAGCGAGAAAATAATTTTCATTCGTAATATTGTCACTCGAGAATCGTCCTGTGTATTCGTGACGAACAAGAATATAATTTGCATTAAAAAATTTAATTTTAATATAATTTGCAATTACAATTTTGCTGCTCGAAAATCTTATTCACTTATGAGCGTGAAAATCATTTGCATTCATGACTATGCCTTATGAATCGTCCTGTATATTCGTGACAAGCGAAAATGTAATTTGCAGTTTTACAATTTTACACTCAAGAATTATTCCGTATGTTTGTGACAAGCGAGAGAATAATTTGCACTCATGATTTCCATTGCCACAGATTACAATTATAGGGGAGGTTTGCGGCGAAATCACTTACGGCAGGCGATACCGGTAACGAGTCCCGAAAATGCCGAAGCTCTGTGGCCGGTCGGTGTCTTTCTTCCCCCGATCGACATCAACGATCTTGGATACAGTTGGCAAGAGGCGCAACGCAATCTCCCTAATCTCTACAAGTTGCAGGGTAAAGGCATCGTCTAACCGCCGATAATTTTTCGCTGACATCACAAGGAATTCGCACATTCTTATTAATCTACTTTTCACCGCATATTTTTTACTACGTCTTTATACTCTGGACGAAATGACGTCTTAATATCCCACCATGTCCTGAGATCGTTCTGAATGTGTTCAGGATGTCCCAAGATACTCCTCAGGTCATCCTGGACCGCTCTGAATGACTTGGGACGTCTTGTGGTATCCGGGATGCACTCGGGAAGTGACGAAAAGTTGACTGTACTTATCCCCTATTGACGTAACGGCCGTATAGCGCTGCTATTAGAACGGTATACCGCTTTGCATACACTTTGTCCCGCGGCAAAATCTCGTTTCATTCTGATTGCAGAACGAGACCCGTACTTACTGACCGGTCGTGAGGCAATGATGGCGATTAAATACCTCTACGGGCTGGGCGAGCTTTTCTTTGACGATTATCCGCATGTAAGGGCGATACTGCGTAATCAGGAGGAGAGGAGGATGAACGGACTGCACGGACATGTGTTGAGCAGTTTGAATCCCAAGTCGCCGTTCTACAGGAAAGCACTCGATCTTTAGGCTAGGGGATCGAGTTCGTTCACATTCAGTGGTGGAGTAACGATTACTGAGAGCGGGAAAATGTGCGGGAAGGTGATATGGGAATTCTCGTAGGGGCTCGAAAAATCCGTAAATGAGCTTAATTTTACAACACGTAATATTTCATATCACAATTCGCACAATTCTGTAATATATCGAAACAAAAAAGAAAATAATAATAATAATAATAATAATGCAACATGTCAAAAGATAAAATGTACATTTTTGTGGCGAGATGCACGAACGATATTCCTAAGATCACCGTTTCAGATTCTCAAGTCCGGATCTACAATAGGTGTAACAAGTCTTTGTATATCGAGTCTTGAGCTCTAAGCGCTAAATTGTCTAATAATCTGTAGCAGAAAGCGCTTCCGGCGCTACCAGACGTCGCAATTTTCGTTGAAGGAAATGCCTTTTGTCAGAATTTACATGACATTTCTCTTATCGCTCAGAACAAAAACCCAAAAAGTAGAATAGAAAATGACGAGAGAATGACTATAAAACTCATTTTTCGATCATTTTTTTTTCATCATTTCGTCGTTATTTTCTGTTCTACCCGGGAGGCTAAAGGTTTATCACACGTATCGTAGAATCTGAACTGATAATAGTGCGTAGGATGTCCCACCACTATCGCACCCGTCGAAATCGTTCGTCGATTCTCGCGAGGATTTTCGCCCTAAAGAGAGCGCATTGCAGATCGATCACTTTGGTCCGTTCACGACGGCATAACGTCGTCACTCGAGTCCTCAAACGAGCCACCGCATCATCAGGCACACGGCTGTCGTTATCAAGCCGCCGACAACGCTCGTCGTCCTTGTTGCCCCGTTACAGAGGTCCCCGTAACAAAGACACATGTACACTTTCTTGTAATTCCACACGGTGTAGGCGCATCTTTCCTCGTTGTCGTCCGGTCCTCGTTGGAAACACAATCTCTGCGTGGCGGTGCCATATTCTGCGAATGAGACAGCTCGGCAGTGAATTGTGCCCGAGTACGAGAGAGCGGCCGAGCGCGCGACAACTCGCGCGCGGCGATACAACTCACCGTTGTTCAGATTCTGGCTCTCGATGATCTTCCCGCACCATCCAGAGACACACGGCAGCGCCTCCACGCCTTTCTCGAGCGCGATCTGCGTCGAATTCATGGTGAAGGGGTCCTTGCACGAGCCCAGCTCTCCTCTCGACCTGCAGCTCACGCATCTCCGGTGGCTGCCTGTAAGGACGAATGGAACTGTCACTTTTCATCTCTTACCGCTCCGAGCGCCATTTCTACCGGCGATTAATTACCACACAATAAGCATCGATAGTCATTGATGTAAAATCTACAGTTTTAAGGATGTAAAAACTTAAAAATTAATCCGTATTAAAATGTACCCGAGTGTTGAAAGTTCTTAAACAATTCCTAATTCCTGATTTTCAACACATATATCATACATATGTTGTAAAGAAAAACTTTCCCTTTCAGTATTATGTTTTCTGAGCACCTGTTATTCATTATCACTTGTGAATTTTCTTAAAAATACACGCAAGCACACGGGCGACATGGTTTTCCAAGGAAACAATTAGAGCCCCTTGATCCTCCGTAGAAACTCACCGACACTTTCCCGAAGCATGATTGTGCAGAAAATCGCGAGGATCACTCGGACACTCGTCTGAGATTTCATCCTACTTTGTTTCTAATATCGTTCAGTCGTTTCCGGATACAGTCGACCAACTGTGATTAATCTACCAGCTCTTTAATGAATACGGTGAACGGGTAACCGGGAGCTACGATGGGACACAGCCATTTTGGAACTAAGCTCAACTGCCGGACACGTACGCCTCATAGCTGTCTCTACGTAGTTCCCCCTTTCACTCGACTTTAAGGTCATCGTATGCCGAGGAAGATCGAGGCGAGAGAATGCGAAGGAGATAGCTACGAGGTCTCGCGAAGCGTTCCCCGTACCGATAACCGGTCTGTCGCACAATACCGGGACATCGATAGTGTTGACGGCGATGAGACTGAAAGTGAAGAAAAATATCTGCATAATGCAATTTTCGCGCGATAAAAATGCGTCGGGATTTATTACACTTCGAGATCCGACTCCTTCGAGTGAAGGGAAAACGTCCTCAAAGCATAAATAACACTTGTATATCAAATGTATATGAGCAATGTGAAGTTAAAACCCAGTGGAAAACTTTTCATATGTAATCATATATATGAAATCATGTAGAAATATATAAAATCATGTATAATTCTTTATACGATTATATATAATTTTATACGACTCATTCAAACGAATCAGGTAGCATCATATATATAATTATGTATAGAGTTGTGATTATATATGATATTATGCATGAAGATTATATGTGAACAATTTTTTACCGAAAAACAAAGAATTCGTGCAAACTTACTTTGCATTTTTCAATATTATTTATACTTATTTATACGACGCTGAAAGAAATCTATATAATGCAAATTTTGCATGACAAAAATGCGGCGTAATTTATTATCCATAAAGAGAATGGAAAACCCTCGGAACATAAATAATACATGTATATCAATATATACAGTGCGAGGTAAAAGAAAAGATTTTTGCAAACGCAGTAAAAATACGAAGACAATGATCAGTACCTTACTTCGCATTTTTTTACTATCGATTACGCTTATTTATTCGACACTGAAATTATTCAACATCCTCTCCGAAAGGATCGTCCAGCGGCAAAGCCTGAAATTTCTCCCTCTGCCGGCATGTCCTTATTACACCCCCGCAATAGCAGAACAGAGTTAAGAAAAATATGAATCCCAAGTAGCCCATATGTCGAAAAAAGGCTAGAAGAAAGTAATATGGTATTGGCAAGACGGATCTGCAAGAATTGCATCTCGTGCAAAAGATTACCCGGGGAAAAATAATTATATATGAATTTTTTCTCTATATAATTGTATATCGTCAGCGAAGAGTGTTAACCTGCTATCTCCGTTTTACAAGACTTTACAGGAGCGTCAAAAATATGAATAAATCATTTTATACACACTTCAAAAAATAAAATTGATCATCATCTTTTAGTTTTTGGTTATTCTTAACTAAAAAAATATGAATTTATTAAATGCTCTAACTTTATGAGATTTTATTAAGGAAAAGAGGAGTTAGGAATTTTTATTTTTTTCGAAAATGATGCGGTTTTGTAGTTAGCAGGTTTTACAAGATGCAGGTCGTGAAGAAAAAAGACTAGTTTTAGTATAAAACCCATTTTATTTGAGAAACAATAAGTAGTAAATAAAGAAATAAATATGATAAAAAAAGAAGAAATCATTCATGAGGTAAATTATCATAAAAAATACGATAACCTTCTGGCAATGTCTTTTTGATTGATTGTAAATCTTCAAATTTACATACAGTAATGGAAAGTCTATTTGAATGCAATTGTTTCAATTTTTCAAATTCTTTGTATTCTACGTTGCCCTTTCTTTGCGGTAAAAAAGATCAATCTTCATTAAACCTTAATTTATAAAAAATGTCTCCTTCTAGTGTATACCTTAATGCTCAGAGATCCGTTACTTTTGGGTCGCCTTTTTTTTCGGGCTTTATACTGCTATAACTCATGACATCAGAGAAATTTTTGAAGAATTTGTGATCCAGATACGAAGCATTGTATTGTAGAAGGCTTTTTTCGAGCAGTAATGCAAATATTGAAATAATTTGCTGGAACATTTATAATCTTATTTCTTAAAGCTCGTTCTATAGCTGAATGCATGCTGTCGGCTTCCATTTGTGTGTGTCCTACTTCGAGGAATTTCTGTTCAATTGTAATGTTCCGAATGACGGCTAAGTTTAGCAACGCATTAGACATAATAGCATTTCGGTTTTAATAAACGTACCCGTCGCTGTATATAATAATTTTTTTATCCTTCTGGTCATTTTTCATAACCGTTAATAATTTTTCTTCTAAAAAATGTATTCATATGGAAGAGAATTCTTCAGAATTCAAGGAGCCTTCCGTTTCGTTCCACAAAAAGCAAAACCCGTCGTCGTTAATCAAATTATAAAAACATAAGTTGTGAACTTGCAATTTAGTTTTGTAATACAAAGTGCTAATATTAGATTTTGGAGCCATTAAAACTGCCTGAAGATCTACAGTGAAAACGTAAGATTCTGTTGACTTGTCTTTTTCCTTTTCTTTTCTCGCTTCTAATTTTTTTGCGATATGCAGCTGATATTCTTCTTCTAATACAGTGCCCACTTTATAGCTAGAATATCTTTCACATTCATCTTTTTTTGGACGGAAGAATGAAATATTTTGTGAATCCATAGCCTCACTGAAAACGGTTCTTAATAATGGCACGGCATTGTGTGATTTACACCAATCATCAGCGTAAAAATGATAAAGTTCCCTTTTAGAAGACCATTCGGGCAAAAGATACTTTTTAGAAGAGGAAGCTCTACAGTAATAAGAATCCATAACTGGTAACGAATCTAAAAAACTAAGTAATTACTGTCTTTTTTTCTTTAAAGGGCCTTACACTATAGTTTCTTACACTTCTTAACTGAGCCGGAGCAACATCATTTTTCAAACTATTCTTCCAGTGAAGGATTGTCCATCTACCTATACATAGTGTATTAATAAACATGGAGTTAGCAGTTCTTCGGGCGCACTTTCATTCAAAAGGAGATAGCAGGTATTATTGACGCCATAAATAAACATTTTTTAATGAACATTGGATATAGCTGTTTTTCTATTAGAATCAGTTTTGTTTTTATAATTCTAACAGTACTAAATACATTTTTGGCCTAAAAATGGAGTTAGCAGGTTAACACTCTTCACCGACGATATGTAATTATATATAATTACATATATAACCCCATAGAGACGAAATTCATACATAAAAATTGCATATAATTATATGTAATTTATATGATTATGCATGAACATTTTTTCCCCGGATATGCAACTTTTACAGGCGCGTGTACACGCGAGCTAATGAACGTTATTTTCCGTTCACCTCGTGTCAAAAGCCGAGTCTTGGTCACGACGATGATCTTAGCGCGCATCATTTTAATGTTATCCACGTAACAGGTGTAGTTGCCTTGCTCCTCTTTGGATACATCTGTCGGGAGGGATATCGTTACAAAGTATACAATATAAGAAACTAAGCGTACGTTGCGACAGATAAGCAATTACGCGCGAGACTGCAATTTCGCAGAATCTAAGGAGGCAGAAGTGCGATACGCTGAAGTACGTCACCTATTAAATAGAGCGTTGAGAAAGTATCCACGATCACTCGTGCTTCTTCGTCTTTCTTACGAAACGATTGGCCCGTTCCCCTCTTCAAAACGAGCGAATCCTTTCTCCAGACGATTTGCGATTCTATGCTTGAGCTATATTCAAAATATCTCGCGTCCTTCTCTTAGAATTTCTGCTTATAATATAGTATGCAGTATATATATAGCAATATAATATGAGTATGAAAGTATGTAGTATATATATATAATGATATAGTATGAGTATGAAAAAGTTATTTGTAAGATTTCTAAGTAACAAATGGTAGGAAATTTAGAGTGCGCGAACGAATTACTCCGGACAAATAATAGCGAGATGCGCGCCCTCAGCGAGAACGTATCGTTTCGCGTAACGAAATTTCTCGCTCTTCTTGACTTTCTTCACAGCTGGACATTTCTTGCAGGGTTCTTTTAGGATAAATTCCGGCAAGTATCGTATGACACGGCTGATACTGGGAAATTCGTCTCGTAGCAAGGCAGATCTGAAGAGGCACGGTTACGTATGTTGCGTATAATAACGAATATCGTTGTGATGAAATAATTTATAATAAACTCGTTTATTGTTGTGATGAAATAATTTATAATAAAATCTATTAATATGTGGTCTGCACAATGTTACGATACAGCATGAGCTTATATTGTAATTTATATTTATAATGTACTTATATAATGTACTTATATTTATAATGTACTTATATTTATAATGTACAATATATTATATAATTGATAGAGAGCTCAAAACCAATTAATTGAAATATAATTAAAATGGCACTTACTTGCAGGGAAGCATCGGAGATCCTCGAAAGAAACGTATGACGATCGAGTCGTTCCTCTCTACTACTGTCTAAAATTATAAACATAATAACATCAATGTGCATATTATTGTTGTTTATTAAAATAATTACGTATTAAAACGCGCATTATATTGCATTAAGCACTCACCGAATTGATAACGCGCTTTAATCTACAGTAGCCTCTGCTGGTTTTAACACCGCGATTGTCCACGCATTCTTTACACGAGCTCCAAGGACCCCATTCAGATATTATTTGAAGAGTCACTCCTTCCTCACGGATCTCCGCTAAGTCTGTCATTCGCGAGACCTGTCGGGAGATTTTCCTTTTTCTAAGATTAGAAAACATTTCGCTTCAATGAGATGTGTACGACCTTTTCAATTTTTCTTATAAAGTGGCTTTGCACACGACCCACTTCTTGTTTAAATATAATACTGTTAAAGTAGGACACAACTCTCTATATATACCTATTTATCGTCTAAGTTTATCTCTTATATATTTATTGTAAGCTAAGTTGGTTCACTTACAGCAAATCTTGTGGTAACAGGCCACAAATATGTTTCACGATATTTCTCCCATTCGGTCAAGTTTCCCTCTTCTGCATATTCAACACTAATATCTTTGAGGACTGCTGTTACACAATAGAGTGACTACTGAGTCAAATGTTTGAAATAATAATAATGCAAATATTGTGGTAAAAAAATATAACAAGGCAACACAATAAAAAAAATTGAATTATCAATAATATAAAAAATTATCAATAATGTGGAAAGTACATCAATAATGTTAAAAGTAAAAATTAAATTATTGTTTATACAGCCTAGTTAATTAATGTTTCCACTGATAACAAGTTGTTGTTAAAAAGAAATTATATCAAAATAAAAACAATACCTTATTATAATCTGTCGTTACATTATTATTTGTCTTACGTTCGATCCTGTAATTATATTTGTTCTCTTTCTCTTGTCCCTCCTTGCCATGACACCGATAAATGCCAGCGTCTACGGCCGAGAAGCTCTTGATGACCAGAGAGACATCCGGCGTTGTGTAGATCCTGCTGTGCGAAACATTATTATCCATGCTCAGCTCGACCTCCTTCTCCGGTTTTTCTCGATACCGATCTTGATAGTACCAGATTTTCGGCTGCGGTTCTTCGTGGTCGTTGCTTCTATAAGCAATCATATATACTATAATTTGTCGAGAAATATATCGACATCAACGTATATTGATCTGTTCTTTTTAGAGTCAACTAATTCAAGAAATAAACACACACATTGAAGCATACGTATGAGATTACCACGCTCAGTGTGCGTAAATTTTTCGAACTGTGCAGTTAGTTCAATTAAAAGGAACAGACCATACGATCCTTACCAATAGCGACACGATAGTATAACCGTCGTGTTGTTTATGGCGGTTACCAGCAAATATTCATCGTTTTCCTCGGACGTGATTAATCTATCCTTGTCTCTGCAGTACTTGTTAATATTTACACGCATGTTGTTGGTGATGATCACACGTGTTAAGATCGTTATCGTAAACCAAATGAGAAACATCATTACGTCGCTCTCGAAATTGGATCGGATCAAGATGGAAACCGATAATTCCGCTTGAAGTAAGGTGATTAGAGAAATGTACATATATCGATACGTCGCATTTCGCTATGTGTTTATTGATAAATGTAAAATCTCTATATATTGCATGGAATATTGATACTTACGAGTGCATACAAATACATATACCGTATGGTATAAATATTTAGAAGATATTCGGGTATTTCTAAGATGATTCGCCATAACGCAACAGTTTTGTCGGAATAAAATTTCAAAATGATAAATGTCCAAAATCAAGACAAATCCAATTCGAGATGTTTTTTCTCCGGGATATCATTGCGTAATTATTTCAATATTTAAAAGTAAACCCAAACAACACGTGTGTCTAAAAGATACCTCCGAGACATCCTTCAGACGTCTTTTATCTTTAAAATCCGTCTTCGAAAAATTTTAGAACGTTTCGACAAGATACATGCAGAAATATTGATCTTCTCTAAAATATTAACGATCGTCAATATTTTACAAGAGATCAATATTTCCACGTGCATGTTTCTTAAATACATCCGCATAATCGCAGCATCAGGAATTTCACGCGAGATTCTCGTACAATTTCACAGAGGCTTCCTTACCTGGAACTGTAGCTCAACGTCTCGCTGAGCCAAGGATCAGACCGTCGGGGTTCATCGATTTTCGAATTTAACCGTCGGCCGCGATTCGAACGTGGTCCGCGAAGTGGCGTCAGTTCCGGAACAGCGGAATCGGGTCACCCGGCGGCGCGAAACGGCGGATCGTGCGCGTTCACGAGCGCCCCAATCGGAAGTACGTACCCATGATGCATCACTGATGTCAACATGGCGGACATGGTTGAAAGTGAGTAAACTTTGCGTTATTTCGGGTGAAATTAACGAGACGCGGGACGGCGTTGAGCGCCAAGCGAGCGGCCGGGCGGAATCCGCGTGCCGCGATTCACCGATCAGGGCGACCGCGCGGCGCCGGGCGCGCCCCGCGCGACCACAATCGCCGTTCGAACGGCGATCGAGCGAGTCGGGTTTAAAATTTCAAAAATGACCAAACGCGATTCAAGCGGGACGATGACGACGACGATCCTCGGGCGGGCGACGCTTCGCCGTGCGGCCAGCCGCGAAATGTCCACCCTCGCCCCGGTAACGGCCGCTTCAAGGCCGTTACACGGCTTCGAGTCGGCCTATGCCGGCGGCCACTCGCACCGACTGTTTACCGAATCTCCGGTCCCTGTTTGGTTATGTCACTCCGTCGTGGCCGATGCTCGACGGCCTCGGTCCCGTCGATCGCACGAAACTCGCGAATTTCCCCTCAACGGCCGTTCCGTCGGCGTTTGAAATTCCTTGCGCTCCCGGGCCCGTCCCGGTGCTCTCCGGGTAGAACGGTAGCCTGCCTTTTTCGTTTTTTTCATCGAATTAGCTAGACATTTTTTAAATTCGATGACGAGTGCGACACCTGACATCTTGAAGCTTGATATTCAAGTGCATGGGTGACTTTTGATCTCGCCAACATTTTCCACACACGATGGGAACGTCGGCGCGCGTAATCGCTGCCTTTCGTGTGCACCGTTTTCGTCGTCTGTGCGAGATCGTTGTTGCTGTTGATGTTCACACATCACGCTTGATTGATGTGTGAACGACGTACGTGAATACATTTGATTCTGGGGGATATCATTTTGGGTCTGATCATGTGTGTCCTATTGATTCTTGATGTCAATTTGCCCAGGTGAATCTGCGGAGACACTGTTGTCCATCAAGAATGGCGGATATCCATCAGTGGATGAGATTAAAACCGAGATAATGGAAGATGATGCGATGGACGTGGAGGAGCACAATATTTCTAATCATTCGATAGAGCCAGAACCACTGATGGACACAGAGGAATCAGAGCCGATACCAGAGCTGGGACCCGCAGCTCTGGGCCTGCAGAGAGTCGGCACCCAACCACCTGCCAAACCGAACCCCCCGACACAACCAGTACAGGTCTTGAACCGCAGAGGGATGCCAGCGAGAATTAGAAAAAAAAATAAGTTATTCTACGATGATGTCTTGATTAACCATCCACATCACAGGTATATTTTTCCTTCCTTACACAGGTATCAGAACTAATCATAGTTAAGATAAATGTATCAATACCTAGACATGTACTTAAACCTGGACATTTTTATTGTTTTGGTTTTGAAATATAAATATTTAAATATTCAATATATATATATATTCTCTGTTGAAAGTTTAGATATTCGTATTTAAAAACTAAAACAATACAAATGTTTTAAGTTTATATACGTATCTGGGAATGAATAAACTTTTATCTTATGCATTGTTGAGCCCAGTCGGTATCCAATTGGCTGAATGTTCGATCGTTATATCTGCAGGATCAAGAAGGATCCGATGAGTGCAGATGCGAAACAGTCTCCCAGGAAGTTGCTCCGGCCATCGCCAGCCAAGAAGCAGAACAAGATGTTGAACGAGTCGAGAAAGAATTCAAACACGTCATCGCATTCTACTCCCGCAACCACACCGGTGAAGCAGGAGAGGGAACACGACAAACCAATGCCACCTTCATCCCCGGATCGTAAGATTGGGCAAAAGATCGGCATGAGACTGAGGAATCTGTTGAAATTACCAAAGGCCCACAAATGGGTCTGCTACGAATGGTTCTACAGTAACATCGACAAGTATGTACGATTCAACAAGTGTGTCCGAAAAGGCAATCGTAAACAACGTTGCGAGAATAGTGGTGAACATTTTTATGCTTCTACATGTCGGTGTTCTTCGCAGGATATTGTTCGAGGGCGATAACGACTTCATGATATGCCTGAAAGAATCGTTCCCACAGCTGAAGACCCGCAAGCTCACTCGCGTCGAATGGTGCAAGATCAGGAGGATGATGGGCAAGCCGCGACGATGCTCGCAGTCTTTTTTCGAAGAAGAACGCCGCGAGCTGGAGAGGAAGAGGCAGAAGATACGAATGCTGCAGCAGAGGAAAGCGGCGGACGTAAACAGTTTCAAGGACCTACCGTCCGAGATACCGTTGCAGTTAGTGATCGGTACGAAAGTAACGGCGAGGCTGAGAAAGCCGCAAGACGGCTTGTTCACCGGGAGCATCGACGCTGTCGACACCAGCAATAATACTTACAGAATCACGTTTGAGAGAGCCGGACTCGGGACGCACAGCGTGCCCGATTACGAAGTTTTAGTACGTTCCGTTTGTGCTTCCTCACGGGGATAATTTTCATTGTGTGCATGTCGCTTGCAACATTGCAATACGTTTGTAATTGTAATTTCAGTCGAACGAACCGCCGGAAACGATCAGCGTGGCCTCGTTTGCACAGAAATTCAGGCCACGACACGTACAGTACGTGCCTTCGCCACCGTACACCTTAAAACTGTCGCCACGATTGACCAACGATCCTTTAATATCCAACGCCTCCGTGTCCCTGCCGAAGAAATCGCATATCGGCGGTATGGTGAACGGTTACCCGCTAAGATTGCTCGAACTTATGGTGAAGGTGAACAAGATATTGGCAGCTAAGAAGATCAAAATCAAAAAGTTGAAGGAGATGAATGGCGAAGCCGAGAAGAGACGTTCCTTCGGAGAGTCACTTCCTCCCGATTTCGAGAGAAAATATGCGGGGTATGGCTAGTTTTATGTGTAAATATATCACTTATATAGGGTGTCCCAAATCTACAGGACGTGAGGACGTAAAACGGACTATGAGCAAAAAAAGTTTTTTCACTTTCACCATTTCGCAAACGACACGTCAAATTTCGGGTTATTAATGATTGAAAATGGCCGTGCACAGAGAAGGTTTCTGTGATTAGTAATTCAAATTAATTCGAGAAATTTTACGCTGTGTAAATTCTTGAGCGTTACGCAATAAATGATTTATAAAATACGTGTGTACGTATGTGGAGAATTAGTGATGAGTCGTGTTTAATCCACTGTTCTCTCTGATATTCCCACAGGATTGTTGTTGAGCTAGAGAAGATGAACGCGGCTCTTCAGGATTTCCTAAATGACGTTCAAGAACTATGCCAGGAAATGGCGCCCGAGCCAAGCGTGGCGGCGATGTTAGCACCGTCGCATTTGCGAGAGAAGTGCAGGCAAGAAGCGGCGGATATGGTCGCCAGGAACAATATGATGAACGATAAAGAGCCCGGCAAGATGAATCAATTGGTGACGGACTTGACCGCTCTGATGTTGCAAGTCAAGGTAAGAGATATAGATTTTTGTATATTTTGGACGCGTAAAATTCATTTCACATTTTCCACGTATCTCTTGTAACAAGAGCATCTTTCTCACTTCGCAGAGCTTATCGGACTCCGACCGGAACGCTTACGAGCTCAAGGTATTGCAAGGTACCATGGAACAGATCAGATCAAAGCTCAGTCCTCAGAATCAGCAGGTGTTTCAAAATTGCGTGGAGATTCACATGCAGCACATTCAGCTGGGTCTGGGACAGATAGGCGCTCTGACCCCGTTCATGGCTCAAAAAGCTTGAAAAAGAAATTGACGAAAATACCATCGTACAAGTATTTTCGCCAAGTGTACAGTGTGTAATGAAGAACGAAAGGGGATCGTATGACAACACGATTTTTATAGGGAGCGAGGAGAGCCAGCTTTATTTTCTCATGTTGTATAGCTCATAATATTGTCATGTGAATCGCATCTCTACACGATATATAGGATTTAAGATCATTTATGTTAATTTTGTACATATATACATGGAATATATCTTGTCAGACTTGTTCTTTAATTTCGTAATAACACACTCACGAGAATATTTAGGGCAGATTCGTATATTGTTGAACATATTAAACATCTAAGAATGTTCATGTTTCAGATTTTTACATACTAAATGTACAATTTAATCATAGTGATATAAATATAAGTGAACTATTGAATCTGATGCGATGGTGTGTATAATGCATGGGTAATAATAATTAAATGCTTTAAAACCTAAAACATTTCTACACTCTTGTACAGTGGCTTTATTTGTAGAGGATAGCTCGGTAAGATTTTAGTGCGAAAGAAATTTGACACCTCTTGTCACTTATAAGAGAAATTTATTGCATGTTTTATAATTTGTCTGTGTCTTTAAAGAACACACGCGACTATTAATTTATCTTATTTTGGCTTGCCACAGAAAAAATTATTGAATCAAAGTATGTGTATGTGTGTGAGTGTGTGTGCGCGCATGCATGCGTGTGTGCGTGCGTGCGCGCACGCGCGTGTATATATATATATATATATGCACACTACATCTTGAAATACTCATTAAATTACAAATCACTGATACTGGCATTTCTCACGAGCAATATTTTCGCCGACATCAACGACACATATGTATTCACCGATAGAAACTGTTAAGCAACGAAATATCAGTACTGTTCGATGCAATTCTAAATATTCACGCTAACAAGAACTCTTGTAAAAAGTTACATTTCATAAAGTATTTTATACATGTACAAATAAATATACGCTATATTAAAAATCTCCGTATAAATCGCTGAATCCATATCGTCGGTCAAACTCGGTATTACAGGAAACATCCGCACAGGATTGTCGGTGACCTTTCGCAGCCTATTTCTCACATATTTATATAGATGATACACACAAATCGTACACATATATGGCTCAAAAGAAAATGTAGTTTGGTTAAGAAAATAGGAAAAATTCCTCGGGACAAAAATCATCTCATTTAAGTACCTGTGCGTGATTATAAGCAAGCTGACAGTAAAGAACAATAATTTATATAAGATAACCTTACGAATTGTAAAATGAATCACCTCATATCCCGTGTATTCATTGATTTGTGCAATCTATCTCGCGATATAACTACGTACATAAATTTTGTTTGATATATTTAACACAATATTAGCGAAGTGGTACACTGAGTACTTTTATGCTTCTGTTATCTTGATGATCATAGACAAGTTGACAAATTCGTTTCGTAAAAGGGCACTGATAAGTTATTTCCTTGTTTTCTTTCTTCCTCTTACACTTTAATTAATACAATATAATTTGTGCATTTATATAATCAACTGCAAGGACAGTAAAGAATATTTCAATGGTCGTTATAAGCATAACTTGTCACAAACACGTCTGTTGATTTTTGTTCATACATAATCGGTTCATAATATACACTATGTATCTCCGCTATGTACATATATTTCCAATATATTATCATTACATCAATGATACAATAGTGATGCTTACTTCACATGTCATACATATATATATATAAATCGGGGCATCCTTTTAGAAATGATTTGATGATGACAATTGTATTTCTTATCAAACGGAATCTCTAGCGAGAGGACAGGATAAATTACTTACATTTTGTACAAATTTCTTCAAAACAACAGCGGGGAGATAGATCGCTCGTCAAGACACTTCCTCGTCTAAGTTCTCATTAGTTACGCAGTAATGTCTAAGTGTAATATATTTTTCTGGGCAACCGCAAAATTCGCATCCTGTGGAATGATAAAATAAAGAGTTTGGCAAAACTCCTAATCGAGATAAGTTGTTTATTGATGGATGTAGATTTGCTATTTATAAACTCAACTCAAGCGGCTAAATAATTTTACGACATCGTTCATTTGAAACTGATTCGTTATTCGGGCAACACTTCGAATTCTTTGTTCGCATTTTCTTTTTTATCGCAACAATAACGTTTGCCTGCATCCTCGATAACGATCTTAACGATTCTCTCACTTCCGATGGAAGTCGCGCGCGGAGAGAAAACGAAAGATTTGTATTGTCTATTTTGTGTGTTTGTCTAACGTTTCAAATAGAGTATCCGCGGTCTCACTAGTTTTCACTCTCAACAGTACCGGTACCGGCGGCGGCGACGAGTCCGGTATTGGCAGACAGACCAACATTATCGTGTTCTTGTTCATACGCTTGATCGGTATGCTTTGAGTCAACAAGGTGTTGAGTAACAAATTGCCCAGCGCTGTCTCGGCGCGTACTATCAGCTGCGTTTTACCATTCGGTGTTGGTTTCAAGAACAACATACCGATACCTCTGTCACTGAAACTGCCATCTTTCTTCACAAAGACTTTGCATCTAAAAAGGAGACAAAAGTTACAAAGAAGTGAACAAGAAGGTGGAGAAATAGAGAAAGTTCATTTGCTAAATTTATTTTCACGCAACATCACAAGTTAACTTACGCTCTCTCGTCTCTTTGTAATAATAATATATCAGAGTTGGGTAAGTCAATTTTTACTTTTGACTATGTTAAAAGGTTAACGGCCTATAAAATTTTAATTAACTAGTTTAAGTTAAAAGTTAACTTACTCAAGGTTAACCGAGTTAAAAATCATTAATTTTTTGACTTTTAACTGATTAAATAGTTGTATTACCCAACCCTGAATATAATACATAAATTCACGAGGCATACCTCTGTTCATAAATTGCACCTTCCTCGGTTACTGGCTTAAATTCGGGCTTCGGTGGCTCCTCGTCATCTTCCTCGTTGTTATCGTTGTCCGTCTTTTCCTCTTGTTCTTGTGGTTTGACCGGGCAAGCGGCAAAAGTGAACGCCTTTCCGCTACGCATCAGGCCCCCCGTTAAAATTCGCGTTTATATCATCTAACGGTGATATAAAGAATCGAAAATGTATGGAAAAAAAAGATGAAATACCTGCCAAAGCTAAATCCAGCGGTCGCCGCGTTGCTAGCAGCAGAGCTCTGGCCGAAACTGAAAGTGGAAGATGGGAAAGTGGGGGGAGCTGCCGCAGGCTTCGCGTCGGCTTTCGCTTGCTCCTCTTCCGCTTTGCTGTCCGATGGGGCAACGGGAGGAGGCTTTTGCAAGAACGGGTTATTCTCCGTATTCACGTTGCTGAATATGCTTTTGCCGGGTGTGTTCGATTCTAGATTTCCGAAGATCGGCGGTCTGCGTGTCTCGGCAGCTGTAGCCGCGTCCGTGCTGCCAAACAGACTCTTTGTGTTGGTGGCTCTGGGGCTCTCCGTCTTCTGCTCCGTGTTGCCGAATATCGACTTGGCCGGAGGAATATTGGAGAAGACCGATTTTTCGGGTTTCCACTCAGCTGCAACCGAAGGGGGGGGAGGTTTCGGCGTGCTCGCGTTCGCATTGTTGTTATTACCGCTGAACAGGCTGCCGTCGGCCTTCTTCTTCTCCGCGTTCTCGTCCTTCTTGTTATCGCTCGGCGCAGCCTTTGTCGCGTGCTCCGCGGGATGCGAGGCGGTCTGCGCCTTGACGCTCTCCTCCTTCGACACAATCTCATTCAGATATCTCTCGTAGTCCTTAAATATAGGGGTCAATATACAAAACGGATTCGAGTCCACGTGACTATTGATCCATTGCGCGACGCTCTCGTTCAATCCCTTCAAGCTTGTGTAATAATCAGACGAGTTCTTCTCCGCCTTCTCGGTTGCCTGCTCGGCAGAGACTTGCTTGCCCGACTGAGTCATCTGAGCCATTTTGGCAGTCTCGTCCGTCTTACTCGCGTCGCTCTCGGTGGCTTTCGCGGCACCGTTGCTCGCAATACTCCTACTGGTATTTACAGTCGTCGTAATCGACGTTGTATTAACGATTGCGCTAGGGCTGGTGCTCACACCAGCGAGAAAACTGAACGGAGCGTTTTTCGCAGAAGCCGTGCTGAAACCCGTGAAGTTCTCGAACGCACTCTTCAGAGAACCCTCCTGAAACTGCATGAACATATCGGTGACAGGGATCATCCAGATAGCACACGATATTCATAAAATATCTTAAAAATATGGATATTAAATATTTTGTGAATATTCAGAAATCCGATGAGAAAGATTACGATAAATACTTAAAAATATCTGTGAAGAACATTTCTCATAAATAATAAAAACATGATTTCACTTGAATAAAACCACGTTTTAATTATCAATGGAAAATAGAAATATTTTTAAATATTTGTCGTATAACCTTTCTCATGCCTGACTCGCCCGAATATTTTGATATATTTACAGAATACTTAATATCTATGTTTTAAGTGTTTTATAAACATTGTGCGCTATCTGGGCGGTACAAATGAAACAAGCAGCAGAGAACATAGGATACTCACCTCTGGTAACAAACCTCGATTACCTCGCCTGGCAGTTTTCAGAACTCTCTTCCTGAGTACATCGGTCGTCGCTCTCGCAAACGTTCCAGCTTCCTCCGGCTCCTGCTCCTCGTTCCAATTGTCGTGATTCAGCTCGGTAGTCGCTGTCCGTTTGCCTGCCATCTCTATCAATTAGAACCTTTTGCATAAGGAGGAAATAAAGATTGAGCTATATTAAAAGTGATGTCTAATTATTGATATAATCGAGGCAACTCATGCAAATGACATGCGTTTCTAGCGGCACAGCAAGTGAAGGTGAAATGAGGCCGCATTTGCGGAATAATTGTACAATAAAAAATGTATCATCATGTCAGACGCTTGAACGTTAGATGCGTGCGACAAGTAAAAAATTCACGTCCGAGTCGAGAGAGTGAACAAACGTAAGTGACGTTTTCTCGTTTCGTCATAAAATTCGGATCCTACCAGTTACAAATCTGACTGTGCACGGATTATTCGAACGCATTATGTTGTCGATGAAGACAGGTTAGGTTCCTTGTGTGCGGGAACAACGTCCCGGCGGAACTTCTCAAACGCACCTCGTTGCTTCAAGTTCCCCGTGACGGCTGCGTCGACGAAGTCAACGGTCGCACTTTCGTAATGACCAGAACGGGACTTAAAAACAAAAACGGGAAGATCACTCGCACATCCTCGTGGTCGGCGCAAAAGTGATATCGATCTTGGTCGTGCTTACCTAAAATCGAAGAAATTGAAACGTTTACCGCGCCATGGCGAGCGCGCGGAGACGGCCGATGTTCGACTTCCTTCTTTTTTTCTTTTTCGTCGGTAGACCAACTGTCTCCTCGATTTCTTGAAGTTCTTAAATTTAAAAAACCTGTGTCGACTGCTGTTTTTTTCAATTCGACCTTACTGAACTTCAACAATTTAATTTTACAGTAAGTATATATACATGTATATACATATATGTATATATATATATATATATTTGTCATATACATGTATATATATATATATATATATATTTGTCAAAAGGCTATTTTGACTACACCTTGAAAGTACCATATTTTATTGCATACGTTGGAGCACATTGACTCTCTGTACGTTACCAATATTTTTTAAATATAACTCAAGAATACGAATGTATAAACATTATCTATAGATAGTATAGTAACAGTATAAGTAAGAAATGTAGATTCACTCCGCGATGGCACTTTTGATCTTGGTGCTATCCGGTCGCCATATTGTTGGTTGTGCGCGGGTTATAATTTGAACGATAGATGTTGGCTAAAATAAATCTCTGTGTCTAAACAGCACGAAATCTCCAAAGGACGTTTTTAGAATGTTTTGTGGAGATCTGTGCTGTTTAGATAATGTTGTATGAATTAATTGACATGTAATTAATAGTTCGTAAATATAAATATATGATGGAAATGTAAAATGATTATCAGGCAAAAGAATTAAATAATGACTTTAAAATAAAGTCAGAACGTCAAAATGTCTAGGAAAATAATAAACTAATAATTTTATTTTTGCGATTAATTTCTTGTCATTTAAATGTCTTCATGATTTTTTATTCTACTGGGTAATAATTATTCGCCAGATAGAACAGAACAGAAAATCACGTTAACATGGAAAAACATGAAATGATAATGTAAGGAAATATGTGAAATCAAAATATTATGTTTGCATTACATAAATTAAAAATAATATTATTTTTGCATTACATAAATTATATATATGTAAAATATATTTATTGTTATATATACAGTGATATATATGTAAAAATTTCATGATCATAAAACGCAAGGATTTTTTAAATATGAGTCACAAGCAGATTTTTGGTAAGAAAAAGATTTTAGAACATTAAAGCTCTCAGTCCATCGCTGCAACCACGCTTTGTTAATGATGTCAAAAGCGAGAAAATGCAAGCCAAGAATTCTTGCATTATACATTCCATTAAAAAGATATACTCACAAAATGATATTTAATGTGACATTCACAATTGTGATCGAACGTATGGAAATATAACAATGCGGACGAGATGTGTTATATGATCACGTATTTAGAATTAGTAGATTTATAAAATTATATCCAATAAAAAATTAAAACGAACAGTAAAGTAATATAAATAAAATGATATAAACAAATAATCAATTTACCCCCTCCCCCCCCCCTCTCCTGTTGCTTTTCATATCCATTTTGTGTAAAACTAAGTGTGTCGCAGACGTTTGCCGTTCTAATATCCGTTTCTTACCATCGTGGTTTAAATTCAAATCAACGATGAACTAAACGAAATTGACCAATTAATTGAATTGAATAATCATTTTGAGCGCGAGCGTGGTATGGTAGATAGCGCACTAGTCTCTACTATGCTAGAGGTCCCGGGTTCCTCCCGGCATAAACCAGAAAATTTTTCACACACTCGTAGCTCCTCTTCGGTGGCCCAGCAAACCACCAAAAGAGTAATGTAATCTCTTGCCAAGAAAAAAACTTCTCTCCAACTTTGCCGTTCGGAACCGGCGTTAAACTGTAGGTCCCATATGCATGTATACGATCTGTGCGCACCATGCTAGCTTCCGTAGGGCTAATAAACCCACGTGGAGCGAAAAGCCATCTATTTCAGAGACAAATGAGAAATACCTCGACGCTTAGCAGCACAAAGGGGGGAAGAAGAAGAAGAATAATCATTTCGCAATTAGTCAATTCCGTTGGGTTAATCATCGATTAGATTTAAACCCATGATGGGAGAAACGGGCATGAAAAGTGAATCGTGGTTCACTCAGGTTTGGGAAACCTGCCGTATCGCCGTATCAGCAATGGCATGAAGTAGGAAAGTAGTTTCGCAATAAAGTCAACATAACCCAGATATAAAAAAAAATATATACAATTTTATTGTACAGAAATAAGATATTTACTAGTATGAGATAACTTATTTATATAGAAGTACGAAGAAAGACTGACGCAAACGTTCATCGTTGAACCATTCACAGCTGCTGGACCATCTCTTCTTTCGAGTCTCAATTTTTCCTTGCATTAAGTGTTTTTACTTCGTTATTAGCTAGAAAAATATATTATTCCTTGACTGTTTTCTTATTGTCTTTGATGCATTGCTCTTGTATATGCCTATATGCTTGTTCCAGCTTAAGATTGTTCTCAACTTCTGTTTTCACATTACTTAATGCATCATCTATCCTTTGACAAAGTGAGCTGGATAGACTGTCCATTCCAGATAGAAAACTAAGCTCTGAAGCAGCCACTGCCATTTTGTGCACATAATCCATATAGCCAGTTAATTTCTAATGAAAACAATATCAATTATTAGAACCTCTTTTGATTTTATTCTTCCAAATCTCTATGTGCATTGATGTTATTACATAATTATTTACATATTTTTTTATATCATAAAAAAATATATATATATATTATAAATGTTCTAAAGATGAGAAAAGATCAATTTTAACTTTATGTCAAAAATACTTGTAAAATTATGCTGTATATGGCAATGTGATTATATTCTTTTTAAGCAATTCTGTATTACCATAAGTGCCTGTTTTTTCTCCTCCATTTCTGTTCGTACTTCTATAATCAAGTCCCAATGTGCGTCACTAACATCATGGTTCAGAATATCCGTTAAGAGAGAGATAAGCTCATTCAACAATGTCCTATATAAATATACTATAAAATTATCAGAATTTATGATGTTATAATATGACCTTTGTGTCAAAAATAATATTTACCTGTACTCGGCACTCATATTTATTATTGCCATGCAGGTAACAGTTAATGCTTGTGTTGCACTATTGGTTGCATCCAATGCAGAACGTTGTATCATAGATTCATATGTCAGATTTCTTATGTCCGGTAGTTCTAATTTCAACTTTTCTTTTTCACTAAGCTTCTTGGATGGGGTGCAGTATGTAAATAACATACCCGATGAATACTACATATTAAAATTAATGAATTATCAATTTTTATCATATATATGTTTATGAATAATTAAAATCTGAAGTAACAATAAATCGTGTTCTCACCAATGCCGGAGTAACATTTGTCAATAATTTTCTGAGAATCTGACGTATTGCCATAGCCGTCGATATAATATAATTAACAAATATAATGTGTAGAAATTTTATTTGAAACTATATACATAATATTGAATACGCTATAACACTCCCGAGCACTCCGTCTCCAAATGCTCAACGTGTTGTGTATTTACGTTTTAACATTTTCGAAAAGTGGTATCCTATCTAGATATTCATATACCATGATTGTTTGTATCAGACATGCGTAGACGTGATCGCAGCACCGATTGGTTATTTTCAAGAAAATTATTTAACCGCAAAATTTAATTCACGTCTTATCTCTAAAATGAATTTCATATTCTTATTCATATATATTCTAATTGAGTAATAAAATATAATTAACTTACTTTATAGTTCATAAGTAATAATTAGAAATGAAATGTGCTCATTATACAAATTAAATAAGCTTCGATAAAATAAATGGATAACGAGATATTACTCCTTATCGAATTTTAAAACATTCGATACTAATAGATTGTGATTTAACAATAATAATTTATAATATATATAATATAATTTAATAGTAAAAATATTTAAATTTGAAAATTAAAAATATACAAAAAATATATAATTCTCTTGATTCCCTTCTTTTTATCTTGATTATACGTATACATATATTCGGTTGTAAAAAATCAATTTTTGGAACTTGTTAAAGTTTTGATCAAAATTTAATCTATTAGAGATAACGGCTTGTATGATTATTTTCAATAATTTATACATACTTCTAAGAAAAATAAACGTACGATAACAGTATATTTCCTATTTCCTTACATTAATCATATCTTATATATTTTTTTATTCTTTCAAATTAATAGATACCACAAGTAATATTCGAAATTACAGTTTTATATTTATCGTTATTGGAATGATAATTCGTTGAACCTGAACGCCTAATTGGCAGTAGAATGACAATAATTTATCATCTTCTTGATGTGTTTTTCATTGCCAGAAAGTTTTGCTAAGTATTAGTTAGATACGAAAGAGCAATTTTATCATATGATTCTTGATTTTCATATTTAATGTATTTTGTGCGAATATAATTATTCTATTCGTAAATAATCATCAAAATATCTGCAAGACATGTACATAAGAACATTTGAAATTATTCATTATGCAATGTCACCATAATTAACAGAGAATAACAAAAAAAAAATAATGAAGCTTTTTTCACAAGATATGTCGCCGAACAATCAAGCGGTATCGATGTATATTTATATAGAAGAAGTAAAAGAAGTTCTTTCAGGATATATTTACAAATACATGCAAAAATGTATCTGTATGAAAAAGTCTCTATTCTGTGAATGATTCATATTCATGCGAAAATCATTTCATCACCTTTTTTTTTTTTTAAGCAATATGCCTTATACCGCAAACTCCAAATATGACGATAACACGTAATTAAAAGGTAGATTTTCAGCATTTGAAACGTGTTTAACATGCAAAGTAAAGTTTGATATATTACAATTTTCAAAATTTGACATGTGAACGTTTCGTAAGAACTGGCCTATTCACATATGTGTGTCTACATTGGTAAGTTGAATATCAGAACCTGCTATTGCTTGGCACTTGTGTAATATAATTATCGCAAGTAGAGCGGTTCTCGATAAGATTATCACCGATTATCTTCCGACCATGTGTTAATTAACACTTGCATTATAAATAAACCAACGGACAACATTATTCACGTATATTTCCTGCGTGAATATGTCATCAACAAAATACAGGAAATATATAATTTGTATTCGAACCCGAGTGAAATAATTTATCCACCCACTGAGCAAATGTGTCAAGATTTGATTGGTGTTTTAAATGCATCCGACGAAGATAAATCTACAGAAATTGCTCTAAATCGACGCTGCCCGTCGACCAATAACAAAGAATCACACACTTTTAAATAAATTATTTTTTTATAGTTCTTGATGCGTATCCTCCTCAACTTCGTTTTCACTTAACGGCTCCTCTCTTTCCGGTATAAACAACGACTCCTGCGTCTCATCCATCACCGGCGGTGCATCCTGTTGTTCCTGCTCGTTACTGGATGCAGTTTGTTCTTCTGCAGGTGTGTCTTTCTCAGCGTCGGCTTCCGGCGGTGCATCCTGTTGTTCCTGCTCGTTACTGGACGCAGTTTGTTCTTCTGCAGGTGTGTCTTTCTCAGCGTCGGCTTCCGTCGCGGAATCAAGCGGGGATTCCTCCTGGTTTTCCGTTGCTCGCTCGGTTTTATTGTCCGTTTGATTGTTCATTACAGCTTCCTTCGGCTTCCAAATTTTTATCTTGTTTATAAGATACTTAATTTCCCGGTCGAGCAACTCCATCTTGTTCGAGATATGCCGGACCTTATACTTTACTGGTTCGTTCAACGGCGTTTCAGCAAAGTGCTTCGTAACCATGTCATAATAATCCTGAAAAAAAAAGAACACATAGTATATTTTATCGGTATTATTGGAATTATATGTGTATAAAATGCAAAACGTGTCTACTGTTAAGAGGATGCTATACTTGAAATACTTTTACCGACAGAATATTAATAATATATTGTTTTCTTTTGCAAAATTTACATCTTATTGATTGCACAAAATTACAAATGCTTCTACATAGCAAAAGTATGTGCGTAAATGAAGCATCGGAGCATGGTCTAATATGTCCAATATGTGACGAAAACGATTAAAAATTTCAACACTGAATCTCGATCTAATAAAAATTTTCCTAAAACAAAAATTTTGCAACTTATACATATCGAATGTATGCTTACTCCAATGAGGAACATTTCGATGAACATTTCTTTACATACATAAAAGCCTAGAAAGGGACGGAAAGTTTGCAGAAAAAATGTTATATATCTTGGTTAGGTACAGATTATATCTCCGTTAGATACAGTAAAAGAGTAGCGCACATTCATCTTATTCACATTTATATCGCACTAACATTTAAAACTTATATGTATAAGGAACAAACAGAGTAACGTGATTGTGTCAATGTTTATGTAATATAACATTTCGAAAATCGCTTCTTATCAACATTCAATCAATGCTTATCAAATTCGTCAACAACTTGTACCATCCCCTTAACAACGGATATTTAAATATGCATACACAAACATATTTTAGAATAATGTCGTAATAAATTTTTTCGTTAATTTTGAGTTCTCATGAAAATGAAAAAGAGATTATTTAATCGCCATAAATATTGTCGGAGCTGTTTATCGTTTCATTGATTCACTGCGTACCTGCGTCTCGTTGATCGCTTTTTCTAATGTCTCCACTTCAACAGGCGTGATGACATCGGCCGTAACGCTCAGATTCCGCATACTATTCAAGAACAATTTACTGTTGTCGAGTAGCGAGGATACCGCTTTCAGAACCTCCGGGCGATCCCGGTGCTCGGAAACTCTCTCGTAGATGTCATTGGTTAACCTCTGCAGTTCCGACAACTTCTCCTCGTACACTTCCGCGGTCGCAGTGAATCCGTCTTCGTACAGCCACTCGGAGACCTCGGCGCACGCTTTACGTAACTCCTCGACCTCTTTCTCGGTGGCTGCGGCCAAGTACTCATCGGAATCGAGCCTTTGCTGCGCATCGATCACGTACGACTCAAGATTGTTCAATGCAGTTTCTCGACGCGCTTTCTTCGAATCGTGCACGTCTAAATTATGTATCCTGCAGAGAGAGGAAAACAGCATGATCGTGTAAATATTATTGTGATTACATTGACAGGACAATTCGTCTCTTCCAGAACGAAAGATATAATATTTCGGAAAGATAGAATTTCTTACAATTACATTAATTAAGCTTGATTTTTCATCTTCTGGTTATAGTTTAGGCTTAATATGATGATAATATGAAAATTATGTTTTTCTATTCATAGTTAATCATTAAATTTTTAAAGTTGCCACTACATCAAAATCATCAATTTAATAACTAATCATGAATAGAAAAACAATTTTTGCAATATCATCCGTTTAAGTCTAAACCACAAGTTAACCAGAAAATGAAAGACTGGACTTTATATTCGGGCTAACGTCATACATGGTTTTGCTCACTTGTCTTGAGACTGTAGAAGTTTGTCACCAGAAAGAATCTGCGACCCCAATTTGATCTCGTTCGAGCCAATAGGCTCCTTAATCTGAACGACAGTGGCTTTCTTCTCTTTCTCCGCCTTCTCGGTCTTATTCCCACCTTTATCTTCGTTCGATTTCGTTTCGTTCTTCTTCTTCGCCTTCTCTTCCGTGTCCTTCTGTGCCTCCGAATATTCCGGCTCTTCGTGCACCGGCTTTATATCCTCTTTCGGCGGTTCTTCCGTCTTTTCTGTCGTCTCTTTCTCATTGGACCCTAAAAAAAATAAAGACGCTGTAATATTAACGCGTTTCTCTTCGTACGTGTTTGGATTTACGTATACGATTTACAACTAGGGCCTTGCGTTTTGGCGTCGCTAAAAATTGAAGGCGTGAATTTAACCTTCTCCTTTCAGGTTTTTATTTACGCAATGAAATCTAATGAAATATCAAGAAAACATAACCATTTGTTACGCTACTGAAATCATTTTTTATATATTCAACTATCAAACTGTAACTTAAAATTTTCGCGGATTTCCTGATATAAGCGATCATCAAAATTTGAGCCCTGCTCAACGATTACACTATCTAATTCTTTGTTCACATACACAAATCTACACATATATGTATTTTATATATATATATATCTCTTTATAAAAATGCAAAAAATGATTTCGAGATAAGACGTGCATTAATCCGATACAACCATAATAACAATATTTTAAATCACCCTCTGCCTTTCGCACTCTTTAATTTCCCTGCAATCTTAAGAAACGACAGTTCTTCTACATGCACGGACACGACGTAAAGGAGGAACGGAATAGCACAAGTATCGTCGAGAAATCGACGACATCCATACATGCAACAGAAATTAATCATCGCCATCATTTTTTGCACTGCCGTCGGCGCACAAACCTGCAAAGAATTTAGTAATAGTTGAGCCAAGTATTGAGAAAGTACCCTCTTCTTCGTCAACGGTAACGCTCGACTTTTCAGATACTAGTTCTACATTCAGTAAATTCAATATTCCGCTATCGTCCATATTGAAGTGCGCCTTGACTCCTTTGCTCTCGGCACCTTCTTTAGCGTGCTTCTTTAAAGCTTCGGCTACACCGTTCAGCGATATAGTGGATATATTTAAATTACCGATGGCTCTGCAGCAAAACATACACGTGGTAACTTGAAGGGTGACAATTTCGGGACAACGTCGAGGGACCCTCGTCGACTCGTTTCCAATTTAAGTTATAGATAAATGGAAGCTATAGATACTTACGGTACCTCACTGGACGGTAAGTAATCCAATTCGGCGTAGTTCACTTGGAAGTCGAAGTCTTCCGTGTGCTTGTTGAATGTGATAATCTTCTTCTGTGGGAAAGGATTCATCCTGCTGAACAACGTTTTCCTCACCTGCGTGCGAGAGAAAATAAATTAAGAGAACAAGCAGGCGACACGTATCTCTCGTTGATCGCTGAGCAAGAAATTAAGGAATGCGTCTCGTGCGATCGGTACCTGCTTGACTTTGTTATCGATAATTCTATCGAATACAATTTGAATGGGAAACACCACGGCGTCCTTCGTGACGAATTTCTTGACTTTGAAACCTTGACTGAGATCAGCCGCCTTGTATGCGGCTCCTAAAGCAGCAGCCTCATCTGTATTCACGTTCTTCGACAATTCCGTCTTTACGTACTGCGACAGTTTTTCCTGCACTTTCGGCATTCGAGTACCTGCCCCCACCAATACAACATGCGATATGACATCCATAGCCAAGCCTGAAACAGTTTCCCCGAATGTGTATCTGGATATTGAGAGGGAGTTATTCGCCGGACACAAAAGTCACGAGCATATTTTACGTGTGAAGAGACGTTTACCCCCATGTCAAATACTTACCCGACGTCTCCAGGGCGATTCTCACGGGACTCGCCACACGCTCGAACAGATCGGCGGATATCTCTTCCAGCTTTTCTCTCGTGACTTGCAATCTGAAGTCAATGTCGTCGATCAGACTCTCAATCTGCGCGAAGTGGTCCGCGTTAGCGCTGAGCACGGTCTTCACGCGGCCGGCTTCCTTGAAGAGCTTCGCCATCGCTCTCGGGCTCTTGAATACCGAGTTCGGCGTCTTCTTCAAAGCGTCGAACTCCTTGGCCAGGTGATTCTGCAGCCTGATCTGCATCTCCAGGCCGCCGAGTGTGCGGTCGTATCCCACACCCAGCACAGTAACGTGAGGATTGGTCTCGACGAAACCCCGCTCCTTCGTCTTCACGTTCTGATAACTGACGACTGTCGCGGTGGTACTACTCGCACCCATGTCGTAAAACATAATGTAATGCGCGGAGTCGTTAATCTCGGTCCTACCGAACACGCCGTAATTCAAAGCAACAGCCGTGTAATCGTTTATTAGTTGCAACACCTTCAGGCCGGCGAGCTCCGCCGCTTGCACCAGAGCTCTCCTCTCGGCCTGGTTGAAGAATCCCGGGACTGTGATAACAGCCTCGTTGATCTTCTGATGAGCCGACACCTCCGCGAATTCCTTGCCCTTGTGTAGTATCTGGGCGAGCAATTCCTCTGGAGTGTACGTTGTGTTTTCATTTAACTTAAACGCTACAGTTTTTCTCTCATCGTCAGCGATAATGTTGTAGTAGGGAAACCTCTTCATATACAGTTGCACCAGAGGATTATCTATGGGCTTCCCCAGGAGATCCAGGATGTAAGAATAGGTGTTCTGTGGAAATCTCACGCCAACCACTTGGGCGTCCTCACCAAAAGACCTCTCGCCATCTCTGAATGCGATCGACACTGGTGTTTTCCTCTTGGACTCCTTATTTAGAGCTATCTCCATGGGAACACCGGGCTGCAAAGTGTAATGTGAGACGAGGTGTTAACAAACGTAATTAATCTTCCGGACGCAGAAATACAACGGGGTACGTTCGATCGGTAAGATTAGAACAAAACAGATGCACAAAGCTGTCAACTGACAAGTATAATTCTGAGAAGCATAACGTGCGAATCGCTGGAAATCCCCTACTTACCGAGACGATCGCCACTTTCATCCATTCGCTGCCGATGTCGATACTCATGACAGCAATCTCCTCGCTTATGCCGATGAAAGAGGCGACAAGAAGTAAGGCTAACGACGCCATCGGGAGACTCTTTCGCGAGAACTCCATCTGAAAGTCGAGCGGTCCTGAGATGAAAGTATCGCGCCAGTTGAGAAGGATGATTTACGCGAACGTATATTCCGTATATTCGGGAATCAGCGCGAAATCCATTTGCTCGTCCACCGTGTGTGACAGTCAAACTTGGTTATGAATACCGGCGGCATGAAACACGTCAGTCGTGAAGTAACTCGAATAAGTGACGTGTGAGCTCACCTTATATTTAAGTTTCAGACGACAAGTGCGTTATCCCAACGGCGATTCTCCAGCTGTATGCCGCTTAAAACGCACAATCATGCATTTCCACGACTTTTAAATCAACAAAAAATCAGAACGTTGTAACTTCACCTCCGGTCCTTCGTCGCAAGACTTACGTGCCGCGCACCATGTGTTGGTGTGGCATACCGCGATTGGTGAAACAACGACCCGCCGATCACCCACGTTGGCATACCGAGGACCAATCGTGACGATTCTCGTCTGTTCTAAAACTTATCAGGAAGAAAACCTCGCGACTGTCGCTATCTAGAATCCGGACGGAGAAAATTGGATTTGTTCTTCAAACTGTAGCTGGCGACACCTTTCTTCTCGGAAAGATTATGCGAAGGAATCGACCAATCGGGGCTTAACTCTCTCTCTCTCTTCCTTTTGAAATTTGTAATAATTTGTCTTGAGGAGACACGGTTTATTTATTTAGTTTGGATAATATACTTACTACTAAATAGTCACTTGATAATTTTCCTCATAAAAATATCAAGTACAAAAGACAAGTTGGTACAGAATTGTTGTATTAATAGTGGAATAATGTAAATATAAAAACGTGTGGAAAATAATGCAAAATCAAATTTCTAATATGTGACGTGAAAATTATTAACGCAACATAAGTAGCATGTAGTTCTATCACACAAAGAAGTCACTAATCTACGCCTCTTATATCTAGATTATCATACGTCTTTCGGTATGTGTCGGTATTCATAACGCATAATCGTTATATATCTCTGATGTTGACACCAGTGAATATAAATAAATTACCATATATGAGAACGTTCGTAACGAGATTAACCCGACGTCGTTGCAATCGAATTGGATTTAATATTCGAATATAGGGTATATTATACCGCAAATTTTCTCAGTCAAGCTTCACGTGCTTAATTTGACCATGTAGTAATAAAAATATTTCCAACCAACGCATTATATATCTGTTAACCCCATTGATCTTCAGATCGACCGAATTTGTACGTCAGCGAGCCCAAGAAGATGAACACATTCTGCAGGAACAATCCTACACCTGGCCAGTGATGCGTTGCACCTGTACATGAAAATATTATATTAATAACATGTTTTTTTCTTGCAACTATAATATACAAAGTGTCCTAACATAAAGAGAACATCTAATATTTCCTTGGTTTTTAATGATATGAGAAATATATCTAGAGCACAATTTGAATGGTTTTGAAGGAAAAACATCATGGGAGGAAAATTTTCTCTTCCACAGGGTCATTTTTTCTATTGTTTTTAAGGTCTCCATATTTATTGTTTCAAGATACTGTGACATCCTGTATATATTATGACATTATTACTAGCTGTTACAAATACCTGCAGCTACGAAATTGGCAAATAAAATCCAACAAGCTGCTATTACAGCTGCAAATCCCATCACAAATCCAACGAACAGCCAACTCCTGGCACCTCTAGCTCCCAAACAACCACCATTATAGGCTTCTCCCCTTATTTGTGCATTTGTCACTGAATTGACCCTACAAAATCCATTTTTATTTCAATCAACATCATGTCAGTAAACAAAAGGGACATTAAAATTTAGGATAGATCATATTAAAAGTATTAGTCATATTACTTACATAAAAAGTGATATAGTACCAAACACTCCACATACATGGTATGCATTTGCCATTTCACTGGGATACTTGGCATGGGCGTCTATAATAAACCACCAGCCTACAAAAAACTAAAATGACGTCTCAATGAGATGCGCATAGACAATGGAAAGAACAATAGAAACACGTCACATATAGAAAAGTATAGTTTGTACATATTCAATATTTATTGTATACAGTCAATTTTTTTTTATCTTCTGCTGAGTTAACATAGTTAACTCGGCAGAAGATAAGAAAAGATAAGAGAGCATATATATTGTATACTTATGATAATATAATTTATTCATACGCGCTTGTTTATTTAGCACGACTGTGTCATATAAACTTGAAGTCTTACTAGTGTGCCAGCAAGCATAGACACCAATGCGTTTCTTTTCTCACCGCCCTCGAACCAAACGCAGGTGGACACCTGCAAGCTCTCGAGGCAGGATGTCATTTTCTCCTGGCTTTTGTTAAAAACGTAACAGATATTCAATTTCGTGATTAGACAGCTAACCTAAAGGATGACAGATATCGCGTCACAACACCGAACGTAAATAGTAGAGTGTAAAGCAACGAGCATGATTTTGTAGCGCAGACAGTAGCGCCAAGATTCAAAGAAAGGCAGAAGCGACATAATAATCGCTCAAAAGTAGCCAATGGCTGCGTGATAAGAAGGCAGAGCTCAATAAATATTATCTCTAATTGGTGTATTTTTCTAGATCTATCAGGATCTTAAAAGTATACCAAAGTGTACTTCGATCACGGACAATAAAACTTGTTTTTTAGGCTGCGTTCGGAAACACCACACTGAGGGTAGAGTGGCATTTAATTAATCAGAACAAAAAGAACCAAGATTTCTTTCATGATTGGTCAATTAAATATTATTTTATTCTCAGTGTGTATTTTCGAACGCAGCCTTGAACGCACATTTTGCGGACACCTGGCTTTGCTGAGTGTAATTATTTCGGAGTACATCCTTCTATTACGGGTCGGCATTGTGAGGTTGATGTATGAATATTCGGACACTCATTAGTGATTTATTTAAGAAGAGGAGAAAAATAAGATTGTTCGATCGTGTTGAGTGGTTTAATCATGGTCGATCTAGGATTCATCTCGGAATGTGAACCCTGGCGGCTGGAAAGCCGATTCTTTCCCAGTAAAATAGGCGGTAAACCAGCATGGCTAGATTTAAAAAACCTTCCCGGTAAAAATGATTTGGAATGTGATTATTGCGGTGATTCGTGTGTATTTCTATGCCAGATCTATGCACCGCGCGAAGATCCCGACACGTTTCACAGGACTATATATGTTTTTATATGCAAAAATGTCGAGTGCTGCAAATCGAATAAGAACGGAAACCTGAAGGTCTTTCGTTCACAATTAAATCAAAGCAACATTTTTTACTCGTCCAAACCACCTATTGAAGAAAAAGACAGGGTGACGCATGTTGGTGCGTATTATAAAATTGTCGACTATTTTTTGTACCGAGAGATTATTGCAAGAATACTTGTATGTAATGTTTGTTTACTTTTTTTTCAGATGTATCGCAATGGGCAAAAACTTGTCACGTTTGTGGAATTTTCGCACCGTGCCACTGTTCCAAGTGTAAAGTCGTCAATTACTGCTCTCGTACGCATCAAGTGCACGATTGGAAAAATGGACACAAAGAAACATGTGGTACTGAAGCAGATAGCATAAATGAGAAATTGTACAAGAACAATAGTATTTTGTTCCCTGAGTATGAAATTACAATTGATCCTGAAGAAGAACTTGATTCTGAAGATGTCGAAAGTGAAAAAAAAGAACTTGAAAAATATAATACGATGGTACAGGATGGCACAGCTGGTACTCTTCAGCACGAAGATGTGGATGATGATTTATCACAGTTAGCTTCCAATGAAAAAGATCAGATATTTGCAGAGTTTCGTACAAAGGTTCAGAAAGATCCAGATCAGATTCTAAGGTATCGTTATTTTAAGCTTTCACGATATAGAGAAATACTTGATTTGGCTTCTGAATTAGTGTTGCATTCCCAGTGGATTTGTTGGAATCAAATCCATAAAAGATATGGCACTAACTCGGAAATAAATTATTAATGTCAGTATTAAATAAGGTATCCTTTAAAGAGAAATTAAACAAATTTTTGAACATAATAGCAATCAATTTGTATTTATTGACAGGTACAATAAAGGAGGAGAAGTCCTATATATTTCGCCACATAATCAAATAACAGATGTTCCAAAGTGTCCAGAATGCAATGGCAACAGGCAATTTGAATTTCAAGTATGTAGAATTTATTTTTGTATAGTAAAGTGCAAGAATTTGAATCATTAATCTAAAAAAAACCATACAATGTCTCATAGGATGTTTAGAAACTCTTTTGAACCTTTTATACATAAATATATTTTTACATAATTAAACAAAGGATATTTTTTATGTGCAGATTATGCCACAATTATTATACTACCTTGGTTCAACAGATTTTAAGTGTCTCGATTGGGGAATATTGGCTGTTTTTACATGTGAACAATCTTGCAAGCCTAATAACAAGTATGTAAGAGAATACATATGGAAACAAGATATTGTACAGTTGGAATCAGAAGTAAAACATGATACATAAACATGCTTGCTATTTCTTTATATCTATTTCTTTTAATCAAGAAATTGACTAATTTATTTTACCATGAGAAATCAATCTATTGAGCGCGAGTGTGGCATGGTAGACAGCGCACAAGTCTATTATGCTAATAGTCCCGGGTTCGATCCCCGGCAGAACCAGCAAATTTTTCATACGCTCGTAGCTCCTCTTCGGTGGCCCGGCAAACCACCAAGAGTAATCTCATGCCAAGAAAACTTCACTCCAACTCCTCTCTAAACCGCCGTCGGATCCAGCGTTAAAACTGTAGATCCCCCATATGCATGTGTACAATCTGTGTGCGCAACGCATGCATATATAAGAGGAAAAGAAGGTCCCTTTGTCCCCCAGATGGGGGGGGGCTGAGCATACGCTCCTCTTTCGGTGGTCTTGGCAAACCACCAAGAGTAGTATTCCCATGCCACGAAAACTTCTCTCTAACTGCCGTTCGGAACCGGCGTAAAACTGTAGGTCCCATATGCATGTGAGCAACCTGTGTTGCGCATCACATGCATATGTAAAGAGAGAGAGAAGTAGGCCTAGGCCTTCAAACTGAGGCTGTAGTGCCGAGCATATATATAATAATTGGATGGTTATAAAAGGAAGTAAAATAGAGAAATACATTAAAGGGGTTTTACATATTGCTTAGTATATCTCGTTTATGTAAAGAATATATTTCTGAGCCTTATAACTAATGTTTCCCTGATATCGGAAGTTTATTTGAAGAATTGTATTATGTAATACAATCAATAATGATAACATAAAATTGTTACAAATCAATGGTGCAAGTGTCAATACATCTTCAGATGCAACTTTACCATATATATATAATTATACTCATTATTGCATCATTATATTTAGAAATATTAAAAAGTATAGGAAACATGTGTGTAATCTTTAAGATGAAAGAAAAATTGTTACAATGGAACAGTTTTATAAGGTTCACTACAGAATCAATGAAAAATATGAATATAAAATTAAATTCTGTAGATTCTAGCTTGCAACTTATTAAAACTACGAATACTGCTTAATTCTATAATTCAAGTATTACGTAACTATGTAATGTAAAAAAAAACAAAAGTTAGCAATTTTCATTATGTATTTAACAGGTCTTCAAAAATACAAATAATTGCAAATCTTAATGTTGCGTAAAATATAAAAGGTATACATGGTCATATGAATAAAATAGTTTATAGTTATCTTAGATATAATAAGACACGACGATGCCTGGACATAATCTATGATTAAAAGTGTAACAAGAATATTATAATTGTTCAATTAATGATTGTCATAATTAAGATTATAATATTAAATTTCCTTGACGAAATCAGCAAAATTGCAAGGATGTTATACTTTAAAACATAGTGTATGTACCGATCGGCAATCGTTATTGCGGTCTTATAACCAATATCGATTTTGTACAGTGTAAAATACAAATCGATATAAAATATACCTAATAAATAATAACTATAAAACCGTATACCATTTTATCGGTCAGCAAGGTGAAATTTTACGCAATTTCAAAGCACTTTCTTTACAATAATGCTTGAAATCTCTGAGCATTAAAATTTGCACGGCTCTCGTTATATTAAACGAGAGAACAAATGGATCTTGCACGCACATAGACGAGTCAATTCTAAAAAATTCCGGATTGTCGCCTTTTAAATGTGTCATGTAGGGTTCCATGCCCTCCGGAAACGTTGGTTTCTTGTCAAGTGGTATTGAAAATAGTTTCTTATCACATTCTTTGCCTAACAACGGACATATAACGAAACGTGTGTAATTGAATTCTCCGTAATATTCGAAGAAACCCAACAACAATTCGTGTATCGGTAATTCAGGTACGTTGATAGCGAATGTATCGCCAACACCAACTTGCCAGCCTAAAATATAACAAAATATATTTTGATCAATGTCAACTTTTTTTTTAACACATAACATGTAATATATTGAATCTACATTATATTACAAAGTATTGTTATACTTACCAGCGACAATCTTCGAGTTGTTATGGTTCTTTATTAGAGAAATTATACTCGGAAATCCATGTTTAACTTGCAAGTAAAAGATAACCAACCAGGTGAGAGCATAATTTGATATTTTCTGTGTTCCCCTTGTGAAATAGCACAGCTTCATCCACTTTTTGAGAAACAATATCATTTTTCGACAGGGCAAATAAGTATCATTGAAAGATCTGAAGTATTTAAAAAAACACAGTAAATATATACCCTATACATTTTACATAACTGAGAATTCTGAGAAATAAAACAACAAAAAACAATTGATAATTCGTACTTAATTAACTTGGAATTTTCCACTGACAAACCATGCGTATAAGAAATATCACACATTTCTCCCGTTGGTTTGTGTTTTACTCTTATGATCGGAGTTCTGGTATGATGCAAGACTTCTTCTATTCTCCAAAGATGAAAGAAACAACGTAAATTCGACTCAATCTCTCTGCTCATGCTTTCAATTGATTCAGGGTTGATGGGCTTACCTATCACAGAATATAAATTTTTATTACCACAAATATATATCTCAGACATATCATCACATAGGTATACGAAATACTATACTTACCAAAATCAACATATATGTCGACGTCGCTGTCCTCCAATGCTAAGCCGGTGTACTTAGAGCCGTACACATGTAATTTTACATTCAATTTTACAAACAAGCATTCGGCCGTGAAAGTATACGTTAAATCTTCCATGATTCTTTGTATATGATACCGAAAATATTTATCGTTCGATTCTTTAAACACATCATCAACAGTTTCGTCAATGCTTTCCAGTAATGTTGTCACCTCCTCCGGTAGCGGCTTAATCGCAAAATCATTGGAATTTACCAAATATTTGTGTATTGGATTTCTACAGTGTGCCGAGTAAAGACATTTATCATTGTCATACCAAAGAATAGCACATGTTAAACAAAAACCAAACCCTCTATTATTTTTAGTACGCATAAGAAATCTATGTGTTTCATAGAGATGATCCGTAAATTCTATCTTCATCTTGAATCTCTTCTTGCATGGCACGCAAGCGAAGTACTGAATAGCATAAAAGAGAGGATGATCGGTCGTTTGTTTCAACAAATCATTATAATGAGACATGATTTGTTTCAGTAATCTGTTACGATTCGTTTGATGAAATGGCTTATTTATATGTACATGGATATTGGCCGCATTTTCATCCATGATTTCATTGCAAGAGTAACATTTGACGTGTGTAGATTGCTTCTTTATCAATTGTTGCAATAATTTCGGATCAAGCTGCTTTACCTGTTCGGCATGATTTGTACAAGAAACATGTTCGTACCATATTTGTATATCGCATGAATTGTACGAGGCATCACATGCTAGACAGGTAACACTCTGATTGGTAAACGGAATGTAAAACTGCAAATTTTCTTGGATCTTCTTTAGCTTCATTTCGCAACAAGAGAACATAATCTCTTCGAGGAGGAAATTTTCCATTTTATATATTCTATTGTAACGCTCCGAAGCACTCTTGTTGTTCCGTTTTTCTTCTGGTAAACGCATCCAGACCAATGTACTCATTTCTTCGCGTATGTCAGGAGTTATAAATATGCTAGTTTCGTCAATTAGTGGTAACATATCTAGCCTACTGGTATCAGCAGCCGGTAACATATCGAATCTACCCGTGGTAGAAGTTGGTGTTTGTTCCGAACATTTCTTCATACATACGTTAATGTTTGTTCCAAACATTTCTTCATGCAAAGAAGTTCCACTGTCTGTATCTACAATTACCAAAATACAATTATAAGTAAAAATTCTTGATACTTTATTATATGTTTTTCCAATCATTATCACATGCCCACATATTTATCTGTAAAAAGTATCTGCCCGCAAGAAATATATATGTATAAATATATTCAATTTTAATATATTACAAAAAATATATCATATTTCATCCCAAATCCCGTACAATCTTGCTGTTAGCTTCAAAAAACATCATATTAACATTAAAAGAGATTCGAATTAATTTTATATATTCTTATGATAATTTTGGCTTTTATATCTAAATAAAGACTTAATATTTTTTTCATGCTAACTTTTAAGTTAGCATGAATATCAATGTATCATTGTAGTATTAATTAAATTACATTATTTTTAAAAAATTAGCAAAATTTTCTCTTATTCTTTCAAGAAACTTTTAAAGAAAAATAAGCCACAAAATATCAAATCTTACAATATATGTAAATAGAATTTTTAAGAAAAGAAATTCAGAAATATATCAAGTTCGATGGGTCCTAATAATATATAAAAAATTATAGGAAATAAAATTTTAGAAATAATGTATCATGTATTATCACATAGTGTATTTTTGGTTTATAAAAATAATCTAAATAATAATATTAATTATTATGTTTCTGCAGAAAATATAATTATAACTGATCCCTTTTGATGTTCTTTGAAGAAAAATTGAAAACTCTTGATCAAATTGTTTCTTAATCTCTTAATTTGTACGTGTCGTTTTAAATTAACAGAAAATAAATCCTTCTTGCAAACATAACTATAAAAAATCAGCTCTCATCCACTTCACTACAAAAACATCTGGATAATCTTTGATTTTCACTCTTGTTTTCACTCTAAATTTCTGCGGAGCGATCTAATTCTTTCATAAATTCTATTAAAGTTATTGTATTAATAAAAAAGTAATTCTAGTTACCTAAATAGTCATCAGAATGTCTTTGGATATCTCTAGAATTTTCCTCTACATTGCAAGTTTTTTTGTATGTTTGATGCTTCCTTCCATTCACATGATCGCGAACATGGTTGTAAGTAGGTAATACACAATTGCAAATTTCACAACAATACTCGTGTGGTCCATCAGAAACTTTAATACCATCGTATTTTGGTATATCTAGAGATGTATTAGTTTGTACAGTACTATGCAGGCTGCATACGTCATTAACCCGTTTTACAAGATTTTCTATAGTTTCATCTAAAACATTTCGCCTTCCATTTGAATTTTGTTGGGCAGTTGTAAGATTTCTTTCTGCAGTGTTAGCTATTTTTTGTGCTTGATGGTTCTTTCCATTCACATGATCGCAAACATGGTTGTAAGTAGGTATTGAACATTTGCAAATTTCACAAAAATACTCGTGTGGTCCATCAGAGACTTTAATACCATTGTATTTAGATATATCTAGAGATGTATTGGTTTGTATAGTCCTGTACAGGTTACATACGTCATTAACCCGTTTTACAAGATTTTCTATAGTTTCATCTAAAGAATTTCGCCTTCTATTTGAATTTTGTTGGGCAGTTGTAAGATTTCTTTTTGCAGTGTTAGCTGTTTTTTGTGCCTGATGGTTCCTTCCATTCACATGATCGCGAACATGGTTGTAAGTAGGTATTGAACACTTGCAAATTTCACAAAAATACTCGTGTGGTCCATCAGAGACTTTAATACCGTTGTATTTTAATATATCTGAAGATGTATCGGTTTGTATAGTCTCGTACAGGTTGCACACGTCATTAATCTGCTTTACAAGATTTTCCATAGTTTCATCTAAAGAATTTCGCCTTCCATTTGAATTTTGTTGGGTAGTTGTAAGATTTCTTTCTGCAGTGTTAGCTGTTTTTTGTGCCTGATGGTTCCTTCCATTCACATGATCGCGAACATGGTTGTAAGTAGGTATTGAACACTTGCAAATTTCACAAAAATACTCGTGTGGTCCATCAGAGACTTTAATACCATCGTATTTTGGTATATCTAGAGATGTATTAGTTTGTACAGTCCTGTACATGTTGCATACGTCACTAACCCGTTTTACAAGATTTTCTATAGTTTCATCTAAAGAATTTCGCCTTCCATTTGAATTTTGTTGGGCAGTTGTAAGATTTCTTTTTGCAGTGTTAGCTGTTTTTTGTGCCTGATGGTTCCTTCCATTCACATGATCGCGAACATGGTTGTAAGTAGGTATTGAACACTTGCAAATTTCACAAAAATACTCGTGTGGTCCATCAGAGACTTTAATACCGTTGTATTTTAATATATCTGAAGATGTATCGGTTTGTATAGTCTCGTACAGGTTGCACACGTCATTAATCTGCTTTACAAGATTTTCCATAGTTTCATCTAAAGAATTTCGCCTTCCATTTGAATTTTGTTGGGTAGTTGTAAGATTTCTTTCTGCAGTGTTAGCTGTTTTTTGTGCCTGATGGTTCCTTCCATTCACATGATCGCGAACATGGTTGTAAGTAGGTATTGAACACTTGCAAATTTCACAAAAATACTCATGTGGTCCATCAGAGACTTTAATACTATTGTATTCTAATATATCTGATGTATCGGTTTGTACAGAGATTTCTGCAAAGAGATGACTTTTTCATAAATCCTATTAAGAAATTATCATATTAATGAAAAAAATAATTCTACTTACCACTTGCATAGCTGTCTGAATTTTTTTGGTCTCTAGAATTTTTCTCTGTAGTGTTAGCTGTTTTATTCACTTGATGATATTTTCCCATCACATGAGCATGAATATGATTAAAAGTAGGTATGGAACATTGGCAAATTGTACAAAAGTAATCTTGCGGTAAATTCTTTAAAATAATTCCACTGAATATTAATTTGTTACATTGCGAGTTCGATATTTTATTTGTATCCAGGAATTTCAATATTTGGTTTGTAGTATTTATCTGCTCGAAATGAGTCTCTGGCAAATGATACTTTGCTTCTTCTTTGTTTAACAATAAATAGTCACATAAATAGCAGTACCATTCTCCATTATAACGCGTTACACGCTGTGCCAGTAGATGTTTATACATCTCTTAAACAGTATAAAACTCACAATCTAGATAAAGCATAAAATTTTTTTCAAAATAACTTCTTAACTAAATTAATCTAGACTATATTAGATTAATATACATGTTACAAAAGTATTTTACACTTACTTCAAAATAGTGCTTTTTAATTGGTATTAATTGCACGCAACACGCCCAAGTTTAACTTTTGATCCCAAGGCGTAATCTCAAAGAAGAGGAAGTAGTAGGTATCTGATGAAAATTTTGTAACGTGCCTGAAATAATTGTAATTTTAAAGGATTGCTGGTATAGTATTTTCTTGTAGAAGACCGTAAAATATAAATATCCTTACATTCTAAAACATTCGTTCAACATCACACAAAGAAGTCTGGGCGTTATCTACGACTTTTCCTCGATATGACAACTCCTACCACATTTTTAAACACTTGGGATATCCCCGTTTTGAAATAGGTGAATCATGTTGGCCACGTTTAACAGAACGTTTAATTTTCACTGTTGGGAGTTTTCTAAACTGTGATTGGATTATTCTTTCAAATTATTCCTTTAGATCTACAGGAATAATCCAATGTCAGTACGAGAAATTTCCAACAGTATAATAGCTTCTGCCCACAGGATACGGAAATGTTTGCCGCGCGGCAAGAAGCAACGCGGCAGCCAATAAACTTTTAGTTCTCGCGGAAAAAGGGCACGTTGATTGGCCATCGCGTCGCCTATCGTCGCGCGACAAGCGTTGCCGCGTTCTGTGGACAAAAGCCATACCAAACGGTTTGCTGAACGCGGCTATTGGCCGTATTCAGGAAATACGGATGAATAAGCGCTCGACGTTACTGGAATATTCTTTTAAGCCGGTATTCATAGCCAGATCTTATATTTAAAACCGTCTTAAGTTTATCTTCAGATATTTCGTATTATATATTCGTAATCAATGAAATAAACTGTACAGTATCTGAAAATGAACTTAAGACGACCTTAAATATAAAATCCGATTTTATTAACGTTATCGACTTGCTGACTCGTATTCTAGATACGCTTACAACGATGTTAAATGCACTAACAAGTCAATTTATTAGTAATTCTGAGCAAGTATTTTGTTGTAAAAACGCATAATTACCGTTATTTCTTAACAGAGCAATGTCGAATTTATAATACAATCGATTTTGAGATTGCTCATATCTCAACTTGATAGCGTGCTTCTGAATACGAATCGCTGACTCAACTTGATTCGGGTAGCGTTCCGCTAATCACTACAATATTATAAACTATAGTATACATAACTTGAACTATAAATTGCAGGACTGCAAAGATTACTGGGACGCTGCCCGAGTCAGGTCGAGTCAACAAATCAAAGACGCCATGTGAAGATCTTAGATCTATTATGAATCTAAAAGTATATTCTAATCAAAAGCGTTATAGGTCAACGATTGTACAACCGTGTGTTTTCTGTATGCACTCTATTATTACGTGTCACTGAATAAAAGAAAGTTGCGATACTTTTATTTTGGAAAAGTTCGAGGCCACATTCCAGAACGTTCTTTTTAAAGGAAAATTTTATTCAGATAAAAATTGAAAACGTAAATCATGTTTAATATTCAATAATTTAAAGAAAACTTGAAATGTAAATTATATTTAATATTCAATAATTTAAAGAAAACTTGAGAATTAAAACTTCTTTCTTTTGTTTAATTCTAAATCGAATGTTAGCTTGCAGCATACCTTAGAACACCTTGAATGCGCTTGAAGTACAATGAGTATCGTCAGAACCGTTCTGTTCGACCACGTTACAAATACTGAACTGTAATAAATTGAAACTTCCGCATCCTAGAAATCCTACGAGTTGAAAGCGAAATGAGAGAAGGGATATGAAAACAGGTGAGTATCGATTGACCACTACATCGATTGGCTAACGCTAAAAAATCTCCAAATCCCGGCCGGCTGTGATTGGTGGTAAAATCTCCTATTGAATATCGGAACGTGATACGTCGGACATTGGAGACTGTATGAATCATCCATGAACATAAAGCGTATGCAACAAAGACAGCAATAGTTTTTCATAAGAGCTTCCGGTTTGCCTCCAATTCCACCACCACCAGTTACAGCCGGCCGGGATTTAGGGATTTTCTAGCGTCAGCCAATTGATGGTAGACTATATTTAGACTTATAGCTATTTCTACCATCATAGTTTAAATTTAATCAACGCTTAACAATGAGAATTCAAACTCTAAGCCTTAAGAAATTGACCAATAACAGTCGGCTATTTTCCTCATATTCGACTGTAGTTGGTCAATTTTTTAAGACTTAAAGCTTAATGCACTTATTGTAGACCGGGACTTCATCAACAAAATTGACCAATCATATTGACCAGTTCGGTCAATTAACCAATGCGATTGATCAATTCCTTTAAGTTAATCATCGATTAAATTTAAACCATAACGATAAAGTCAAGCACTACCCCTGATTCTATCAACTTCGGTTAATCTAACCGACCAATTAACTCAACGGAGTTGACCAATTGTATTGTCCAATTAACTAATCCATGTGATTGGTCAATTTCGCTGAGTTAATCGGTGGATTAGTCGGTGGATGGTTGACCGAAATTGCTAGAATTGGGAGTAAAATCCGTATCAAACTACAGATTGGGATTGAGATTGAATTATAATTTAGCCAATCAAAGCAAGATTCACTAAATTTGAGTTTAGTGATCTTTGCCTTGATTGGTTAAATTGCAAACCAATCTCAATCTTAATCCGTAATCTGATACGAACATTAGAAGAATAATCTAATCTCAACACAGAAAATTTCCAATAGTCGTAAAATAAACATTCTATTGAACGCGGCCATTCATTTTTTTATGCCGCTTTTAAGGGAAAATGATATGATAACCAACCTTCCGACTGAAATAACTGCACATTCCTTTCGGAACGCACATGGCGCAATCACCTGTGCGTGCGGAAGTGACAGAGCACAGAGAGCCAGTGCACGTCCGTGCCAACACCATCTTGCTGCGTGTGTCATGTACGCAAATCTAATTTGTACGAGCGACTGACAACTGTGTCTCTGTTTCTCCGGATTTCTTTCTCACATCTGTTCGTCTCGAGCGTCCAAGGTATCCTGGCGCTTCTCGTACGTATGTTCGCGATATAATCGAAGCGAATCTCATGCGACTTTCATTTGTTCCGCATGAACAGCGCCAGCGAGTGGTCGTGTAAACGTCAGTGTCAAAACGCGATACGTAAAACATATGCGTGACGAGCACGTTTGTTCTGCAATTGTTTACACTTCAATAAAGATATACGCAAATGTTTTTATTGGTATTAAAGATCCTTCGATCGCTTTGACATCACATAAAATTGAAATCTCGCCCATTTCAGCAATTAGACATTAGTACGGAGAAGCGAAAACAATTTTCCCCTTTTTCCTAATTACTTTTACAAATATTTTTATGACACGCATAATTTTTTCTATACATATATTAAGTATGATCAATAAAGATCCAATTAATGGCTCTCTGAATCGTTACAAAATTGATACTAAGTTGTTTTATATCAAATCCTTTGCCTTAACTGTTGATCTCATGAATTGCAGCAACAAAATCATGCGGCAGTTAAAAGGCAAGACGAAAGAAACGAATAAACAGAAGAAAGAGCGGAAAAAGGAATTTCTGGAGAACAAGCAGCGAGTATTCACGGTTGTATTGCCTACCGTTGCTGCGATATTTGTGATAATAGCGGTGTATGTTTACGTTAAAACCCGTCCAAAACTCATTGCTGAATATTAATGTCATACTTCACATTTATTATTCATCGAAGCAAGATGTATGCGTATCTCAACAATAATGCATGGACAATTCCTAGTTGCATTTTTACAGACATATGAGGATTTTTCTAAAAGGAGACACATTTCATCGTTCTCCCAAGAATATCTTGTACCCAAATCATTTCGGAACAAGATAGATCTTTGCAGATTAGTTACTTGATTAAAGGATATTTTTAAAAGCCAAGAATTACATAATATTAAGATACAATCATCAGATAAGACATAGGAGGAGGTACGATGTTTTCTACAAAAGCAGGCAACATAACATGAGAGGAGTTAAGATATTTATATTGCTATATAATAAAATTTGTTAACATTCAAATATAATAACTATTTATATTAATTTATGTCTTCCTTGATTTTTCTCTTTCATACGTACACTTATTTCCGATGAGTATTATATAAGTATAAAACGATACAAGTATAGAATTGTATTGTGTATTCATTTATAAACAGTATTTATTTAATGTGTAAAGTATCTATATTGTCCATATCTATGAAACGCAAATCTCAATAATTGTTAAATCAAACTGGAAGACATCATTAGCCTGTCAAGCATTTAAATAATAAATATGGGTCCAATGCAGTATGGAAATATATTTGTTATACATAAACAATACTATTGTATTGTATCGTACTGCTTTCTTACTTTTCTCCCTGTCCACTTATCCTGTGATTTTCCAATGACAATATCGCTGTAATTAATGTTCCAAACAATATTCGATCTGAAATTATCAAATACGAAACATTTCCCCACGATTAAAAGTTCCAGTCAATTTGTTGATTTATATTTGCGATAAAGATATGTCGATGAGATACGGGAAGAACACAAAGTTCCTCTCGATTATTTGCTTACGTACCGGTGACACGATGCAGACACGTGGATCATACCAATGAGAAGCCGACACGTATTTACGCCCCTGTGCTATCCTCCCGACGTCGCTACCCCGCTACTTTTCTCTGTCATTTATCCAAAGTAATTACAATGGACTACACGCTGCTCCGTTTGCTTTTTCTGCATCTTACGATTCTCTTGCTTCACATAAATTACACCCAAGGTATTCGTTGCGTTTATTTCGTAAAAATACAATTGTCTTTTAGCGTGTACTTATAGGTTATGTTATTACTGTCACCACATATTATACATTGTTTTATTAATATGTAGCGTATGAAAAATTTGTCTTCATATACATATTCTTATTTAATCGATGAATTATAATTCATTTTCCAATCAATGTTGCAAGTATTTCCAACTATAGAAATATCCGTTCACTGTGTAATCAGCGACTCTTGACATCTACAATGTAAATTGAACGCGAAGCATGAGTTATGTGCAATTTTTGTCAATGCATAGTAATTTTATGAAAATACATTGCATCTTGCAGGTAAGGGGGCACATCATGTAACCTATGGTTCTGTAATCAAGTTGATGAATACAGATTACAACTCAAGATTACATTCTCACGATGTAAAGTATGGAACTGGTAGTGGACAGCAATCAGTAACAGCCATTGAGGCCAAGGATGATAATAATTCCTATTGGCTTATTAAAGCAGAGTCTGGAAAAATATGCACGCGAGGGTAAGCTGTATGTGGTTGTATAGCTATCTGACTTATCTATATTATATTTTTATACAAGTATATATAAGTTACAACTGATATGAGTTTCTACAATTTCTTTTTTTAACAGGGAGCCAGTCAAATGCAATAGTATTATCAGATTGGAACACAGTGCAACAAAGAAAAATCTTCATTCGCATCATGTCTCTTCACCTCTGAGTGGAAAACAAGAGGTATCGGCATATGGAGAAAAGGGAGAAGGTGATACTGGTGATAACTGGCTGTTGATTTGCTCAACTGATTTCTGGGAGAGAGATGATGCAGTTGTGTTAAAACACATTGATACTAATACGTATGTTTCCTTTTATACAATTTGATACACACACACACACACATTATATTTCAGAAGAAAAAAAAGGATTGTTCCTACATATATATTTTCTGATCTATAAATAATTTTAAATAAATTAAAGCAAGAAGGAATGGAAATTAAAAGTCTTATTACAATTATTAATATGGAAATTCTAGTAAAATAGTAATAAATAATATCAAATATTTTAGTCATAAGAGCTTCTTAATCATTTAATCACTTAGAATTGTATTTAAATTCCTTTTTATACAAATTTAAATGAAATGAAGTACCATTTATAAAATATTTGATGATCTAAGACTTAACTTCAATATTCAAATCTGACATAAATTCTACTGTATGTTTAGGTTTTTATCTGTCAGTGGAAGAGTTTATGGTTCCCCAATTAGCGGTCAAATGGAGATAGTAGGCGAGTATTCTTCGAACAGTCCTCATACAATGTGGAAGGCAATGGAGGGTATGTTTATTCATCCCAGTGACTTCAAAGCACAGCATCATCACCATACAGAATTATAATCTTTATAGCGAAAACTGTAGGCTCAATTTATAAATGAATGCGTGAGTAAATTACCAGAGAGAATTATAAATTATTGATCAAAAATTGTCCAAACGTATCGCATACTAAGCAAAGCTTTCTTCTCTTGCAGGGCCAGTTGTCTATCACAGTTCATCTATCGCAAAGCTCAACTTTCATGTGAGCATCATAATAAAATCAATATAAAAATCTCACTAAAATGTCAATAAAACCTTAATTATATATTATTAATTTATATTTATTGATGATTATCTGTTTAGTACAAGTTGAGTTTTTTTTCTCTTTTACCTTGCTTTCTTAGCAATTCCAAATGTGCGGTGATCATAAGAGGTGTATCTTTGTTTTGTCGCGTGTATGAATGCGTAAATGTGTTGTACATATTACTACTGACATATGTATTATATTAAGCCGGTGCATAACAATAAAGTGTATTAGTATATTGAGTACAATTTCTGCTCGTTAACTACTTATTGACTAGAATATTGCTTCACACTTCCTTCAGTTCGTATTTGCCATTGATGTCTCGCGTGCCTATGAGACCGTTGTACGGGAAAATGATATTCGAGAGACCGTAGCTTCCGAAGATCTCCCTCAGATTTTGCTTTCCCGTGATGTTCGCGTAACGTTGTTTACCAGTCAAACAACTATGCAGCTTCCAGATGCCGTACACCAGACAGATACACAAGATCGTGATCAGCATATCGAAGATGGTAACGAGCAATATGCTTGAACCGTCCCGGGAGTGCAGCAGTCGAGCTAGCGCGATGGGGAAGCAGAAGTTTAAAAATATGTTGAAGTAGTCCGTGTCGCTCTTCACTATGTGATTGATGTTCTCGTACATATACGGCGCGATAACACACAGTGAGTAAAGACACGTTAGCGAGGTATAGAAGCAGAATAATATGAAGTTGCCCATGTTCTGGCGCAGCACGCAAGCGCCCAGGAAGAAGCAGTGGTGATCCTTAAAGTGAAAGCACTTGCGGCAGAAGACGCAGTGCTGCGTCGGCTTGCACATGTAACTCTCACAGCGTTCGCAATGCCAGAATTTGTAAGCCGTGTTGTGAGCCGTTAACTGCGTCGCGCTTAGCTCGAGTTTGCTCTGTATCGTCACATCACACAAGTTATTCCTGACCTCCTTGACCTTCATTGGATTGGATCTGTAGCTGATACTGTATACAGAATACCAGTTCAGATATACCTGCATACAGAGGAAGATGAAGACCGGCGAGATCTTCTGGTTGATGTAAATCGTGATACCGATGACAAACACGGTGCATATTAGCGTGACTAACGGACACAGCTTTTTAACAGCCTTGACGCAAGTCCTCATATGCTGAGCCTGAGACATGCCTTGTAACAAGCAGGTACAAATCTTTCTGCATGTATATCGATATGTATATATACGATTGTTGTGCGTATACGATATGTAAATTCAGTGTTCGTGCATTGTAGCTTTAAGCTTTGATCGTTTCAAGCTGTTTCTGTTCTCTCTGGAATGTTATATTTGTACTTTTGTATAAAGACAACAACACTCTTGTCAGATAGACATCCTGGATATGATATCGCTCTTATCCCGATTTTAAGCTGAAAAATAAGTGTAAATTCTTTAATACGAAGGTTGTATTTCAACACGCATACGATATAATGTTAAATTATCATAATATGCAAATAATCGTATGATTAATTGGAAGTTACAACATACGGAAGAGTGTTCACTGATCTCGGACATAACCTCGACGATTTATTTTTACAGGTTTCATCGGCTTTAGGTAATTTGGCGGGTTACAGTAATCTTCGAAATGGACGTAATTGGCTGTAATGTCCGATTAAACAGACGTCATAATTTAATTTTTTCTAATACGCGTACCATTCCGCGCGATATCATCGCATGCCGCTTCACCGGAATGCCGATATATATATACACAATGCACAATATACACATATGTATACGTAACTGCACCTTGCAAGGTTCGATGTACGTATTTTCATACTTTTTACATTGCACTATGTTAATTATATAAATTAATTAGTATTATAGTAATAGAATATTACTATAATAAATCACACCATTATTCATCACCATTAATCATAATGGAAGACTGTACACAAACACCATCAGTTGCAATTAGTTTATACAAAAGTTAATTGTTGTATATGTCTGATAATGTATTTATTTTTAAATTTTGAACTTCATTCATAATAATTTAATATTGTAAAACACTAAAAAAAGGAACATTAAAGCCTGATCTGCAATGTGCTCTTTGTTTCTTGCTCTCTCTTTTCCATAAATAAATAAAAGTTCTTACAAAAGGAAGATAGCAAGAAACAAGATGCAAAGAGCACATTGTAGACCAAGCTTTAGTGATTAAGAAAATATAATTTGCAGGATCTGACAAATCGCTAATAGTTAAACATGTAACAGTTATATGCTATTTATTCTCACTAAAAAAAACAGTGATATTTTACAATTACGCTTATGTATTGGTTCTATAACAATAAGATGCATTTCGAAAAGATAATAGATCTATGTTAAATTAAAAATTGAATAAAAATCTAACAATAAGAGTCCATTTACTATAAAAATACGATAAAAATTATTTAGCAAGATAACAAATAAAAATTACTCAGCTATTATATAGCAAACTATTTTCTAAGTAAATGATTCGAATTAAGTAGACTGAAAACTTCACTTAAATATACAATACACATTTAAATGTACACACGTATTAAAAATTGATTGAAATATTCAAGGTAATATAGAAATTAATTTAAAATACAATATAATTGCTACAATCTTTTTTCGTCTCTTCTTATCTTGATGTATACACTACTTTATACCAATATAGATTTTTATACATACTGTGTGATGTATATGTACACATATGTAAAATTATATAAACATGTATATTAAAATAAAGAACAATAACAGCTATTTGCGAATTATATGTAATGTACATGTATTTATAGTATATTATATATGCAGACATAAATTATTTGATTATCGGAACATTTCGACCATGTGACAATCTTCAGCTGAAAGTGATAAAAATTATATACATACATAATATATAATTATACATATTACATGGTGGAAATGTTCCAATAATACCAATAATTTGTTATTAAAAATATTATCTTCCCACTGTTTAAATATTCGCATTAATAATCGCGATCGGTTCTTATTGAATTTGTCTCTTTTTCTTCCGTAAAATAACATGTACCTACGTGTATAGTATATTATAAATATATGTACATTAGTCACAGTCCGCAATGGATTGTTACTGTTCCTTATCCTTATATTGTTTGATTTCAATTAATTAAAGAATCTTACCATTATTTACTTGAGACAAATATACATAATTATATGCTTTGCTCTATATACATCTTTGTGTAAATAACATGACAAGTATATCGAATGTGTCACTCTTATACGAGAGCATCGTTAAACCAGTCTCTAGTAATTACAGATAAAGAATGAATAATAAAATCAGAATTTATAATAAAAATTACGATAAACAGTTTATTAAAAATAAAATAGCAACATGGCAATACAACTAAATTCAGAAAGTACAATCAAACGTGATCACGCTCACGTTACACTGCCATTCTTTCAAGTACTTTAAAATATTTCGACTGCGTATGCAATTTAGATTATTCTTAGCGTTATTAGGACTCGTAAGCTTGAATTGTGAATAACTAAAGTCACATGTACTATTTTGTACTTTTTTCCCTTTTTTTTTAAAGAGGAGTAAGTACATGCGACAAAGCTACAGCTCGTAAATAGACTTTTGTGGAAATAACATCGATTTCGGCCTATGCGATAGTGATATACCGAAGAAACAGTTCCGTTCTATATAAATCGTGTAAAACTACGTAAATACATTGTGCCGTGATTTGCACACAACTTTACCAAAATAGATCGCGACAATGAATGTGCTGCCGACGATAATACGATTCGACATCTTCAACAATGTAAAAAATATGTCCTCACAGGATCTTCTCTCGTATTTATTATTATATCCGTTATGTATCCTGTGCATCATGTCGATATGTACATACGTAAGCTTTTATTACATATACGTATGATCGTATATAACGGTGCATAGTCGTTGGTTTTGAAAAAGGACTCATTGCCGCTTTTTATCCGTATAAACCTCAATCCTATTGTTACTCTATATCCATAATTACTAGAGGCTGACTTAACGATAATCCTGTATAAGAGTAGTATGCTTCACCGTAATTCTCCAATAGGCGCATTTTGAGACCATAACTCGTCTATAAACTTGTATAAGGTATCACTGACAGCCACCTAGAAAAAAAGCATTAAAAGTAAAAATTCCATGCCGAAATTTGGATGTATTCGAAGTATTAAGCATCTTATTTTCTCTCTCACCTTATACGGTGTTGGATTCAGATTTCTCTTGTGATCGTTACGCAGCGTATTGAGAGATTCTTGCACTCTATTACGAATCTCTTGCAATGTGGGTAGTGGCTGACACAATTCGCCGTTTTTCCAATATACCTGGAATATATACGATATATATGTATTTGTAATATGTAATTGCGATAATTTTTTATACTATATTTATATACGTAATGTACGTTATATACATAATTCAAATGAATGATAATTAATATAAACGCAAAATCATTAGAAAAAATCGTCAGATAGTCTGTAAATATTTTTACTATATATATACTGCTTTATGATTATTGCACTAAATGTAAATAAATATAAAAGCTAGAAGAATATTAGAAAGTATAAACAAATGTCTCTCGTTACATTTCCTATATCGCTCAAAAAGAGCCTACACAGAATAGATAAGAATATTTGTTCACGTGCGCGAATATCACATTATATTTGTTGGAAAATTTGATTCTCTGAAGATACCTTATGCAAAGCTTCCACTCGAGACGGCGTAACGTTAGCCCTCTTCGTTTGTTGGAATGGATGTCTGCAGAGAATCTTCTGCATCACCTGCGGCTTTTCTTCCGACGATTTCTGCAAGAGATCTATTAGTGCGTAACCGTCTGCTCCATATAGTCTATAAGCAACCTTGCTGCCCGGTATTGTGACTTTTCCAACTTCCTGACTGAGCTTAATCCTCGGCTCGCCGTTAATCTCTACCATTTTGTAGACGCAACCTAAAGCCGGTTGTCTCTGACACGTTACGAGATGAGTACCGATCCCGAAGCAATCGATTTTGTGACTCTAGAAAAATATTTGAGTATCAATAGATAATCGCTGTCTTTGTATTTTGAAATCGAAAGATGGTGAAAGGATGAAAAGAGTTAAAAAGTTTGCTCTAATTCATGCTCTGATCTCACATCATAGAGATATTCATTTTTTTTCATAAATCTCGAATGTTTATTTGTTGCTCTACCTGCTCGTTTAAGCTTATTATGGTTTCCTCGTTAATATCATTCGACGCGCAAATTGTCATCTTCGCAAACCATGGTATATCGTACTTAACAGCGATCTTTTCGAAGATGTCTCTTGCTACGTTACTGAGATAGGCCAGATCGCCGCTGTCGATCCTTATCCCAACGGCTTTGTATCCTAAGTCTTTCAGGGCCAACGCCACTGCGCAGAAGTTCAAGAGGCCGCTCCTGTTTGCAAAATATATCTATGAGACGTCTGGACAACCATCAAATTCCATTAGTTATGAATAAATGTTTCATGCATTGTTGAGAGGCCACTTAGGTCACACATCACATACTTTACGCTATATTCTTATAACAATTATTTACAATCACTAAACCTAAACTTGACAATATATTTTATAAGATACATCTTTTTCTTCTCTTTTTATAATTTCTTATTTAAAAATTTTATAAAGAATTGCAGAGTTAAAATCTTATCACAATTAATCGAAGTTTTACGAGAAAACCCCTGGGAAATCATACTGAACAAATGAAAGCTTAAAATTCTTATCATGTATCATTCTTATATATATTCATAATTATCTTAAATATATTCATGATTCATAATATAAAGCTCAAGTTTTCTCTTAGTTCTTGCCAAGTTTAGGACTAAAATACAATTGCAGCAAGTATTGTTTAGAGACACAACATAAAATAACATAAAGCATAATAACTACAACTACCTAAACTTGCATTCATTAGTATAAAGGGGATATTGATATTTTGTACAATCATTGCCATTGAGGTTTCTAGTGAAGAAAATTTTCTGACATTTTGCTAAACATTCAAACGCAGTAAATTGATACTGTACGATACAGTACATACGGCAAATGGTACTGTATGATACAGTGGGAATGGGAAATATTTTGAATATTGTATACTGAATATATCACGATTTATTCAGCGTTTTTTATTTGGAAATATACTTCTTCTTTTGCAATACATTTCTACTTGTATAACGTATTTTAACGGCATTTTAATGTTTTAGTACATTAACAAGATGCATGTTTGCAATGATGTTGTAATATCTTACAGAAGACATTGCAGCAAAGTTTTACAGAGAATGGCAAATGTTCAGATAATAATCAGAATACATACAGAGTTCCCTTTAACGCGTGAAATGTGCCCAAGTTAATCACTGAAAGAATAAGGGGCAGAATTGGGAGGGACACTATATAAGATCAGGAAGGACACTATACGAAATTCTTCTCGTTTTATCTCTAGCTGACATGAGAATAATATGATATGATAAATGTATATAGTTTGTAATTTGCCTGTTTTACAGAATATTTCTTTTGGTGCGACTTCTTTAACGATGAAAAAGTCAGAACAAAAGAGAATTTATATCTTGGTTGTATTCATATGTCAAGACTTTTCTCTAGCAAAGAAGCTTCAACAATTTAAGAAAAAATCTACAGATTTTCATTTCCCTTATGTTCGATTAAAGGTGATCTGAGTTTCAGAAGTTTACGAGAGGGCGTTGGTCACTTTTGTTGTTTCAAAAGAACATCGCACTAATTGTTAAGAATAATTTGAGTAATATGATTCGCAAAAAAGCATAGCTTCTCAACGAGGGCTGGCGAGACGGGAGGGAAAAGGGCGGCGAAATCGTATTCTGCAAAACAGGCAAACAGAGCGCGATATCGTACCTCACATAGAGCTCGCCCAATTCGCCTTGTCTTAAAAAGCCGTTCTTGTGTTGCGAAGTCGGTTCTGATTTAAATGGGTTGTTTCTCACGCCGTTTTGGGCATGTGTATTGGACCCGTTAGTTAGAAGTTTATTCTTTACATTTAGGCTGGCCACTTGTGCCTGCCTCCTGGCCGACGTCTCAATGCTATAAACACACTCCGGTTAGGCTAAACACACATACACACATACACACACACATACAGTGTGTACACGTGTCGTCATGCCTGCTCGACGCGCGCTCGACAAAACTAAATTATACAGCCGCCAACGTGATCAAATTAAAGATAAAGTAATTCATACATTTCTCTCTCTCTCTCTCTCTCTCTCTCGCTCTCTCTTTAAAAATACAGATTTACTCTGAGGTACATCAGTCATTCTTTCGTTTGTGATGCGTGATGTTGTATTCTACGATATACAGTGGAAATACGATGAGGATGCTTATAAAGCGAAACTTTGTACGTTACGCAAAGCGCTGCATTTGAGCTTTGAAGCTAATAATCACTATCCTATGCATCTCAGATAATACTCCGATTATTATCATCTATGTGAGGACTTTGTACATATGTGCACATAGCCAAACAAAATGCAACCTATGTACATAAAATATTGCAAGCTGTGTGTACATATTTACGACAAACGGCCATTTCTACGCATTAATACGTTCATGCGACACATGTTGGAATGTCTGAAGAATACGCGAACGACACCTTGGTATGTCACTTTTGCTGAGAACAGTTCGACTCGTCGTCAGAAATTCGCCGTTCTTGTGTAACTTGGACACTCTGTATAATTGCTAAATATAGTCTAAGGTGTACTACGTTGCATATCAATGCAAATAATAGATACAATAGCTAACAAACACAAGTACGGAGAAATAATAAATAGTTAACGGGAGATAGTAAAGTTTAAAACTATCGAAACTGCCGATTGAAAATAAAATATACAAAGTAAAGTTTATACGCATGCAAATGACAAGGTACCTCGTGCAAAAGGCTTTTGGTAAAATTAAAATGCAAATATGCGTTAAAGAGAGTTTTATGTATGCATACAAAGCTCGTAAACTACGAAATTTGGAAACAAACGAAGTCGAGCATTCTGCTATCACAGCGACGAAATAAAGATACAAGCGTAAAGCAGCGGCCGCGGTAGTGAATACGTACCTTTTGACGTCATACGTGTCCACTAGAGCGGTGAATCTTTCCGGGAAAGCAAGGGCGTAACTGATCAGGGCCGCAAATTCGCTGCCAGATGCTTGCGAGGCTAATGCCCCTAAATCGTCAGCGATATCCTCGCGATATTTGCAGGCGAGTTCCAGCAGATCCAGAACATCTCCTGTCTGTGCGTGCGCCAACGTCTACGAAAGAAAGTGGACCAATTTTATTTTCTCACTTTTGACTATATTCTCCTCAGAAAGTCCCGACGTTCCTATTTCATCCAATGAACGAACGAGGCTTTTCGTAAAAAGGAGAGAGAGAAACACGTTTACTTTTCTTTGCAAGTCATCGATGCTGGTGAAAGACGTGATGTATGCATGTGCATGCGTGCCGCAAACGGGTATATTGAACAGCTTTCCAGCTAAAACATTACTGGTGCCATCGAATCCACCTGTGACAAATTACCTCAGATAAGTCTAGAATATCGAGTCGACCGATATTTTGACTTCATTTGTGTATGTATCTATGTATCTATGTACATATCAAATCACATGAACCGTAAATTTCTATCTGAAGTTTCTGTATTCGTACATAGCAGGTTGGCATATGTATACATATATGTATATATCGTCAACCTGACCTCTGTTACTCATCACCTAGCGAGGCGGTACCAACCGGCACAGGGCGGAACAACGTATTGATTTTGATTGACTGAAATTGTTAAGTATAGTGTAAGGGTGATAGAGTGGTACCAGACACCTCCCTTATCCGTTACGTATTATATCGCAAATTTATGCACACATGTATCCACAATGCTTTGCATATTTGAAACTTAATGTGTAATACGTAGTAAACACGTGTCTGTTCTAGATACATTATATAAAAAGATAAGTACACTTTATCAATAAATAAAAGAAAATTGCAGAAAATACGTCAACATGATTATGCCGTTTTTAATGCATATATGTATATATGCATGCAATCTCACGTTGCACTATCTGCAACTATAAAAAGTGCACTATCTGCACTATAAAAAGTGTTTACAACATTCAACAATTGCGTAGTTGCTATATAAAACACTCTGACGAGAGTAATGATAGTATGCAAATTCGAGAATGATAGTCGATATAAATTTTATTCGGCGTGAAAGCTTGGAAATGCAATACTAATTGGCTCTATTTAATGAACTTGCAGTATAAAATTACTTTAAGCACTATACATAAACTGTTTCTAGAATTTACTGATTTATCATATACTAAATTAATTTCATAAAATAAGTTTAAAGTATATTCACCAATATAGCTGTACTTAGACGCGCTCAATCCACCGTCGGGCCCTTGCGCTCGTCGAAGTCCGAATTCCAGTAATGTTATATGTTTCCCAGCAACCATGCGATACCTTGCTGCATTAGTGGCCATTAAACTCGCATAGTTCACTAACGTTAGTAAAGTAGTTTCCAACAGTTGCACCATTATCAGTGGTCCTTCCACTCTTATTAGAGGAATTCTAACGAAATTTATATCTACGTAAGATACATTTTTATTCGTTTGAAATAAAAAAATATAATTTTAAAGGCTCGGTAAAAACGCAGTTCTTTCAATTTCTCCACGATTCTTTTTAGTTTTCGCGAAAAACGCAAAAAACGCTTTTTTCTATTTTTTTCATGGATTTTTTTGGCGAAAAAATTGAGGGAAACGGTTTTTTAGAACTATAAGAGAAATGTTATTTATTAAAAATAATAGAGAATATAGATAGTAATATAGATAAATGATATAGATAACAATCTTATATGTACAATATGGGAACATATATTTCTAATCATTTCTAATCTTCACATATATATTGATAGATACATAATAATATATAGATAGATTATATATATTCTCGATATATAGATAGATATGCGCGTGTATTAATTTTAATTATTATTTTTTAATTATTTATTAATTTTAATAAACCCACCTTGGAAATACAACGGAACCTTCTTCTATGGCGTGTAACGTGACGTTCTTTGCAGTGAGGCTCTGTAGATAATCGAAGAAACTTTGGTCTACCATAGGCATAGTCGATTTTAGGTACTTGATATCTGCAGTATGAAACTATGTAATATAAGTTTACTTAAGAACCGCGAGTATATAGCATGTAGATCCCACAAATACACACCACTGCAGGAGTAATGGAATTTCTTCAAGAACTTTATGCATTCCTCGAGGCCGGCGAAAATCGTGAACTCTCCCTGGAAGGGATTTTTGCGAAAGAACAATTCAAATACAGCATGGTCGTTCACCTTGCCGCTCTTCCAATAGGCGTAAGCCATTGTGATTTGATATAAATCTGAAAACATACATCACTTACTTGGAACGGGCAACAAATAAACTTCAAACGCACGCGAGTTTCAGCGCTATTAGAAAAATTATACACGAAGTAGATTGAGTCATCAACAAAGCAATCTAGCTTCAATTACATACTCAGCGCTAGCAGCAATCAGGTGACAATTAAGTAATTATGTAATGCCATGTGTCTTATCATTAAACAAAATTACACGTCCAAAGATATACTGTTTCATCCTCGAGCTTTCGCGCGTTACGGCGTGTAAAAAAAAAACAAAAAAACCAGACATCTTTTTTTGCTTGTGAAAGCATTGAAAACGACCCACATCCTAAACAGATTCGTATTGACAAAACAATCTGCTCAGTTGAAATATGAACTCGGGATGTGTTGCTTGCATCATCGATGTGAATGACATTATTTACAAATATAATCAGGCTCTTGTAACATATACGATAAGTAAGATACGCGAGCGTTTACATGGTGCTGACAAAATTCCGTCACAAACAATTCATATCAATTCTATATACCGTTTATCACGGTTTTGAAATTATTTCGGAGATACACAAGATCCTTGACTTTTACGACGTTGAGGTCAGTCTTCGCGGACATGTCCCGTCCTTTTTATCTTCGTGTGTTTCGTGTATCAGTTGTGAAAACACAAAACGCCAAATATATTTCCGATTAAACGTGTACTTACTAGCGCCGAAATTGATTACTTTACAAATCGTGCAAATAGAAAATAAAATAGATTACTTTTCCTATTAATCAGGAATTTTTTCTTGAAAACAGTAGAAAAAATACGATCTTAAAACAGTATGACCTTAAATATATGATTTCAATTATGTATTATCACGATTATCAAAATATCGATATAAACTAAATATATCTGTATATAAATATCTATCTAAATATATCTAAATATATCTAAATAAATCTAAATAATTATTTATGCTGTTGTCTTTGAGTTTATGGGAATAATTTCTGATGCGTCTCTTAAGAAATAAAGTTCTGGAGATGATGAAACCTTTCTGCTATCATTACATTGAATTACCGCGAATGAGACTTTTGTCCAACTGTATAATTGTACGTATAATTGTCGCGTTCAAATGACCTCCCCGTCTCTCTCTTGCTCTCTCTCACTCTTTGTCGAGAGAGACAGAAAGAGATAAAAAGGAAAGACAAAGTGTAAAGAGACGGTGATGTCAGCTGGATGTAATAAGCGAGATAGCTCTTTATAAAGTATAATTTTTAAATACCTGTGAGTAACGGCTGCACCACACCGTTCTGACGCGAATTGCAGCACGTTCCACCGTGGTCTGTTGACATTTTGCGGCCTTCTCACGCGTGCGTTCGCTCGGGAGGAAATAAGTTTACTACTTTCGTTCTTTTTTTCTCTCTTTCTCCCTCTCTCAGTCCCGACCCGCTTAGGCGTACTCGCGTTTCAGCTACGCTCTTCTCGTGCACTTCTGCGTGGAAAAACGAGCGCATGTTACATCAGATTCACGTCTCCTCGATAACCTCTCCTGCTGTCCGGGTCAATTTACACGCGAATTTAACTAGTAATAGTAACGGTCACCGAATGTCAACGTTCGAGCGAACAGATATAGATATACATGAGACACATCGTGTATCTCTACTATTATCGGTTAATTCGTCGGGACACACTCGCGAAGGTTAACTGCGTTGAATGACAAATGCCTCGGTTATTCCTGCACAGATATATATATATATATATATATATATATATAAATATTTTTCCTTCCCTTTTTCTAAACAAAACTCTTCTTTTTACTTTCCCGCGTCTTCCCGACGTTCCATAACGGAAAAAACTTTCAAAAATCGCCGTAACCACCGCTAAATTTTGTACGATCGCGCCTGGTATACTCGAAATTTCCTAGAACACAAGACTGCACGCTCTGACTGCACTTTCTGCACCTTACTCGAAACGAGACGAAAGCAATATATGTGTTCTCACACTTCGACGGGAAAGAGATGCAACGAGCGTCGGAGGTGCAAAGCTGAGGGGGGGGGGGTGAACCTCTCCGAGTGGAGCGGAAGAGATTGGCCCGTACACGTTTGTGAAAGATACGACCGAACAAACCTCTTTTTTCGCCTATCTATGTGGGTCGCGTTGGCTCGACACACAGTAGAAGTGCTTCTTTCTCTTCCTGTCGCCTTTTTTTTCTCTCTTCAAACGCATACAGTGTCTCTCTCTCCGTCGAGATATCGCCCTCACATCGTTTCGGTTCTCGATTGAATTTGGAGTTAAACTCCTCGTGGTAGCGCTCTTCACGGTCCTTCTCGATCCTTTCTCTCGTTCGTGCCGTTGACCGTCGAGAGTACACTGTCACGATATTGTCGTACCAATACCTCCGATGCCACCGACGTGTTGGCTGCAACTAACGCGCCTCGACGCGCGCCGCACTGTAATATATGCCCCGACAATCCGCGAATCGATGCGGAAACGTTTGAAGGACACCCGACGCCATTGGCACGCCTGATTCACTCTCTGCTCCCGAATAGCGCGCTCGTCGAAAAGTCACTAGATTGGAGATCTGTTCTTTCCACCTTCACTGTATTACACTTTTATATAATTTTTGTATAATCGCGGTAGGGTGGATTTTTATTCTAGACTCGGCGAAAGGAAAAAGTCAAAAGAAACAATTATGAGAAAATGCAAAAAGCACAGCTGAAAAGAACGACGTAAAATTAAATGAATAGAGAAGTGAAAGTTGCAATCATCCCATCCAAAAGTGCAGGTATGAATTGATTCGCGCTTTGTCGTCTCTCCATTGTTTTATTCGTGACTAAAGTTTAAATTTTTGAATTTGAAGACAGTTTGGAATCTTGCGAAATGAAGGACCATGGAAACTGTGGTAACCTTTACGAATGAACGAAGGAAATAGTGACAAGCAAAATGCTGAATATAAATTGCTGTTCATGAAAATTAGCTGGGAATCGTTTAACGTCATCCGTTCTCAGCTTTATTTGACGAGGTCGGTAATACTTTTGCATTATCTTAACATATGGAAACTGATAATGGTTTCCTGACATGGTGATATTTATTTTTTATCTTCTAATATATGAAAACTGATGGATTTAATCTTTAGTAAGTGACGTCTTTTAGACGTTATAAAAGTGATATCTCACACATGAAACAGCGTAATTAAAACCCATCGTTAGTAAATATTTTAATTGTACTGATTTTCTCAGCTCTTTCTCATATACGTACTATGATACCAAAGATATATCGAATTTGCGTTTATTGAGAGTTAAGTGAGCTTTTGACCCTCAACCTATACGAGTGTAAAATAATTTTATTCACAAAAATGTTTGTCAAATAATTATAAAATTCACATACGCGCTTATTTATAATGTATTGCTTGGTAATATTCCTGCTAGAAAACTACAAGCTCCAAACCTGAAAAGATTATTATTTAACCTTGAAACTGTGTATGAATATTCTGCATTTTTTGCTCTTAACACATTAAGGGCGGGAGTCGTAGTACTACGATTTAGCTCGACTGCGGCTTAAAGGCGGGAGTCGTAGTAAAACAATTTAGCTCGACTGTACCTTAAAGTTTTTATGATCACACAAAATATCGCCCGCCGTTAATGTGTTAAGATAAAGAAAAAAACAGGATTTTCTATTTGAGGATTAAATTGGAAGGACTTAACAAGTACGCGACAATGAACTTTTTTAATATCGTTGCTGAGAAAAATTCAATTGCCAAAGAGGTTTGTTATGTATACGTGATTTGTTTTCTGTAAAATGTTAATGTAAAACGATAATCTCGCATTATGATGCAAATATACGTATTAGATACCGTTCTGTCTCAGCAGTAGTGCCATGTGGTTCCAAGTTCCATGTGGAAACATCCGAATTCACGCCGAAAGCGAGTTTCAAGGTCGCCAGTTGTTATCGTCGCGGAATTACGAACTTTAAAGTGATCATACAACGAACTTTATAATGCGTCTTATATAACACAGACCGCGGTAACGCAGCGCCGAACGGAAGAAACCCGTGTACTTTAGTAGCACGATTCATTGGCGGTGTATTTGTCCAATGTTGGTTATATTGGCATATATTGAGCAAATCTTGCCAAATAGAAAGCCATCTAAACAGCCAAACCTGCAGAAACAGATTTCACACAGTACCTGCTATTAATTTTGTCGATATCTTAAATATAATAGAATTAGAAATATAATGGGATTTGTTAGCAGAATTTGATAATAGATTAATTTGTTATCATACTCCGCTGGCAAATACTGTTATATTTCTGTTGGCAAGCTGTCAAAAAAATTTATAGCAGATACTACGTGAAAATTTTATAGCAAATACTATTGAAATCTGCTTTTACAGGTTTGATTGTCTGGCTGAATTTATATTGGGCAACATTCACTCAATGTACCTCCCAATGAATGCCAATATAACCGATATTGGAGCAATGTATCGCCAATGAATTGTGCTACTAGGATAAGTGCACGCGATTTTCTCACTTCAGTTGAGTACCGATCAAGAGTAATTCAACAGCCGCCGTGCAGTTTCTCTTGACACCAAGACATTATGCTGCTCTCGAGATATAAATATACACTCTAGAGCTTGCAAATAGACACCATGTTACGCGCCCAAGACTCTGTTCTGCGTCTTTTGTTGTGCATTTTTATTTTGCACTGGAAACGTATTGACTTGAAGATGGCCAATGACAAAGACACAAATAATATAATTCGTTTCTTTCTAGAATTAAGGTTTAACGAACATTTTAATCATAAATTTTTCAACCTTTCCCCTCCTAATGAAACACCTAGTATACGCAGAGTATATCCAGCAAATCACTAATTATTACCAACGTAATATCAGTGTTATTATTTCTCGCTTGACAATATAACTGTTACACAACACACGTGTTATATTGCATTTTCATTGTTGAGTGGGCAATTATAACATTGATTCATATTATCGTTAATTGGTATTCATTGGGATATGAAGCAATTAGAATATCGCGATGCGCAATTAGAAACAGTTTCATACACGTAGGGAAACGATTGGTTGAATTAATGTGACAATGAACGAATCAAACGCATTCTCGTCAAAGGAAATCTAATTTTTAGTTCCTATGAACTAAATTCAAGATCAGAAATTCTGTTTCTTTCAACCAAGACGCATTTGTTTGTTGTCAATTTAATAAATCTTCTTTCTCCGTACACGTATTATGTTACTATTTAAATTAGCGTTTCGAGTAGCACAAATAATAAAAAGTGTGTTAAAAACGGTCCACTGAAATCTTGTGTTATTTTAACAAGATGAATGTATTAAAAAGTAATATGTTAACCAAGTAAATATATTATAACATTATGTTTGTGTATTTTTTAATACATTTTCATGTTAAAGTAACATAAGAATTTCAATTGGATTGGTTTTAACACTTAAATTTTTCACTGATCTTACAGAAAAATACTACTAGCTATATATAATAAGTTCGCCAGTTATGAATTAGCGTTACTTAGTAGTTTTACTCAGTACTCATACGAGTAATAAAATTACTATTTATCACGGACCAACTTATCACAGCCAGTAATATTTTTTTGTGAATGTATATACATTCTGTGAAAACATCTGTGAGGAATCAACGTAGAATCGACGTGAAATAACATCTTTATATGAATCTCACGTCGATTACACGTGGATGTTCTCATCGAATATGTATACNGAAAAGGGAATGTATGTCTTTAACATTATATACCGTTTTTTTTTCCGAGTACCGCATCGCGCGCGTTCCTTCAAGGATTAGATTACGTCAATCTGCCGACGCAGTAAGGGAGGTATAATAATAGTACATGTGTCTCTAGAGAGCAGGAGAGAAAGAGAGAAAGACGATAATTAGCGAACAGTTCGACTAAACACACGTATCGTTAGGGGCAACACGCTCCGCGGTCACGACCGCAGTGTGCCATTTTCCCGATCATGCGGAACAAAAGTATTCTCTACCTTACACACGCGAATGTTTTACACACCGAGCGACCTTTGGTAGGACATCCGCGCACATTGCGGCAATGCTCGTCTTCGTCTTGACACGAGAGAAAGAAAAGGAACTTTTCGAGGCGGGAGTTCGCGGCAGGTTCCGCATGCGGACGAAAAAAAGCGCGGATCGAAGCCTCTCGCGAGTCTACGTGCAATTTCTCCCACGGCGAAATCGCGATCGTTAAGTGGAGGAGCCTCGAACTTCATTTCGATGAATCACGCTACCGGTTCGACGTTCGTACACGAAGGGGCGATGGTTTCTATTACGGCACCGATTGCTGTCGCGTCTGTGTGTTGTCACGCGTGCTCACAGCTAAACGACGACGCTCTTCGCTTTATTTCGCGATCTGCCGAATAAATTTGCGAAGTATTATCGTGTCTCTTGCGCAGAAGGAAAAAAAGAATACTAGAAGCAAGTAAATGTAATTACCTGTTTTCAGCCTCTTCTCAAAGTCAAATAATGTTTTTATCAGTTGAAGCGTATTTTAATAGTCTGTAATAAATATGCTTACTTATAGTGAGCAGAATATTCAAAATCGACGCACAAGACATCTTTAAGAGTTCTTTAAGAAACGTTTTTCTCAAAAATATTTTAAAGTTGATTTATGCATCGATTTTGGACATTTTGCTCATTTGAATACAGTAATACCTTAACTCATAAATATACTATTGAACGTAAGTGTAAGATAGTTCTAAACTTAAAAGAGTACTTATTAGAATTATGTAATACTTTTTTTCCGTTTGAGAAAGTGGATTTAAATTTCGATTTTTCTGTTCAATAAATATTTTCCAAAAGTAATTTCTGATATTTTCAATATCATGAATTTGATACTAGTCGCAATTGTTTTAACATATATAAGTAAATATCTACTTATACGAAGGAAATATATTATACATATTCAATTATGTTTCTACTTCTAGTAAATATTTGCCAAGGAATATTAGAGTAGCCGTTTTACTTGGGAACTAAGTAAATATTACTTGAACGGTAGCACTTTTTTTTCATTGCTCGGTAAACACTAACCAACAGTAATATTATAACAATGTTATAATTTCCCACTCAACAATGTAACTGTTATATACACAGAAAAAGTGCTAGATTCAAGTAAATAATTATTCAAATATAGTGTTGTAATAGATACCTTTTTAGATACAGATACAGATGTATCTTTTTAAGGCGAATAACTCGATATAAATACAGATACTATAAGAAAATATCTAGATCAACACTGCTCAAATTCTTCTTAGCAAATTTTTACATGAATCAAGTAAATGTTTCTTGATCCAAGTAAAATATTTTTCATGTAAATTATTCAAGTAAAATATATTTATTTGATCTAAATAAAATTTACTTAATTCAATTAAAAAATCGCTAAGGACTGTTGGAGTAATTATTTACTTGAATTTAGCACTTTTTTTTGTATACAACGTACGTTTACATTATTGATTGAGAAATTATAACATTGATATGTAATATTGGTTGGTGTTTATTGAGTGTTTAAAGATAAAATAACGATTGATAACAACTTATGCATCGCGATGCATTGCACGGTCAAAGAGGAACCGATAAGCATAATCGTACGCAAACACTGTCGATAATTTACATTCTCGCACACAAAGACAGAGAGAAATAGATAGAGAAAGAGAGAGAGAGAGAGAGAGATATCGTGGTGCACTGTTTTCCATACTTGCATATTACCGGGCGATTGATGAGCCTGAAATCGATCAGTTTTTTTTTCGCGAGCAAGATAATTATTCTTCCCTCTTTTTTATATCACGTGATATCACCTACGCTACCGAATGTTACGTCCTAATTTCTCGCAATCATTCCTCCGCGTCATCGGTTTTTCCATTAATAACTCTATCACTCTTGGCTGTCATTTGCCGCATTATTATCTCTTATCCGACGACTATTCATTTCTCTGAATCTTTAATTCTATAGTACCACGCGGGCGTTTTTCATTCTCGTCGATTACATAATCATGAGAAATGCGCGGAGCTAGAATATATCACGCGGCAATAATTCGCTTACTTCGCTACGACTCACATGACTACAATCACGTCTTGGATATCATATTTACGCTGTATCGTTGACAATGTAGATCATCAATCTCACAGAAATACCTCTCATTATTGTATCTTATCAGTTCACTCCTATTTATTGGTTTTTCAGGATCGAGTGATATATGAAATGTTTTTAGCTGAAGCTACTACGACGCGGAGGCAACTGTGTCTCGCGTGCGAAATTATACGTATTATGTCAAGCTTCAAGTGGTGAGGGAATGATAATGAGACGGCAGTTGATGACTTACAGTCAGCTGCTGATAAATAGCCTGGTCATTGAACCTCTGTAATTCGCCCCGCAATTACTCTCTTCGCACTTCGTTCCCACCGATTTCTCGTATTTCGCAGAATACGAGCGCATTAATTCCTTCTAAAGACAATACTTGCGTTCAGCGGAAGCAACAACTTAGTAAGCGCATTATTATTATTAATGCTTTTGATTGACGCATTCTTCTCAGTCTGTGAAAAAGATTTAAAAGAATACTCTAATCATAGACAATAATCACAAAATAGTTAGTAAATTGTTTTTTTCTGCCGAACGCAAATGACGACGACAAGTCGTGTTCAGTAGAACGTTTATTTTACAACTGTCGGAAGTTTCCTGTGTTGAGATTAGATTATTCTTCTAGATTTTAAAGAATAATCCAATCTCAGCTCAAAAAATTATCAACAGTTTCGAAATAAATGTTTTGCTGAACGTGACTGATGATTACCCATTGTTTAAACTTTCATCGTGGCTCCTTTTTATCTCTCTCTCTCTCTCTCTCTCTCTCTCTTCTCCTCTCCTCTCTTTTGATTAAATATTAAGTATTTAAAAGTATTTAAATAATTAATATATACTTAATAAATATTAATTATTATAAATATTTAAGTAATTAAGGTCATATAGATTTTTAATTCTCTGAGATATCGAGAAACGAAAATATGTATTTCTTTTTTATGAAGTACACACGTAATCTTCCTGGCGATGCAGATCCGTGTTTACCGGTAACCAATAGTAACTCCGCAACGCAGAAAAGATTCTGAATCGTCCTGATCAATAGTTTTCGATGCTTCCAGTGTTTTAGTAGAGTTTAGCTGTAAGGGAAGGTTGTGCAAATATTTAGTTGATCCAATATTCTTTTAGCCACACATAGTTTCCTTATTATCTCTGCGACGTTATCAGGGCCTTTGATCATCGTACGTCGATTATCTTACATGCATGTTGTCACACTGTCGATAATAATATTTGTATGCCTATGAAATAGTATAGTACGATGATTCGTCATATAGAAACGGACTTTTAAATAACTTCTCGTTTACTATCGTGATCGTGAGATCCTAACTATTGCCAGAGATATTTAATAATCGACCTTCCCCGTAATATCATTCGACGCTGGTAGCTAAGAAGAAACGTGCTGAGTCATTATCAAATATTTGAACAAAGTAGAACCTCCTACATGAGTCACTTTTCTAATGTCAATACTGGTTATCAGCATAGATAGCCGCCAGCTATTTTGGAAAATTTATAAAGTCTGTCCAGTGAAAGTATAAAAAGAAAGTTGTCAATCAATCGACTTGAATGTGTGATATTTAAAAACAAATTTTTGTAAATGAGATAAAATATTTTTTTAACGCGTCGATATTAATTCAAAGAATGTGAAAATACATTCTTACTTGAATAAAAATTCGACATCCGTCGGATTGAAGCATTATAAAACAGCGGATATCAAAGGCGAACGATCTTCGTGACATTTCTCTGGGATATGTCCACGATGGCATTTGATGCATATGCCGTTTGTTTCTCTGTAACGCCGATAAATGTGTTTATAAAACAACTTGCGTTCCATCTGGAATTATCGACTTGGTGCGTTAAAGTTATGTCGCTTTTTATTATTCGCAATTAGAATCATTGTTCCTTCCTTTTCTCATTACTATCGACAACGCGCATCAGTTCAGACTTGACACATAATTATGAACGCAGAAAATTCACACAACTCCTTTTATACAACGAATTTATTTATATATATATATATATATATATATATATATATATATATATATANTTCGTGTGTGTTGTGTATGTATATATGTATGTGTGTTCCGCACTAACTAACTCTACAAATAATTCTCGGTATTTGTCGGCTGAATACGCTAATACGTTAATTTTCTGCGTTACTGGCACTTCTGAAGTATCGTTAATCACTAGTATCGAGCTTTACCAGCTGTCATTTGGTGTCGGCTTTAGAAAAATACTCAATTTTTGATTCTCTAAGGTCTAGAACGCAAGAATGACGATTGAGCCACGAGCATTGAATCGCCTCGGATGCCCTTTCTGTCAAAAATTGATTATTTTTTGGTGTGTATATATATATATATATACCACTATTTATTGTTGCCTATTTCTATGTGTGTGTGTGTGTGTGTGTGTGTGTGTGTGTGTGTGTGTGTGTGTGTGTGTGTGTGTGTGTGTGTGTGTGTGTGTGTGTGTGTGTGTGTGTGTGTGTAATATATATATGTCGGCAAGCGTCCCGGAAAAAACGTAATCGCAAAATACACGCTTGTATCTCTATGCGCTAATAATGCGGTAATAATGTTGGTTATATAGATTCGAGTTTCGCCTCTGTGTTACTTAATATACACTACTTATTGTTTGTGTACCGATCGTTACATTTGTACAAACGCTAAGATGTTCGCTCGACGAATAGCTCGACGTATCTCGCCTGTTCTCTTTTATTTTTCTTCTTCATTTTTGCGATACTTTGGTAAATTTCGTCACGTTTATCGTATTTTTTTACAGCGTTTATTTGTTAATCGTACATTCATTTTTCTGAGGAGAAATCGCGGCGCTTTTCGAAACGTAAAATAAATTTGGCACCGATCGTGCGTATACGTGATCCATTAAGCCGTCCTTTAAACATCTTATCGTTTATTAATCGCTGAGTCATTACCTTCTGCCTTAATTACATGTGTACTTCTCTGGTTCTTCTGGCCTGCCTGCGACGACATGCTATTCTCCTTCTCTCCCTCTATCTCTCTCTCTCTTTCTTCCCCTCCCCGCTTACGCCCCGTTTGCGGTGTTTGAACGCGTGTGCGAATGTATACGTTATACGGAAGCACGGACTATGGTCTACGTTACACGAACTAACTTAACTACGTTCTTCCTAAAGCTACTCAGACTTCGATTTAACATTTACCTCGTGTATCTCGTTTATAAGAATAACGTCACGACCGTATATTTGTAATATCGACTACGGTGTCTACGTCGCTTATCAATAATTAATACTACATCGACTAGACTCGCTTACGTGCGACGACGTTCGATGTCACGCTCGCCGATACGTTATCTTCGCCTTAAAGTTAACTATCTAATTTGACACACAATTTTCGTATACAGTCTTAATAGTTATGATGATGTTCGTATCGTGCTAAAAATATGTCAGACTACAAAACCCTTTTTTTTCTTCTTTTTGCAATCTCCCGTTCTCTTTTTTCTTTTTTTTTCTCTTTTTTTGGTCGATATATATAATGTCTCGTATAAATTTCCCTGTGGAATACGTTCCTGATCGGTGTCAGTAAAATAACGTTTTTCTTTTAGAATCTTCTTCTTCTTCTTCTTCACCGTTCGAACAGTACTATAGATCGTGTAATCTACATTCGTACAATATCCCTATTATTATATATTGGCTTAACAGACGGCAAGTTGTCAATTTCATAACCAGTATAAAACGACCAATACCAAACAATTATCACAGAGTCGTCAAGTTAATTTCACGTATGCGTAGGTAGTGCACACTTAATTACACAAGGTGTTTCGCTAAATATAAAAAAATAATCTTCCCTTTATATAAAATAGAAATACATAAATTATAATTCATATACATGATTATAAATCAATGTCATTTCTCTGTACTGATACCGCCTTAATGATAAAATAATAACGGCGTACAGTGGCAGTGAGTACATTTTTATCGCAAAAAGGAAAAAGTATGCTAATATGCGACAATGGAAAAAATCTATCAATGGAAACAATCTGTGTCTAGCTTAAATATAAAATTCAACTTACATAACAATTGCTTTGCATTCTTAGAGGCATTTAACAATTTCTCATCTTTTACTAGTAAAATAACGGGGGGGGGGGGGNTACTAGGACTACCGATATTCAGGAGATCTGGCTATGAAATCTCGAACTTACTTTCCCTGTTATTTACACGTTACGAAGTAAAGCTTCATCGTTAAGCTCACTAAACAACGATGAAAGTTTCCCGACATCCCGCATTAATGAACACTCCTCTCGGACAAGTAGAAAGATATAGATATTCGATAAATAAGTAACAAAGTATATAACACCAACAACAACGTACTTAGGGCTAAAAATGTAAATAAGTTAAGAACAATAAAGCATACAAAATCTCCCCCGTTCTCCCGTTAGCACCGTTGCTTGCTCTCCGGAAATAAGATTTGCATTCTCATACGGCAACTAATACCGACGCGATGGTCGTACCTGCGACAGACAGAACGGTTATTCGAGTTATTCTAAGACCAATCTTCATACTGACTGCCCACGGTTCATCTCATCAAGTCAGCCGCTCTCTGCCGATCGCGATGCACCTCCCGCGGGTGCATTCTTTTACGATGCGAAAAACAGTTTCCGGAGCTTGCGAAAGCTTTCGGACAATAAGGACACTGATAAGGCCTCGCACCCGTATGCTGATTTATGTGGAATTTCAGATCCTGATTACGCTTGAACGTCTTATCACAAAGCGGGCACGCGTGCGGTCTCAGATCCGAGTGCGTTATGCTGTGGGCACGTAATGTCGAATTCGTCGGGTATACTCTGCCGCATACGTTGCACGGGAACTGCACGCCGCCGTGGTACTCCTTGTGTCTGAACAGATTCGACTGTGTCTTAAAACTGGAAAGAATCGAATACGTTACATTAGCGAGATTCCGAAATCTTGCGCGGTAACAGCGATATCCCGTAATATTACACAATTAGACTTATAAAAAATTAATATTCTCTATATGTAATCTATAATATTATTCCATAACTTTTTCTACAGAGTGCCCAGAAAGTTTTGACGAAGCGACCGTGTGCAGATAGAACGAGTTAAACTGTGCAGAAAAATATCTTTTTGCAAACAATCACACAAAATTTCGAATTATTAATTATTGAAAATGGCCATGTACAGAGACTTCCTTTAATTAATAATTAAAAAATTTGCGTGTTATTCATGATTTCTGATCAGAATTTTAAGATAATATTAACCTTTCTTATAAGAAAATTTCAAATATCGCAAAACAGTCATTTTTTGCATATAAAACCTTAATTATTTTGGAAACCTGATGTTCTGGTGAAATTTGGCTCGTGGCATCGTTTTCAGATGTAAAAATGTATAAGAAACATCTTGTCTGGTTCAAAGTAATTGAAAGAAATATTTCTTAACTACCATTTAAGTAAACTACTTAATTATTAATTAATAACTTGAAATTTTGCATGTTTGGTAAAGGACTTTTCTGCTCAGTTTAATCCATTCTATCTGCACACTTCCGGCCGCTTCGTCAAAACTTTCCGGACGCCTTGTATATATAACATAGATATATTTCTATTATAAGATCTATTATACATAGATATATCTACATATATTATTTCATAGCGTCAAAATTATATAATTATGATTGCTATCACACAATACAAACGCACATTCTCCCGCATATGTCGCAGCCGTATTTTCCTTTAGGCCTGTGCGTTTCTAAATGCACTTTCAGGTTTCCCTTCGTAGAGATTCTTTTACTGCAGATTGGACAGATAAAGTTGCTGGACGTATTGTTATCACCGTTCGTGTGAAGTACACCGTTTGTGGAATAAACGTGTTGAGATCGTAGAATGGCCTTCCCGTCGAATCTTCTGTCTCGGGGTAAATGTGACCACAGGTGATTCTGCAAACCGATTTGCGATATGAAGGATCGAGCGCATATTGTACATTCGTGCGGTTTCACCATCATATTGGACACGGTTTTCCCATTATCCTCGTATAATTTCGTTCCACTCGCGTCTTTTTTCTCCTCGTCCCCCACCTCCGCTTCAGTGTTTCTAAGCAAACAAGAAATTTATCTTAAGCAAGTGCACTCAACTGTGTTGGCATACATTTTTCTACATGGAAAGCTTGATAATGTAGACACTTCGTTTTTGTTGATAGTATAAATATTTCTACTTTTTTGTTAATGGTAATGGTTCTGGTGAATATGATGTCCTGATTATTTCTTCCTCCTTGTCCGAAGAGTCCGAAGCTTCTGACGCAGATTCCTCCATACCGCATTGTAAAAATAACATTGGATCCACTTTCACCTCCATTTCCTCCATGTTCGGAGTATGATGTTTATCTTCTTGGGAATTTAACTCTGGTGGTCCCGGTGCTTCGTCCTCTGTTAAAATTTCTATTGCACCCTGCAGAATAAAGCATTAGTAAGTACTTGTATATCACACACAAGAGTGTAATATATGAACACACATTGAAATTGTTATTGACAGAAAAGCCAGAAGAGCATGCATACCTTTGTCAATATTGAATGTAACAACCCTCGGTCTTCTACTTTCTTTGCAATATCTTGGGTATCTTTAATATTGTGCATCTGTTCATGTTGTACAGAATTTGTATTGTCAACGTTACCGTAGAGCTGTGACTTCAGCTTCTCTTGGGTACGGTATGCCATCATTGCAAAACGATGGACACCCTCCAGTCTCTTAATACATACAGAACAAACCATCTTTGAAAATTTATCCTCCGACGATACCTGTGAAATATATTAAAAAGATAAGTATATGATATAATATAATAAGAGAATGTAATATGCACTGAAGCATATATTTATATATCTTTGAAAATACAGGCAAGAACAATAATTGGCAAAATATTTCATAGAAAATAAGATTTTTGTATCTACACTGCGTTTTTAAAAATATATACAGATTTATCTTTTATTTAATCTTTTATTTTTACCTGCTAAAAATTTTTTTTAACCGGTGAAAAATAAATTCGAGAAAAGAGGAATTAATCCAACACATTAAGGATCACCGATAAATGTCATTTCCAATTATTAATAATGTCATGTCTGTCAATTGTGAAATTAGTAGCAAAAACATTATTAACATTATTGTCATTATCCGCCGTACAATGTATCGTAATTCTTTTCGGCAGTGTCGGGCAATTAACCTAGCTTTCGGCGCGTCACGAGCGCCGGTAATTCCGTTAGGCAGGGAGGGCCGGTGTTTATTTAAAAATCCCCGATATTTTTCGCACAATACATCTGATTGACGCATTCTCCGTAATTTATTCCGTTCGACGTCATTTCCCGACACTCTCCCGTGCTCCACCACTACCATCACCGCCGTCACCACCACCACCATCACAATCGCCACCCCTCATTTCCGATTATATTTATAGATGTAGTACTTATATAGCGCGCACTGCACGGTATACTTATTGCAATCAATAAAATGCTAATTTTTAACACTTTTACAGCCCCGCACGAAATGGTCGCGCGCACGACGGATATATTTCGCCTACACGATCGCCAACACCGCTATCGCGTGTGACATTGTTATTGCAATGAGCTCGTTGACATTTCGCGCTTGCCATTAGGATCGCTGAAATTAATTTTCGGCCGGAGGACCCTCGCGACGTGCATGTCGCCGCGTCCCTTAAGGCACTCGTGAAAATGTCGTCGACGTTATACAATCCCACGGACACTGCAGATCGCACCGTGATGTTCACGATTTGTTCCGATTCGTTCTTTCGATTCATCACTTGGCCGGGGAAAAATTATCCGGAGAAAAGGAGCGATCGAAACGCGACGATCAGCTCGGATCTGCACCCTCGTCGCGTCGTCCACGCACGAATCCGTTTCGTCGCCGATTTCCCGCGATCACAGAGTCACGATCACCAAATCACGATCGCGAGGACCCGTCACGGTCGCGCGTTATCGCGATTCGTCGCGAGAGAAAAATCGGCACACTCGTCCACGGCACTCGTTCCGCTTGGCAATCTCGCGTCTCGCTCTGAGAATCGGTCTCTTGTCCCGACCGATCTCGAGAGGTTGGCGATCCCGTCGTTTGCCGATCGTTGAACAGCGCAGATTTCAAAATTCGAAAGTCGCCGACGACTGAAATTCGCCCGCCGACTGGCGCCGTGGCTGTGATCGTGATACGTACGTACACACACACACACACACACACACGTTATATAGGGGGAGGTGAATTTTCCAAAAAATAAAAGAGCAAAAAACGGAAGAGGAAAAAACGAAAGCGGGACAGAAAGAGAGCGAGGAGCGCGATAGAAAAGAGAAACAATCGCGCGCGGCGCGGGAGACGCGCGGCGACTCGTCTCGCGACCACACTCACCAGGATGTACAGATATTTCCGTATCTTCGTTTGCAGGTAATGACGCCGGCCGTCCTCGGCGAAAATGTGCAGCCCATCGTCGTCGGCGGTGATGGTGGCCGCACAAATCCGGCACTGGAACACAGCGGGCCGACGGTCCGCTTGCCGATCGCGCTGCCCGAGATCGCGTGCCGCCGTACCCATTTCAAAAAGGAACAGGGAAGACAACGGGAAGCTGAATCAAGTGTGGATCCGCTGGAAGAGAGAAAGAGAGAGGGGGGAAGGAGGGGAGAGAAAGAGAGAGAGAGAAGAGGATTAATTAAAAATGGAGCGGGACTGGATTTTTCCTCTCGTTGCACAGCTGAAAGACTTTTCTTTCCGTTGATCCCCGCGAACGGAAAAGAAAGAGGAAGAGAGAAAGAGGGAGAGAGAGAGGCGTCTGTTGTGTGAGTATGAAGGAGAGAAAGAACGAGAGAGAGAAAGAGAGAGAGAGAGAGAGAGAGAATGAGGCACGCGAAGAGCGAGTAGTAAACGTCGGCACGCACGCGGTACTCGTGCGGCGCGAGGAAGAGCGTGAGAGAGAGAGAGAGAAAAAGAGCGATAGAGAGAGAGGGGGAGAGAGACGGCACGTCGTTTTCTTTTCCCCCGTCCCGTCCACGTAAACGACGGCTAGGACGCGCGTCGCCTCACCGCCCCGACGCGACGTCTTCATATATCCGAACGACGGCGGTGCATCCTCGTGCGAGGAGCGGCGAGATGCTGCGGTGCGGAGGTGCCGAGAAACGGTGCCGCTTCGGCGCGCGCGTGTCTCCCCGAAAACGACGAACGAGCGAAAGCGCGACGTGCTTGATTATTCTATAACGATTTTCCTTCTTTTTTTGTTCCGCCGTATGTACTTTTGTGTGTGCGACGAGCCGCCGCCGCGGGGATTGGGCGAGGAGGATTATAAAGCGGCGCGCGGTGTACGGCGCGACGCGACGCGAGACGTCGTCGTGCTCCGTTGCTTTACTTTATAAAAACAGACGCGCGACTCTCGTTGAGCTGTGTCGCACGGCGCGGCCAGCCGCGGGCGTCGGCGGCTTGTACGTCCGTCCGTCCGTCCGTCCGTCCGTCTCCCCCCGAGTGCTCAATACAAAATATATAATAGCATTCGTCGATTTGAAAAACATATGTATATAACCAATTGTTTTATTTATGGATTCCGCCGGCGCTTCGCGGAGCGGCGCGCCGCCGCGCCGCGGCGTCGCGCGCGCACGTACCTACAACAGCGGCGTCGCTTGAAAAGTCCTCCTCGCCGCCGCCGCCGCCGCCGTCGTCGTGGGTGGTGGGTCGCAAAAATCGCGCGTGTTACATCGCGACGACGATGACGACGCGCAAAGAATAAAACGCATCGGCAGCGCGCAACTTACTCTTAATTGGTCCGCCATGCCGGCCGGCGAATGAACGGCAATTTTTTTCGTCCCCTTCGCGATTTCCCGCGCGTGACATGCGCCGCGGGGACGCGCGTCCGCGTCGTCGACGGCACGGTCGAGACGCCGCGGTGTCCGCTGACCCGCGTGACGAGAGTCTCCGTTCGCCGATCGGCCGGACGCGCGGAATTTCCCTCTCGAGCCTCCGGCTGTTTCCCGCCATTTTTCGCGCCCTTCGGGTGTTACTACGCGCGCGCGCGCGCGCGTGCCGCGTTTTTGCGCGCTGCGGAAAATAGTTCCGGATACTTGACGCGAACGAGCAGCCTCCCCTCGACCCGGGGGCGGGGAACGGCTGGCGCTACGCTCCACGTCCCCATTTAAAAAAATCAATACTTAATAATTAGCAATTAATACGCGCGCCGAGCGCACGTGTGTGCGTATGTCTGGCGATTATCCTCCTCCCCGTCCGCCCGCTACTTTCCCGCCCCCTTTGTCCCTCGTCGTCAATCCTAACAATAAAGCCGCGGGTTCGTATAATGAGGCGATCATTATTTCGTTAATTATTCGTATTGACGTTTGTTATTTTCCTTTTTTGTCACGGCGACGGGATTGCGCGCGCGATCGCGTGCGATTCAGGGAAGGAACGTGCAAAGAGAGAGAGAGAGAGAGAGAGAGAGAAAGAGAAAGAGGAATTTCCGCGGTGACGGATGGATGAAGATCCTTCGGAAAATGTAACGAAGCGATGACAATGACATGTTCATCACGATCGGCGACGATAATGACGATAGCTTCCAATCGCGCGACAACTCGGTCGCGTGTTTCGCATTTCGTCGCCTTTTTCACGCTGAAATTGTTAACAATACGCAACTGTCAAATCGAATGAACGTTAATGAAGCAAATACAACAGATATCGCGGTCATAATTATCAATGCTCGATATATCATTTGCACGGACTAATAAATGTTAATTACGTTAGATTGTTTTTCTCTTTCATAAAATGAGATTAAAAATTACGAGCGATTCCCGAAAATGAATGCACCTCATTATTATTATTATTATTACTGTTGATGCTTTCGTTAATTATTATTATTGCTTATTAGCGTTTTATCGCACGTGTATCGTCGGATGTTCTTTTCGATATAGCTCCTAGTCTATTTATCGAAAATGTTTGCGAACATTATTTCCGATAATTACGATAGAGAACGCAAAACAGAACGAAAAACAATAGCGAACAGATGCCGGACATAACCTACGAGAACGTCTGCAGAGCATTAGAAACACCACCATAGAAACAATGGTCAAATTCCCGTCGTTCTCCACGGAGGCTTTGCGAGGAAAGAGAGAAATCACGTATCGAAATGTCTCGTAGAATACACGCTACTGCCAGAACAAAAAAAGTTACTTCGACAGTATCTTCCGCATGACTGTGATACGCGAGTCTCTCTTTTTCTCTCTCTCGCTCTCCAATCCCCATGTAAATTACCCGCGAAGAAAGAATGTCAAGCGACCCAAACTGCGGTTACATATCCTTGCTGTGCAGTATCGCAAACAAACCGCTGGATCTATGGTCGAAGCACGTTTCCTTGGACGGTCAAGTGCGCAGGGTGAGCGACGATGAGCTGCACGGGGACAAGGTGATCGAGATCCTGGGACCCCGTAACAGTGTCGTTCCCACGAGCATAACTGCTCCCGCCAAGATCTTGGACACTTTAAATATAAGGCTGGCTATTCTCGTATTGGTAATAAAGAATTTGCAGTCGTATTTCAAATTGGAAGTCCAGGTACAGGTGATGCAAGATGCTCTGACAGAGGCAATGGTGCTTCTGCTAAAGTCCTAACGTCCTGTTTCCTACATACAAAGATAACAGATAAGAGCCAGCATCGACGGAGGTTCTCCTTTACGACGTACAATCTCGAGAAATTACCGCATGTCAGTACGAGCATGGCTCGAATTCCGCTGAAATTGGAAGAATGTTGGAACACCCTGGAGATAAATCTTCAGACTCTCTGTCATATGGCGTACGGGACGGATTACGAGGCGCTGCTGAGGATAATCGTTTATCCAAACTGCCGACTGAGAAGAGTTTATCTGCAGGATCGCCATTACAATCGTAACGAGACGTCCGCCGAGCTGTACAACGCGTTCCTCGATGCATTCATGTCCAAGTGGAGGATCAACTTCGTCGAGCAGACTTGTCAGACGGAAGAATGTTACACAGGTTCCACATATGTGCGCTCTATAGGAGTATGAGCATACGTGTCAAGATATGTATCCATTTCTTATGTGATTTTTAGGATCATTAAGAAAAAGGGACTTGCGTCTTTCAGCAAATGAGACTACCGACGTGCTATCGACGAAAGCTGATTTACCTGGAAATGCTGATAACACAGACATGTTGGAAAATTTGAACGAACTAGGCGCTATCGCAAATTCGCGAGACTCGAAGACAGTGAAAGGAAATAACATGTTATCAGGTGCATTGAAAGATGAAGCAAAAATGCCGAATAATGTTATCAACCGACGAGGTTGGAAACTTTCGAAATCTCTGATGAACGAGACGGTCGTAGAAAGTAAGCTAAGAAAGATCAGTAAAAATGAACAGGAGAACCGAAACAAGAGAATAACACGCAAGACCGCAAACTCCTCTATGAAACTTAACAACCGTACATTGCATCCTGCGTCTTCCATTGGGACAAGTCAGTTTCTAAAGATGCACGTCGACAAGACGCTTTTCCGGAATAAACCAGAATTCCCGAGACGACTTAGTCCGCATAGAATTCGAGATTTGAAAGATACTTCCATTGCACAAAAGAGTAATGTTAATTCTATTACGAGTACAAAATTTAAGGTATCCGTCGTCAATTTTCCTTTAGCTTCCCAACCCGATTTATCTGGAAATATCGGGCTTAGCTGCGATAAAACGTACAAAGATGTAATTGTCTCTAACGATGAACGTGCTAAGAGGAATGTGAGAACCGTTAACGATTCGAGACCTTTGGTTACTGTGGAAAGTGTTAAAGATGGTTGTATTTCACATTTGATCGGAGAAGAGGCGAAATCGGACAATGTGAAACCGCTAAGCTGGTGTCTACCGAATGAGAGAACTGCGTCCGATCTTATGTCCGCGCGCAGCCTTGTGAACAGGAGATTCTTCGATAAATTACAGGATAAAGGGCTTGTTGAACCGCAGGTAGAATTGTTCACGTACAATGCGATAAATCGGAGAAATTCTTGCAGCCAACAGAAACTTATATATAGATACAGATAACACATGCACAAGTGCGTGTATTGTTTTGATGATGAACTTAATCGAATTCACCTGGAAAACATACAATCGTTTAGAATCTCGTGCGAGAAGCAAAAATCACGATAAAAAATAAAATGTTACTTTAATAAAAGCCGTTAAATATACGACTGATGTTGAAATTTTAACGTTTTATTTTCAAACTGATCGCAACAAGTTTTTCGCGACGTATTCGAACAGACGATATTGACAAGTATAATTCTTTAATGATTCTTAAAATTCTCTATGCCTTATCTCGAATTGATAAGAAATATTTAAATTCCACTGGCGACTCATTCTTGGAATATATAATCATCCTTGGAAATATAATCCGAAAAGCACACTCGTTCTATATTGTAATTAGCGTAAATTTGGACCTCAAATGTTTCCATACATCTTGTCCTACATATACCCGGAGGGAAGTCAGCCAAGTTGAATTTTATCTAGTTTTTATATCCATAGTCCAATTTCTTCGAGTGCAGACTTCATCCTCGTCGTGGACTGATATTCACCGGCGCAAAATTCACTTTCGTCGTTTTCGACGAAACGCTGCGATACCGAAGTGTCGTGCTCTTTTCACGTTTCTTAACATTTCGCTTTATTTTGAATTGGTAAGAATAATTTAAATTCCGCCGGCAATTCGTCCTCGGAATACAGTCGGTCTGAGAAGTATACTCGTCGTATCCTACAGTTAGCATGAATTTGCACTCTAAGTGTTTCCACGTAATTCGTTCCGTATGCGCGACGCGTAAAGTCAGCCAGGTTGAACTGTATTTGGTTCCATCCGTCATCAAGTCTCATCGGCATAGTACAGATGAATGGTTTCACTCTCGTTGTAGATTGATAATTGCTGGCGCGAAATCTACGGCGCACATTTTTATCATCTATTATCTGCAACATATAAAATATGTCAGGAAAGAGAATGGGCAAGTGGAACGAATGATGAACTAGCTTTTAACATCTCAATGTTTGAAATTAATAAGAAAATTATCAATGAAAAGCTCTCACCTGGACTTCAAATGTAAAGTATTTCTTCAGATTCTTGATGATCATCACCAAAAAGGGTAGTTTTATGCCCAAAGTTTTTCTAGGATCCGCAGGACAAGTGATATATGTTGTACTAACATTGCTGCCTAATATCTCCAAGACAAGACTTTGGATGTCATTGTCAGTGATTCTCTTGATATGTCCATTTCTAACCTTCTTGTCCCATATTTGCAATGGTTTGCTGCCAATGCTGTATAAAATAGATAAGAATCCACTTTGGAATGTATTCTTGAACATTTTTGCATTTACTAGAGATTTTGTTGAACTTTAAAAATTTGTCCAGCTGCTCTAAAACAAAATATTTTAAGTATCAGTTGCATCCTGTGTCAAATAAATCACAGGTTTGACAGACCCAACAAATATATTTATACAAATTCATGTATACGAATTCATTAAACAAATTCATATATACGAACCAAAGATCAACCTCTTTCCATTCTAACAGAGATGGAATTGAATCTGCTCTGAATGATGAATTGGGAAACTCATGCTTACACTTGAAATAAACAATTTTTTGCTTTAATTTAAGCAAAAAGAAAGTGGTTTTTCTAAAATTGAAAGTAATGTTGAAACTTAGTCCATATAAACTTACTGTAGTTCTTGTTGAAATAATCTGTATATTCCATTTTGAATATTTTTTTTTATACTTAACCATATACTTAGGAAATTTTAGATATATTTAATCATTAGGAAGAATCTGCATATAGATTAAAATGTAAGTAGGGCCTGAATAAAATACAAAACCACCAAGAATTAAGAGAATAGTTTTCACTGTACAAAAACTACAATAATTTGGTATAGACCAAAAATTTCAATATTATTATTCCTATTCTTATATGTTAGACCTCATTTATACTTTTAATTCATTATTTCGACGTACTGTTTCACAAAATATCAACGCACCTAACCTATACAATGTTTGATCAATATCAATCAATACATTACTCTTAATTATTTTTCCTCCTCCTAGTCGTGACTAAAGATAAACGATAACCGATAAATTGATGTTTAGCTCTTCTTCTATTATTAAAAAATTGTTTAACTTTGTGGTATCATCAAATTCGTTAAATTCTCATGTCAACAATTCAATGATGCTTATTGAGCAACGGTTAATTGCTTAAGTCTGTTTTACAATACACTATATGCAGGAGTCTGATGTCGGAACGCAGCCAATAGTCCAATGAGGAAAATTTACTTTCGAAAAATAAATCATCTCATTGGACCATCGGTTGCGTTCCGACAGCGACATACGATGTATTGCAGAACAGGCTTTAGTAAAAATAGCGGCAGTTCATAACAGACTTGGAAACTGACAAAAGGTCCAGCGGTGATGGTTTTTGTATACAGAACGTTGCAACTCTTGCCGCGCGGCAAAAAGCGACGCGGTAGCCAATCACTGTGCCATTTTTCCACGAAAACTAAAAGTTTATTTGCCGCCTAATCTTACCGCGCGGCAAATATTTCCGCGTCCTTTGGACAAAAGTTATAAGGGTTATCTGCCATTGTTCGCGTTATGGCTTCTGCCCACAGGACGCGGCAACGCTTGCGCGCGGCAGAAGTTTGCGTGGTAGCCAATCAACATGTCGTTTCTCGGAAGAACTAGAAGTTTATTAATTACCACGAGAAATTCCGCCGCGCAACAAGAGTATCCTATGAGCAAAAGCCATTAGTCCTAATCTACAATAGGTACTTTAAAACCTAAGCCTTAAGAAACCGGCCAATCACAATCGAATTATAGAAGAATAATCAATCATAATTGGTCAATTTCTTAAGATTTAAAGCATCTATTGTAGATTAGGACTAAGGCTCCGTTCGAGGAACATGCTATTAGTGCTAATGCGTAATTTTATCTTCGTCCCTCATTAGATGTACGACAAAGATAGATTGATTTGTTAGCGCTGATCAGCGCTAATAGCGCGCTCCTCGAACGCATCTTAAGTGGGGACTACAATGAGAATTTAAGCTCTAAACCTTAAGAAATTGACCAATCACAGTCGATTATTCTCTTTATATTAGACTGTGATTGGTCAATTTTTCTAGTCTTAAGGCTTAAAACACTATTGTAGATCGGGACTTCAGCAACTGCATTAACTGCATTCCTGTAGATTTAGAAAAATAATTCAATTTTAACTCAGAAAACTTCCAACGGTTGCAAATGAAACGTTCTGCTGAACGGCCATTGGCTGCGTTCAGCAGAGAAAGCAGCTTTGCACTGTTGTAAAATTCGTGAACCAATCAAAATTGGTGTATGCTCTTAAAATCAGCCAAGATTAAGAGCATATACCAATCAGATTCACGAATTTTACATAGTTGCAAAGCAGCTTTCTCTGCTAGATACAACCAATGGCTGCGTTCAAAAAATCCAAGCGATCAGTGAGCAGTCAATGATTATTGGTCTTTACTGTAAAATCCCTAAATTTAGACCAATTATGATGACGAATTACTCAACCGTTGTGTTTTCTACACGCAAGAATTAGCTGCATTCAACGAAAAAAATGACCAGTGAACAGTCATTGATTATTGATCTTTACTGTTAGAACTCTAAATTTAAACCAATTACGTTGACGAATCACTCAACAATTGTGTTCGCTGAACGCTACCATTGATTTATATCACGTGCTTGATTTGATGTGGTGAGTATAACAGCATTTACAACGGAAACTTCCAAATTAAAGCCCGCGGCACACGATACTTTTCTTGCTAGACCTAGTTATATACTAGAAATGCTACGTTCTGATTAGTGAATTTCCAGTATGTCATAAGACCTAGCACGAAATAAGCACACGTGTGTTGCGAGCTTAATATAATAAATCAGCCAGTTCTTTACTTATGAAGTAGTACGACTCAATAGCAAGTCGGAGACTTCTTTATTTTCGAATACGACTTTATCAGATCAGATTTGTAAAATAGGATTTAAATGAAACGTACTGATATTCGTGTGCCACTTTTCATGCGTATATTTGAAACGCATAGTAAAAAGGCCATATACATATATGCGAAACCTTTCTACGATTGTTCATGACGTCAAATATAAACTGATGTGAATAGAGGAAAGTAGTAGATTCCCATAAAATACGTTGTACAATCCGTATCTCAAAATGCAATTAAAAATCTCGCCGATACGAAGAATCTTCCCGGATTCTGTAGGTCTTATCTTATTTATTCGAGAAGCAATTATTCTCCTTCAGAATTTACATTACATAACTGTCTCATTGTTACATACCAACAAATCGTATCGCTCGGGTAAACTTAACACAATAAAGCTATCTGACAATGTCAAGCGTACCTCATTTGTTTCTCGCATTCGATATTAAAAATAAAAATTGCGAAGATCCGTTACATTTGCCTGGAAGTGATCACAATTTTTCTTTTTTTCTCTCTTTTCACATAGCTAACTAATTTGAGGTTTCGGAAGTAAGCAAACGTTCCATAATGTTCCATAATGTGTTCACGCGTGTGGACCTCGTTAAAAATACAAGAACGAAACGCAATATGGATTACTCACATTAAACTGATTACTCCTTATCAATTCCAGAGTTATTCCACTCCCTCTCTCAGCCGATGTCGACGTGTCGGCTTTCACGTTTCCTCGACAATTTGCGGATTCGCGCCCAAGTATGCACCGGGTTAAACTTTTTAATACGAACGGGCCATCCTTAAAGTGTCGAGGAATTCGTACGGTTCACATATTTCGGTAAATCGACACGTGTTGTTCTTGTTGTTGTTATTCGCTTATCATTACGATTAACTATGGTATTACAGCGCATAAAATTGTCCATCCAGCGCTGGGGACGCCAGTTGTTCATCAAATTGGTTTCTTCCTCTGTGTGTATGTTCATCTTGAAAAACTATATATATATATATATATACACATATATATATATATATGTGTATATGTATATATATATATATATATGTATATATATACGTATGTATATATAATGGGAGATCTACCACTATGTCTCATAATACTGAATGCCACATGAACAAGAAAGGCCCACCTATTAAAGCGACGCATGATCAGACCGAGGGAGACGGCTCATTTCCATGAGTTCCTCTGAAGAATCAATAAATTAATTTCTCGCAAATGGCCTTCAATGAATGATCAAATGTAACCAACATTATCTCGGAAATCATCTCGACAAAATTAGTTACGCAATCTACGATGTAATGAGTGGGCGCCATGAAATCAGTACGTGCACGAGTTTAATGAACAATAACAGTTCCAAACAACTGTTCGTTGTTCAATAAATCGGGTTGTGGTGTACGCGAACAATGAATGAGAAGACAGGCTGAGATTGAGAACGCCGGTACAAAGATCTCTGCGGTACGAAACGTCGTCAACGAAATAACAAACATTCGGCATGTCGTGCTGTTTGAGTACGCAAAAGGAACCCTCGAAATTCGACAAATAAAAGCAACGCGATTACTCGAAGTCTGTACCGTTTCTCAGTGCCCGTTCCTCGTTCATTATCGAGTTTTCTTTGTGTTTTAACGTTTCTTTCGCTCGCTCTCTCCCTCTCTCTTCTCCTTCGAGCAACAAGACAAAATTCACCATTGACTCACGGGATCAGTTTGTTGAAAATTAAAACAATTCCGTAATGGTCTCTCGATGCGACGGAACAAATTTTGAGTTATTACCTTTCTCGTCTTTCCTCCGTTCTCACTTTTCTTCTCTCTTTTTTTTTTTTAAGATTCAGCGAAATTTCCGATACACAGCGTATCCATTACTTATCCACCGCTGAAGATAGTTAGATAGATAGGTGTATGGAAATTTCTATTTCCTTCACTTCTCAATATTTTACGGAATATGAATGTACGAGCTCCAGAATGCTTCTGGCCCCTGTAGAAAAGCAAACTGGGGCGTGGAGAGAGTTGTATATCGCATTACCTATGGTATGGCTTTTTACCAATTAAACAATAGTTACTGAATCTTTCACATAATCACTTGTCTCTAGCTAACATGGCCAGAGTATTCTCTGGAAAAAGACATGATAAATCACTTTCACATGCGATACAATAGAAATTAATTTCGAGGTCTGCTTTGTGTTCGATGAAACGACAAAAAAAGTGCGTACTGTATAACCCAATTGATCACACGAGAGCAAAAAAAGAGCAAAATAACATAACATAACAGAAAAGAAAAAAGAAAGAAATGATAATACAATCGTTAATTCGCGCTTCAGCGTTAGGTAATAAGACATAGCTTCTTTTTCTTTCATTCGTAATAATGAGAAAGCCAAGGAACTCGTAATTCAGAAATGAAGAGATGGTCGCATTTCATCTCCAGATTTCGTGACTTTGCTTATCGTTTTTACCGAGTGTTCATATGATCATTGGCCAATTCTAACTGGCGAATGAACATCCCGAATTCTCGTGGATAAGTTATTCTTCGCACCTCGATTGCGATCCTCTCAATGAAAACGTTACACAATAAATATATAGCGGTTATAGCTTGGTCACTGCTAGGATCGCAACCGCGATCAAGCACCAATAATGAACGTTTCTCGTGACGTTTCCCGCATGATGTTAAATTAATTTTGCGAAAACTGCAAATATATATATACGAGTCGTTCAATGATACGCCGTTGTCTACAGTACAGTCGATAGTAACGCATCTCCGACAGTCACAGAAGCTCGGGTTTATCCAACGTGACTGATCAGATTGTTATTACTAATTGAACAAAAATATTCTCACGCAGTCATAAAATACACATGGCTTATTGGTGCTTGAACGGCATTTCAATATAATTAAGACACTGTGAAAGATTAAGAAAGTTCTGCATAATAATCAAGCAATGCATCATTAATTATATACATCGACTGGACGTCTCGTCGGATTTCTCTGCTCGACTTTTTGTCGTAATTCAGTTATGTAAATGATATTTTCTAAGCTATAAAATCAAATACATAAAATAAATGTACATCGTACATTGTCACGTGATGGTCCTGTTTGGCAAAGAGTCTCATTACAAATTATAATTTTTCTACGATAGACGAATATACTTTTCCTTTGAGAAGTATAAGGCCATTCAACCGTAGTAAAAAGCAGGAAAGAGACATAAAATAATATGTAAATATGTCCACAAATAATAAAAATCCGCGTGTAGCGATAATTCTTGGCATTGATCAATTCTCTATTGATACCGCGATAAATTTCATAGTAAAAAAGAAAAATTAAACAATGATCTCTCTTTCGCAGTGTCTTAAAGAAGCATAAATATAACTCCAACGTTGTATGCGAGTCTTAAACGCTATTCGGTTACTTATCGATAGCTCCATCCATAATGTTGTTTTTAACTTGAATGCTAATGTGTATTCCATCACCAGACGCACCTTTGTCCTTCTTCGCTTGCGCATTCGCAGCATTATCAAGTCCCAGTTTCGTGAGAGTACGAAGAGCCTTTAGCGCCGCTTGATTGCGGCTCGCGGCTATTGTCGCCCCGTTCCCGTGACAAACTTGCGGTGGATCGGTGCTGAGCGATACAAGCGATAGGTATTCCTTGTTTATGGACATTCCTCCCTGAAACGACAGATGAAGCGTGAGTATTTTCCACTTCACATCACATTTTTACTTTATATTAAATCGTCAATAGTAAGGCTGCGTTCGGAAAGTTCATTTAAATGCATTCATCGTAGTCGTTCGAAAACGTTCGAGGTATGTCAGTACAACGGTGATATCATTCGGAAACTGGGTGGATTAGGAACTTCTTAGGATTATTTTTTACCCTAAAATTTCAGGGAAGTGCGGATGATTTGTTGCATTTGAAATATTTTAAATTATGGCCAATGGAACGCATAAATGTATCAAAGGAAAAACAGGTCGGTATTCATAGGCAGAGTTTATACTTTGGCATGGGAGCGGTTTAACTGTCGAAAACAGTGAGAAAAGTGAGTAAAAAGTGAGACTTTTCCAAATAATATGTATGTTAAAAATTAAATTACTTAAGTACCATTCCTCTAACAGACTAAAGTTACTGATGCCTTACAGTGAATCATATATATAATCAGAGAGTCATGCAAAAACAATAAAATTTTTAGTTATTGAACATAATTTATTGTGATCGAGTTTTGTGTGTGTGTGCGCTTATGTGTGAAAAAGTTTAAGTACGGAAAAAGTGAAAGATGAGTTTTCTTTTTAAAAGTGAAAAAAAAAACGAAGAAAGTGAGTTATTTCTATGTCTTTAAATTTAAGACCGCTTTAAGTTCATATGCATTATAGCCAATAAAACTAGCCTCATATTATCTTGAAAATGAAGTTGGAACGACTTTAAATGTAAGATCAATCCTGAATATCAGGCATAAGTTATGTATTGGCGAAGATAGCCAACCAATATACGATCCCTAAGGATCTTTGATAATATTTGATGTAATGGGTAAGTGATAAATTTGCTATTTGCCGTTCGATAATTATTCGCACTTGAAGTGAAACCTGCCCTCCATTATCATATTTAATCCGTTCTAGCCTACCCTCAGGACAGTATTTCCGAACGCAGCCTATATATATATATATATATTACTTAAAATAAATATATATACTAACATACAGCAAATTTAAATTAGTAAGATAAGATTTAGTTAATATAAATTATATTATGTGAAAAAGTTAGGAACTATGTATACAAAGAAGATAAATATTGAGAGAAAGTAAGGTAAAGTATAAAAGGTGAGATGATAAGATAATAAAATATGTAAATATAAAGATGTACGTGAACCGGAAACCATCCGAAGTCGAAAGACATGGAATAAGAATAGATAATAAACATACAAGACAATAAATAAATGTACTCAAAATAAGTAAAAGATCATACCGAATAAATAATTTTGTTAAATAGCTTGGTACTCCACAAGTGTAAGAGACTGTCAAATTTTGTAAAATGTCTGAAGCATAAATATAATTATTACTTGGACAATATGTGCATCGGTCGCTCTTTTCTCACGTGTTCAAAACGTGTTCTTCGCACAAATTAAAATCATTTTATTTCAACGCAAGCCAAATACCATCATGCTTAGGTTACCTTCGGGAAGTCGCTGAATTCTACGCTGAAGTTAAGTAACTGAGATAGATAGTGCAACTGATCCTTGGGCGAGACACCGGCAGAGTTCTGCTGCTGTTGTCCGCGCAACTCTTCAGCGACTATCTGTACACTGGGTCCACCTCCTAATTTAGATTCTTGACCTCCGTCCACCAGTAAAAGGCCGGGTGCTAACTGGCGGCCGATGGTACCTAAATGAAAGAACGACACGCGTCTTAAGTGATAAACTCTTAGAACTGATCGAACGAACGTTTACGATTGCGTGTTACAGCTCACCTCCTACCGAATGAGGTTGAATATCGTTTACTTGATCATCCTCGAGGAACGTCACCTTCCTGGGCTTCGTCTCCGTACTCTCACTGTCTCCAGTCTTGATGGATGGCTTAGCAGGTTGCGGCGATGGTTTACTATATCCCAATTGTGTCAAAAGAGCTTCGGCGGCGGCTCGTTTGGCCAATTTCTTGTTAGGTCCGATCCCTTGAGCTGAATGCTGACCCATAGTCACCTCCATGACGAATTCTCGGCGTCTCGGCGCGCCCTTCTCGTCTATAAGATTGTAGACGGGCTCTCGTTCCCGTTTCGCCTGCTGAATCTGAACCAGACGCGAGACCGGATTAACCTCCTCCGCGGCTTCGTTCTCCGAGCGGGGCTCTTGATAGACTTTAATTAAATTACGAGATTTCTTCTTCGTCGCCGGTGGCTTACGCTTGACTCGCAGTGACCGGTTTTGTATACTGGCGGGTAACGGAGGAAGACGCTTCAATTCTTCTAACATCAATTCGGCGGCACGTTTCTTCGATACCTGGAGAACAAAAAGAAAAAAAGGAATGGAGGAGGGACTAAGAAATTGGCCTGAAAAATTGCGAAGATCGTGACGATTTTCTTGCGCGGAAGATTACCTTCTTCGAGGATCCTTCCCCCACGGTGACTTTGTCGCCGACAGTACACTTCGTCATAAAGGTTCTTATGTGAGGTTTACCGCTTTCCGACACAACCTCGAAGCTCACCGGTAACCCGCGTTTCAGAGCGGTCTCGTGGACCAACGATACTGGACTCTTCAGTTCTGCATTCGGATCGTCGATTCCGCTCAACGTGCCATTTTCGTTGGCGTTGTTGGCGTTCGCGACTTCCTCAGGCAGTGGTAATTGGCGTAACTGCTCCAAGGCCCTGCTGGCCGCGTCGTGACGGGCCGCTTGCCCGGTCAGACCTCTGCCTGTGAACTCGCGCTCGCCAACCTTCAGAGTGACCAGATATAATCCCTGAAGATCCGTATGAACCCCGCGATTGTACGGGAGTCGTGGATTAAACATTCGTGGGAAGTTGCCGTAACCATGTGTCACAGCATATTGGTGCTGCAATGCGGCCGGTGGAGCTTGTCGAAACGTGTAGACGGTCGGTTCGCCGCGTTTCATAGCTAGAGCGTTCAGTTCAACGGTAGGAGGCAGATGTCCTGTAAAGCACAACGAAATTCAATCAACAATGTATATGTAACAAGCAGTAAAATATATTATACAGAATGTCTGATGTAAGCTATGTCAACCGTCATATATGTCATATTTGTAGTTTAGGTCAAAGGCTCGTATTTTGAACTCTTTTTTGGCAAAAAAAGTACTTTAACTCCGCTTCTCAGCCAAAACAGATGGTTTCTAAGCCACTTTTACCAATAAAAGAGAGTTCAGAATACAGACTAATACGAACAAAAAAGTGCTTTACCACTTTTGCAAATCACGCAAAACATTGAGTTATCAATTATTGAAAATGATCATATACAGAGATTTCTTCAATTAATAACGCAAAATTCTACGTAATTGTTTGCAAAATGGTAAAAGACTTTTTTGTTCATTTTAGTTTATTGACCTAAACTACAAATATGACGGATAGCATGGCTAGCAGACACACTCTGTATAAGAGAGTATAATTTAACAAGAGAGAATAACATGTGGTAAAAAAGAAATCCGAGATGTTCAAGTATACAAGAATATGGATTTTGTCTTTCAGGCGAGAGAGGCGACTTTACAACTCGATATTACGTGAAATTTGTAACACAAAATTACCAGAGCCGGTTGGACATTTGCCTAAATGACCGATCCTCATGGCCTTGGTGGGTTTAGGCGGTGGCTGACGGTACCAGGTCTTCGTTAACGCCTCTGTCGCTGCGCTATGTTGAGCCTTCTTTATACTAGGACCCTCCGCGATATACTCCTCCTCACCGAGCTTCAACGTCACCGTGAATCTCTTCTTATGCGCCGGTCCTTGCTCGTTAGTGAGTCTATACTGATGTTGAACCCTATTGAATCTCGCCAGCTCATTTAACAAACACATGGGTGTTTTTTCTTTCATGTTTGCCAATGCTGGATTGGTTGCGTTGGCGTGATTCTGGCCAGACGAGCCGTCGTCCCTGGACTCTCCTCCGCTGCCGTCGTTCGTCACCACTTTTGTTTGTTCTACGACGGTCTGTTGCGACACATGCTGCTGTGGCTGTTGCTGCTGTTGTGATTGCGGCTGCTGCACTTGCTGCTGCTGCGCTTGTTGCTGGAGAGATTGGTTCGGTTGGTTATTCGGTTGCTGTTGTTGCTGATGGTACTGGGACTGTATGTTTGAGTTCTGAAGAGTCACTGAGACTGTGTTCGTCTGGTCCTTCATGCTAACGCTAACCATGGTATCTGAAATAGATATATCAAATCATTCGCCATTAAGGAGGCTGTAAGGCGAAATAAGTTTGATAAGAATTTGATGAAATTTATATCAGACATTGAAATAATATCTAATTGCTCCTGAAATTAGGTGCAATTTGGCCACTCGAGAGCTGAGATATTTGTAACTAAAGTTAACACTTTTTATATATGTTCCTTGAGATTATTGTGCTATTTTTAAATTATATTTTTAACATTTTCAAAGCTAAAAATAAGATTTTGATGAAAAACTACTATGATATTGAAGATTAAGATGAAGACATTATATACAAATTTAAGAATTATTGACTATTTTGTTTTGAAAATACATCAGTGTAATGCTTATAACTTATAGTAATATTTAAAACACATATACATATTTAAATACTTATATACCTTTTTGTTATTTGTGCATTTCTATTAGATCAACTGATACATAAATATAATATTAACAAAGAAAATAAAAAATAATATTTTTGTATTCATAATATTATATATATGATTACCTCAACTTTATTTTAAATATTTATTATTTAAGTTATAAAATTAATATATAAGAATGTAATTCTTTGCTTGACAAACATTATATTTATGAGTTAGCCTCTTGATATATACTGAAAATACTACCAAAGATACAATGCTGAACCTTACAACCTCTTTAATGGAAAGTTAAACAACAAGTTAATAGTTAAATGTTACATTATGATCTGTATCGATATTTACTATTTGCATTGTGCGTGTTCATGCCCATCAACATCGGCTGTCTGGGATTTCCATGCGGCGGGCCAGGATGCTGCATGTGATGCATATGTTGTTGATGGGGGGGCATGGACAGTATCGGTTGATGTGGATTCCGATGCGGCAACAGATGCTGCGGCTGATGTAAAGGGGGCAAATTAGCCTGCTGCATAGGCCGCATCGGACCTGCCATTCTATATAAATATTGTTTGTTTGATTAAAATATATCCTTAGAGATATTTGTTATATTAACTACCTTTATGAATTAATACATAGACATGCAATTATATTGTTGCATATGTACAAACACATCTCAAAGATTGGTTAATAGAGTATTAACCTGTTATCTCGCAGCTGATTCTGCATTGCGTGATGTTGATGACGTAACATCTTATGAAAATCTACACGGGGAAACCTACAAAGGAGAAAAGAATTCGTTTGATCGTGCTGATTAGTAAAAGAGAAAGCAAATCGAGTCTTCTCATTTGTCACGGAGTGTACTCCAAATGTTAACTTTCACAATATCTCCACTCTATATATTTGCTGCTTCTCATGTATACAAAATGTACACATTCTTTTGCTTCCGGTTAAAAATTTAGAAACAAAATGCCCTTTCAAGGATAATCGTTCGTTTAAGTGAGCGGAAAGTTGTGACGGTACCGGCGATCCCGAATGTGATCTTGCAACGTAGCACGAGAGATATTGCGAAACATCGTCATTATCGCGTCGCAACATGATCCGCTCATGATCCGTTGTGCACGCGTAGAAAAGTATGGTATATACCTTCCCACAAAAAAAAGGGCGAGCCGGCACGGTTAGCGGCCGTTATACGACGCGATTTTGTGGCGCGTCGTCGCGGCCGAGCGCGATTTCCGCACATACGCATGGACGCAGTGCGTACCCAGTCGAGAAATTCTGTCTATAAATAAATATTAATTCGACAAAACGCGTGATGGGTTTAGCCCGGCGACGACAACGGCGGCGGCATTTCCGCCGAACGTGAATGCCGCCCTCATTCCTCGCTCCGTGTACACTTACCTGGTCTAGTTCGTTCTATTTCACGGAAATTTTGAGCGCGACACACGATACCGTGAAATTTCCAGCGAAACAGATCGGCGACACCGCGTAGCGAACACCGCCAAGCCCTCAGCACGGGATATTGGCAAACAGTAAAGAAAAGTATACTCTGTAGACTAAAATGCGGCCATTTTAATGTGAGACTGAGCCTCGGTCATCGCGTACGTACCTTCACATAGATCGGACATTAAAGATGGGCGAAACAGTATCGATATTTCAGGTATCGAGGTTTTAGCACTAAAACACCGATATTTTGCATCGATATTTCCATATATCGATACGCGAGTACCATTGAGCATCAAACTTCGATACTAAGGAATATACCGATCAAACTACCTCTCCATGCGGCGTAACTTGTGTAAGCGTAACCTGCGTATTCTAGTAATTTACTAGAAATTACACCATTTTGAAAATCGGCACTTACATGGTGCGTATTTCGTTAAATTTGCGTAAAGTGTAACCAATAACTTCGTAAAACTAACCAATAACAGATCAGGCGTTTTGTTGTACAATAGAGCAGAAATACTAAATGGGTTCTCAATTGGCTATTATTAGGTCTGTTTTTTTTCGCTACACTAAAACTGCATTAGAATTGCACCGAACTGAACTGAACCGCACTGGGAAAGACTAGTACAGAATAGTTCAGTTCAATGCAGAAGTGCAATGAAGAGGGCTGTTCGTTTTCGCTGCACCGCTGAAACGCCAGAGTATAGTAAACAACATGGCGCATCACATGGCATTATTTGATTCTTCTGACGAAGAGGATTTTGTTGTAATACAACCACTATTACAACCCATTGTAAATGAAAACGATGAATGTAATATACAACTAAATATAGCAAATTTATTAATAATATATAATATTATATACCCTACTGATCATAAATTTAAATGACTAAATATAAAATAAATATAAATATAAAATCATAAAAATATCTTGACATCTTAAATTCATCCTTGTGGCATGTTTGGACATTACTGCTGTGTATGTGTGTGAGATGGTATAATATTAACAATTTTTGAAAATGGAATAAAGAAGATGTTTCACACATTTCAATATAATGCAAGCCACATACGCTCAGGGACTCAGGCGCGACACTCGGTCGCCTTTTCAAGTCGCCGGTCGCACAGTCATCGTAAGATAGAGATCCCGAATGCATGTATCGGGGCTTACGCGGTAGAATAAGTAAAGTAGTACGTAGGGACTGCTTCCGGCGAACGGGTACGTCCGAGAGTGCCGCCTTGGCCGAGAGCAGGAACTACTGTCGGGAAAGACTCGGCTGGCGCCCAACGGAAAACCCGAAGAGATTCGCGTAACGGCGCCGGGCAAGAGAGTTCGTTAACACGACGCACATACTTTAGCTGCTGTCGGGCGGCTTAGATCCGCCGACTAGAAGGCTTCTCGCGGGAGAGACCTCAGGCGAGATATCGCTCTTTTTGATCGCGTTACAGAATCTCCCGTGGTACAGAATTTGGTTGCCTGTCCGCGACGGACGCAGGCGGATTACCGAGTATTGGTTCAACATCACACCATATGATAGATAATCTGTAGGAGAAAGACATTACCTGTACCAAGTCGAATAGAATTAAAGTGTTGTTATCTTACTGTTAATCGGTCTCAAAGTCATTGTCTCCCCCGGCTCCCCCTCCGACGGTCCGCGAGTCTCGAGGAAGACGTGGAGGAACCACGACGCTCTACCCCCTTGGAAGAGCGAGGGATTCGACTCGACATAAAGATAAAATTGAGCTAGCCGAGATGGATCCGCTGCCGCTTAAAGACGGAAGCGAAGAGTCCCGCCACCGACGCGGCGTGAATTACGGTGGACGTGACAAGTTTCATAAAAATTTGTACCAGAAAAACAAATGTACAAACGAAAAATGTGATTTGACATTACCCTGACCTTGGAATATCGGTCAGCGATGTTTACAGTGTATAAAATCAGAGAAAACATACATTTCACTGAAAATCATACATATATTTATTAAAGAAAAGATATGACAAAAGTTTTGCATGTAATATCTTGAAAAAATAATCAATTACATTATTATAACTTGTTAATAGATGCAGTAGTTACGTTTCAAGCATTTTTGTCTCATATTAGAGCTGTAAACTATGAAATTCTGCATTTTGCATGACTATTTTGTTATTTTATTGACAATTTAGTAACTAAGTACTGTTAAAAATGTAGTACATGGTTTCAAGAAATATTATTATTATTGCTACCTATTCTCATTTATTCATTTTTGTAAGATAATAGTGTAGGTGCATTATTATCGGTTATTAATTATAGCCCGTATTCTGAATTGTCTTTTATCGATAAAAGTACCACTAAAAGTGGTTTAAGAACCATTTGATTGGCTGAGAAATCACATTCAAGGTCACATTTATCGATAAAAGAAATACGAGTTCAAAATACGAGTTTATATGTATATCTTAATCTTTAGTTAATCGTTATAAAAGGCTTTCTTCGTAAGATATTGCCTAATAATAGGTAATTATGGAGCTTCAGACAAAAGTAAGCGATAATTATTTATGATTGCAAGCTATTTGTAGAAAGGATGAAAATGACCGTGCAATTGGTATAATTACTTTCGGTGTCTAATTCTAATTGGAATATGCTTATATTTAAAAATCATGAAAGTGAAATCTCTCTTTGTGACGCCGGTGTCCGTGTTCCAAAAGTGATTGGCCGTGTGTTGCAAGCTTTACACCATATCTTTCAGATCCCTGTAAAATGGCAATCTCACGGCGTATGAAGGTTGATTGTTTTCGCAGACGAAGATCGTGCCGTTTTCTCCCTTTTCGATCAGCTCCACGATAGCAGTCGCTACATATTCAGGTCTGTTGGATAAGAAAAATATAGTTGTCGATGCTGTTCGGATGCTATTATTCCATCAATAAGATTACAAATACCAATGCCTAACTGTGGACGTCCTTGTTACTTATGTTTCTGAATACGAATATTACAACATAGAATATATATACGTATATTGAATATATATAAATATTTTTAATTTAATGGTTAAAAATTCGTACTTAAAAATGTAAACAAAAAGAATGTTCACAATTAGGTATGTATCCAGGTACTTTTACTTTTTATATAATATTTCATTGTTTCAAATAGATGAAGCTAATGCAGAAAATCAAATTTTGCGTGCAATTGAGAGATTTGGATTCTCTGCTACAATTTATGAGAAGTTGAATGTTAATTTATTTTTAATTTATTATTAAATCGTTATTATGTAATAATAATGTGCACATACACGTTAAATACATTTTAAATTCGTAGAAATCACAACTTTGAACTGTTATTCTTTTATCCTATTATTCTGTCTATTATTTTTATAATTTGTTATTGAAACGGGAAGCTCAATTGTGAAATAACGCAATGTTTGTAACTCACGACTGACTCTCCATCGCTGCCATCTCCTTAGCAGCAATTTCATCGTCCAGGATATCCATGGCGTAAACTTTACTGGACATAAATTTTGACGCCATGGCAGTGTTTGTGAGACCAGGACATATCACCAATACACGTATACCTGTCTTCTCATAGAAAGTCTGCGAATACAACATAAGACTTTAATAGAGAAATTGCAATAATAATATTTCTTTATTGAACGCTAAAAACTGCAGGAAAGTATTCTGAAAGTATTGAAGACGCTATGTTGACACCGACCAATAAACGCAATAATAAGTGTACAGCGGGTTTTAATGATGACTGATGAATGATGAATGATAATGATGAATGATAATGATAATGATGATAATGATATTTGATAATCGCAACGTTCCGCTAAGTATGAGGTAATGTACGAGGGTGGATCAAATATAAACGAGCCTTTTGCAAGAAAACCATATATTTTTCAAAATCAATTCTAATTTACATTTTTCTTACTTTTCTACGTAGTCCCCCATCTTATCTATACACTTCCTCCAACGGTCTGGTAATTTTTTAATCCGGGTATCATAAAAAGTTTGCGGACATGTATCAAAACAATTGCACAGGAACTGCTGCACCTCCTCGTTCGTTGTGAAGCGCTGTCCACCAAGGGCTTCCTTGAGTGGCCCAAACATATGGGAGTCACATGGTGATAGGTCTGGGCTATAGGGTGGATGTTCTAGGACAGCCCAATGCATATCGGCCAATTTTTGTTGTGTTACTGCTGCGGCGTGAGGTCTGGCGTTGTCACAGAGAAGTAATACACTTCTGATCGGAATACCGCGCCTTTTTGACCGATAGACTCGAACTTGGCTAAGAAGATCACAATAATAGGCAGCATTAATGGTTCGACGTTCTTGAAGAAAATCGACCAGCAGAACGCCTTTACAGACCCAGAACACTGTGGCCAAGGCCTTCCCTGCAGACAACCACGTTTTCGCTTTCACCGGTGCACCCTCGCCAGTTTTCCGCCGCGCCATACTGGCTCTCTTCGATTCAGGGGTGTAATGATGGACCCAAGTCTCATCGCACGTGACAATTTTTTCCAAAAAAGTGTCACCTTCCCCCTCGTACCTCGTTAGGAGTCTCCGAGAAATTTCAAACCGCACGGCTTTCCGCTCTGCATTCAGCAACTTTGGAACCCAACGAGCCGACACTTTTCGAAATCCCAACTCATTGCGAATGATTGATTGCACACTTCCATAGCTGATCTGAAGTTCCTGAGAGATTTCAAGAACAGTTAAGCGCCGATCGTCTTCGATGAGTTCTCGAACAGCCTCGGTGTTCTGCACTGTGATGCTGATGCGGGGACGGCGCGGATGGGCAATGTTTTCAACACGCTCCCGTCTTTTCTTAAATTCGTTACACCACTGTTTCACCCGAGCCCATGAAAGGGTTCTTTCCTCGAACTGTGGGAGTAAACGGCGCCGAATTTCAGCAGCATTTACATTTTCGTTGACGAGAAACTTCATAATAACACGTTGTGCAACTGCGGGGTGTACTTCTTTCTCACTCATCGTGATTGCTGCTGAAAGTAAGAAGCACGTGGCGCGCCAACGTTATTACTGCCTTCCACATGATCCACCTCCACTGTCCAAAACGTTGCAAACCCCTCACGCCGCCGACGGGTACGCAATTTAAAAAGGCTCGTTTATATTTGATCCACCCTCGTATTTCGTATAATTTCACGCGAAAAGACCAAAGAGACAAATTTGACGTTGATGTAATAAATTATGTTTCCTGAGATATTCGATATTTATTCAATGAAGCTGTATATTCACCTGCAACGACGAGCTAAATCCAATGATGGCGAACTTCGTACCGGCGTAAATCGGCGCGATCGGATTGCCACTTAAGCCGACGATAGAAGACATGTTGACGATCGTACCACCTTTCCCACCTTTGTGTTTCCCCATATGATTCAGACCCAGTATCGTACCACATACAACTCCTTTCTGAAATCATAAAAGATGATGAAATTACATAAATAGCTACGCTATGCGCACAATGCATCCAATAGACATGCCACAATGTATTTTCGCGAGAAACGTCGTTGAAAACAATAAAATAAACTACTATATAAATACTACTAATACACTACTACTACTAATACACTACTACTACTAATACACAATTACTACTAATACACTGAACTACTTCCATACTACATTGAAAAAAAAATGTATTAAAATCAAACAAATTTCATTTGATTTAACAAAATGATTTATTTGAATACTCCTAATTAAATAATTATTTAATTGAAATTAATATATTTTATTGGCAACGGATGATGCATGAATGCGTCATTTAGCTTTTTTATTTGGGTGCGAATATGCGTAATCGACATTTTCATACATCTATCTCAATATAAATTTATAAGACGTTATTAGTGGCTCAATTTCTCGTCAGAAATGTCATGTTACATGTTCCACGAATTGAAAAAATTGTTTATTGGTTTATCTTTCTATTATAATCAGCAATGAGTAATACCGAGACAGGGTCTCTCTTCTCTCTTTATTCTCATTCTACTCTCACTCTACTCTCGCTCCACTCATGTCGACAAGTGACTCTCGATGGCACAATTTTTTGTGAAATATTCCTTAGATAAAGAGTTACAGCAAATTTTTTCTAATGCTACCCGATAGACGCAAAACCGTCCCGTACCCATATTTTTTTAGATTGAAAAAATATTTATTTGACTTGAAGAAATAAATCTTCAAGTAGAAAAAAGAAGATATCAATAAAAAAATATTTTTAATATCAAAGAAATATTTTCTAATGTCAAAGAAATATTTTTTAATAATGAAACATATTTTTTTTATTCCCAGCTAATTTTTTAAAACAAAGTTTCTATTTATATTACATTTATATTATATTTATATTACATTTTGGGTTTTTTCTTTAGAAATGAATGCTCATGAAGATCTTAACTGCTTAGTTTAATTTAAATCGTACTTGAAGAATTTATTTACCACTGCTAAGATTCGAACCTGAGACCTCTGGCTTTTAAGTCGTTCACCTTATCTACCTGCAACCTCTATCATTTTGGCTGATGGACGTTTCGTATCGTATACATACGTTATATTCATGTAAGAAAACGAACAAATGATTTATTTAGAAGAAGGAAATAGATCCTTTTAAATGTAAAAAGTATATTTAGAAAAATATTTATATGTTTTAGAAGTAAGTATAAATAATAATTTTGTAAATCTAAAAAAATCGTTTTTTAATAGTAAAAGAAACTTTTTGTTTAAAATAAAAAAGATTCTTTATAAATATCAGAAAGTGATTTATTTAAAGTAATTTATAAAATAATTTGCTTGTATTTGCTTATTTTTAAATAAAGTAAGTATTTATTTAAATACGATTTTTACATTTAATAAAACCTATTTTTTTCTTGTAAAGAAATAATTTGCTTTTTCTTCTATAACGGTATTTTAAATCAAAGAAATTATATTTTTTAAATTTAGAAACTCATGATTTTACAAATTATTTTACAAATTAAAAAAAAATATTTTTCATTTATGAATTTTCTTCTTAAATCTAAGAAATATTTATCTAAATTTAAAAGATATAGTTAACAAAATATATTTCTTTTATTTAAAGAATTATTTTTCTTAGTACACCTTTATCGTCAATATCTTATAATCAAGTGAAAAAAGAGTGGAGGAAGACACTAATAGGTATTTTGACAAAAGTCATGATTTGCACGTCGTGATTTTTATATATAGAAAATAGCTTATTTTGAAGATATGTCACGATCATTGATAACAGCACGGAGGAAATGAGGAAAACAGGAAATGAGATTTTGCGCAACAAGCCGATCATTACTTACATAATTAACATCAACCATCGAGTCCCACTCAGTATCATTCATAATACCGGCGCTGTTGATAACAATGTCTAACGTGCCAAGTGATTCTATCGCCTTGTTGAAGCAAGCTGCGTATTGCGAATATATCAGAAACATTTTTGTTTGAAAATAATGTTCCGTGGAAAAACATTGATAAAAATTAGATACGTTTAATTATTTGAAATTGTAACAATTCATGTTTTCGAATTAACGGTATCAACCGATCGATACGGTACCTGTAAGTTCTTTGACATTCGCCACGTTTCCAGCGAGGAAAATGGCGTGATTCGCACCAAACTCATTCTCCAATTCCGCCACGGCGTTTTCACCGTTCGAATCGGCCAAATCTACGATTGCAATGACCTACAATACACGAAAATCAATTAACTTTATATAAATATGAATTCAAGCTTAAAAACTGAATTTTTGTTTAGTCGAAATCAATATGAAATTTTATATAAAATTTTACATATATTTTTATACAAAATTTCACTTCAACACTATTTTTTTCGTTTATTACAGTAATTTGTAAAAAATAATATATAAACTCTGATCATTTTACATGATCATATAATTACCTTTGCTCCATTTCGCAGCAACTCCCGAGCGGTGCAATAACCGATCCCGTTGGCTCCCCCGGTGATGAGCACGATTTTCTCCTGAATTTCCATTGAGGAGGAGGTTCGTCCCGTTTGATGCTCTCTTCCTTGCGAATGCAATTCGCCGATATTCAGTTCGCACCAATGGTACGATTTCCTCAGACTCTGATCCGCAAATAAATCTGCCAGATATTGTTGAGGAGAGCGAGCCACAGGTGTTGAAATTTGAGTAGTCAGCGGTGATAGAATATCATTTGCGAATCTGATAGGGATAACGTGAACCCGCTCTCGAGGTAAACAAGATCGGATTCGTGAGTCGATAGGTAAGAATCATAGAAGAGAAAAAATGACGATTCGAGATGAAGAAGCGTAGATCTAGAACCGAAGCCATTGGATGCAAAATTATGTATAAGTCTCCGTTTTTTATATAGTTTTAATTATCAGTATGTAAAATCTTATCTTCGTAAGAGAAAAATATCATTTATATTTTAAAAAATTGCTAGAAGAAAAGGTGGTATTATAGTCTCCTATTTACATTTCGTACAATAATAGTCGACAATAAATATTAGTCAACAATAAATATTTTTGATTGAGAACGAATTTTGATTTTAGATCCAAAATTATGAAATATTTATTACTTGGACGTCATTTATAAAAATGTGGTGAATGTGTAATAGGTTAAAGAGAAACCAGGGTGATAATGTGGCCCCCAACTAAAATTGATTAAAAAATTGTTTTGTTTGTTTAAAATACTGTAAAACTAAAATAGATACTGACTTATGTAGATACTGATTTATGTAGATACTGACTTAATTGTCAGAAGAACAACACTGCAGTGCAAACAAAAGTGCAGTGGTGAATTATAGAATAGAAATAAATAATTACTTCAACTTCAGAAAACTTCGGAAAAGAGATTATCTTATCAACACTCTTAAAGAATCACGCTAGTAAAATGCTATGCCATCGTTTAACTTTGCATAATTCGAAATGCGTATAGCTGAAATGTTAAATAACGAACGAAATATTCAAATGTATATACAGGTCTCCGATAATTTTTTCATGATCCGTAATGTGCATACAGAACGAATGAAATTAAGCAGAAAAGTCCTATACTATTTTATAAAATTCACAATGGTTAATGAAGAATTAATTAATTTGTATGAGCTAATGAACATATGGGAAGAGGCCTGACTCTGTATTAAAAAAATGGCTGACTTTTAAAGATCTCCTATCAACGATGGGTATGAAACTAGTAACGAGAGGCATTTCTTTTTGGCGTACAGTCCTATGTCACATATTGCTCGCTGCGTTATTTCGCCTCTAAAAATCAGTTGTTTAGCTTATTATTGCTAAGAGATCTTCATAAGTAAATCACTTTTCTTTATATTAGTACTATTACGTAACGGCGAGCAACTAAATAAATGATTCCAAGTAATCAATTCGCCACCTAATAGTAGAGATATTAAGAGAGGCCATAATATCTATAAGGACCATAATAACACCTTTTATCTATGCTAATGTTAAAGATCAGTAGTGGACAAGAAAAGATTTTATCGTTAGAACATTAATCGGGGTTATATATTTCCGACGAATTTGTATCTTCAATTTTTGCGAGGAATTCGAAGCAAAACTGCAGAGAACGAAACGATCGATTCTTTCTCACGAAAGGTACGGAGCGATACAAAAGTGCAAAGTTGTGAGAAGATTCAAATTGATCCTCGCAATTTTATTAAAAGGCAATGCATTTTTATTGGCAAGGCTAGCAACGTACATACCGTGTAACGTGTAACAAAAACAAACTCAACAATCGTCGCTAAATCGTCACGTTGTCGATCGAAAGCTACAATGAATTCTTCGAACGGACAACGCATCTCGAACAAATTCGACGGGCTCGCATCGATCTAACTAGATATCCGATCGATCTGTGGCGATCTGAACGATACAATTCGGTGCGTTGGTGATTGCTGCACGCCACGACAAACCAAGACAAAACAGGAACAACAAGTTGCGCTCGCTCAGCCTAGGTAGATCCTAATTCTATCGCTATACCGTTTCTATAAATATTCCTCGTTTTCCCTCAAAAGACTGTAGAAAAATTACGGACACGACTGGATAAGTAGTTTCGCTTGGAGTAATCGTCCGACGGATTTCGGTTTAATTCCCACTCGCTCGGTGTACGCCGATGTAGATGATCCTTGACGCACGTATCGAACTTTGAGCTGTAAATTCGCACGCGAACATGAGCTTCAGTTTCTCGTCGGAATCTCCTGAGACATGTGAAGAGATTTTACCGCGTCCCTCCTCTCGAATAGACGGTTCGTGCGACTTCATTTTCGTCCCAACATCGTGTCTCAATAACGCCGATTATATTTCTATCTTTTCTGATATTTTTACACACGTTTAATATTTGAAATATATAATGTGTAAAAATGTTCGAGATGCGATGGACTTATTTGATTACTTGGCACTGTTCAAGATTAAAACGTTGTTTCTCCTCCTACTGAACGTTGAAAAATATATCGACGACAAGGAATAGTAGCTTTGAATTTAACGGACCTTTCTTGCTTTTTTCTATCTCTCTTACATAAAAGAGCTTTTATTGTATTTTGCGACATTTTGCAAAGGGAATATCCGTGAATCCAGGATCATTTATATCGGTTGTCGTAAGAGACGCATGCTTCCTTTTTCTCACCCTTTCTTTTGTACGCGTCGAGAGCGTGAATTTAATGCTTTCACCTCTCTCACTCGATTTCTCTCACACACACTCTCTCTCTCTCTTTCTCCTTGCCTTCCTTACACAAGCAATAAATACAGTGTCTATTATACTCGACCTAGTAGTGAGACGCGATTACATTACACTTAGCGACGTGAGACGGCACGTGAAGGGAATCGTTGAGATTACGTTGAATATGATAGAAAAAAAGAAAAAAAAAAGAAGAAAAGGATCGGCTACACGTAAGACGAGTAACTTGTGCGACGATTACAGATGATTGGCGGCAGGATACAGATATCGTTGCGATTTTCGTCGGTGCATTACACGAATGTTCGTCCGAAAAAATACGGGAATTCTCGACTGACATGAATGCAAATGCGAATTGCCGTTCAGAAGTCCCGTGCCAAAAACCGACGCAAATTCGCAACGCGGGTGCGGGACGGAAGCGAAAGCCATTGTTTTTACAATGTTTTACATTTTCCTTTCTTTTTGTGTGTGTATTTTGTGCGTACTAAGAATGTTTCCGCCATCCCGACGCGCATCCCGCGTCGACCGTGTGCGGGATTTTCTTATTCTTATTCTTCTTTTTTTCTTTAATATTGCGATCTTATATTTCTCGCGACTGTTAAATCCGAGATACTCTCTCTCACTCTTTCTCTCCCTTTCTCACCTGCGTGTCATAGATTTTCAGCTATGTCAGTATAAATCGTACCAAAAGTATGACTTTCTATCAAAAATCGGAGACGACGTGATCTTCGGACAATCAACGTTCGTTGTCGCCAGAGTAAAAAAGGTATTCCAAATTCTCTCCCCTTGAAGTATTCAAGTATGAAAGTAAATATATATATATATCCGTATGTGAGTAAAACTACGTTTCGCTCGCCTTCGGTCGTTGTCGTTATCGTCGACAACGGCCGGCGAAACGCCGGCAAGTGATGGGATACACATCTCGATACAATTACAGTTAATTGTGCGATACGACGTAAGATATTTGCAGTGAAGCGAGGAAGAATCATTGCACGTGGACGACACTCTTTCCCTCTTTCTTTTTTCTTTCTTTTTTTCTTTCTTCTTTTCTTTTTTTTAATGCTTCGAGAAGCTGATCTCGTACGGTGGCTGCTCTTTCTCCACCATCCATACGCTTCCGCTCTTGCCGGTATTCAACACGTGTATCAACGCCTTCGCCACGTGTTCCGCCCTGCAACATCAAATGTTCCTTCGAAAAATGTCCCGTACTCGCGACTGATTAAGAGTATTTAGCTAGTCACGAGCTAGTGACTGGCTAGAAAACTTATCTAGTCATTAATATCTAGCTACCAGTTTTGAAACCTAATATGCTAGATACATTTCTGCTCGGGATGTGGCAGGTTTAATTGTATGAATAGAATTTGCGTATTGTCGAACAGCTACTCTATAGGTCTATTGGCTTTTTTAATATAATTCCTTGAATTCTTTTAAACGTAATCTGATCTGTACTTTCGTCTCAAAGATTGGGTATTTTATAAGAATTTTATTTTATAATTTTTATATTTTTATTTTATAATTTTATAATTTTATAATATAATTTTATAATTTTTTGTACATGCAACTTGATCCATATATTAGTATTGATCTTGTATAATTTCCTCTGTCCTTTAATCTGTAAAGGATCTTATTCCTTCTTCCCTGTCCCATCTACCGTTAATTTAATGAATAAATAAATAAAAATTTTCGTGACTATATAGGTTTTTTATTAATTTATTTAATAAGATCCCTGAGGTTTTGCATCCGATCTTTTAAAAATTAGAAATTATTAAGCGTACAGGATCGTTATTCATAGTAGACACATGAAATTTTTAATTAACCGTGTAATTATCCGCAGTTATAGAACGATCATTCAATTGTGAGAGCTGATTAGACAGAGATAATTGGTGAGAATGTAATGCAGTGTGAAATTGTACCTCTGAAAAACTGAGGAGGCTACATCTCTTTGCCAGGCATCCTCATATCGAGCCAGAAGAAGCTTTCTACCGACGTCTTGCACCAATTTGGTCTCCGTGGTGCTTGGACAGAGTGCCATCACTTTTACGCCCGTCAAGTTCACGTGATATTGATCCTATTCAGACATTAATAATTTATTGTATCATATATCAGAGCTCCATATTCTTATCTTAAATCCAATTGAATGTATAAGCGAAGGATTTCACAATGTAATTCAATAAGATTTAGATAATGAGAAATATGTAAATTTTGCCGAATCCGTTCTCTATGGTTCGTGCAAATAATGTTGTTTTTGATTATTCACTTTCTAAAGTTCAATCAGTGTATCATCACTGAGAAGCAGACAATAGTCATTAGTGATCATAGTTATGACACTATAAATCAGTAAAATTTCGCTGCAAAAGTCTATTAAGCAGCAACAATTTCCATCAGAGATGTCTAACTACAAAGACAGTGAAATAAAATATTATTTATTACTTCTATCTTATATTATTTTAATTCTACTCTTAAAATATTATCAATGATTTTATTTTAAATATTCTTAATTATGTTTACCCGGAAGAAAAAGATCATATATGAAATTTGTCCATATATGACTATATATAATCATATATGTCCACAACGAAAAAATACTGTTGTTTACAAATTATATGCAAAAACAATCGAAATAAATGCTTCTGGCTACTTGTGCTTCTTGACAGCACATGATATTGACATTTAATTAGATGCAAAGCATCATTTGTTTTCCTATAGACATATATGATCATATAGCATATAATCATATATGTAACTACATATATGGGCAAAATTCATATATGATTTTATATAATCATATATAATCATGTATAACCATTTTTTCCCGAGTAATTAATTTGCTTTATATCATATTTGAAAAACACGCTTATCCTGATGAGATTCGAACTCGAAACTTGTAGCTCTTGAGTCTGCTGTCATATGAACTATGTCAAATATCATACAATATTTGGTTGAATGCATATTCAATGTGTATAGGATATTGCGTCAATATACAGATCATTATGACGGGAACACGCGTGAGAGAGTAAGAGTGCGTCGTGCGAAATTGGACCTGTCACGCGCGCTCTCACTCTCTCACGCGCGCCTCTGAGCAGGCAACTTGTCATAATGAGCTGTATGTTGATGCAACATCCTGTATATATATTTTTGTAATAGCGATTTGCAGTGAATTTTTCACTGGCCAAAATCAGTATCCCGGCTAACAAGATGACGCCAAATGACATCTTAATGATGTCTTATCCATATTATTAAGACGTCATCTTGTTAGCTGGGATTAGACAAAAGAGTTAAGTGGAAGAGTTTCCATTAAAAATTAGTGAATACTCGTTGATTCAATTAGTGACATTTTCACTAATTCAACTTAAGGGAGTATTGTAATTATTAACTTTGCACTTTATCTAATGTTAATGAGATTCGCGCTTTGTTGGAACGATTGGAAAATCGACGGCCTACATCGCAGTTATTTCGAGTTAGCAGTAATAATCGATAACTGGTGTGCGTGTAAAAAGAGACTTCTTTCACAGATTCTTACGAACCCCGAAAGCCCGGGTGAAATTGACGACGGCCGCTTTCGTCGCGGAGTAAATTGGCACGCTGACGTAAGGATTGACGCTGACGTTGCTGCCAGTGTTAATAACGACTCCACCTTGGCCGCCCCTATCCGTGCCCATAAACCGTTGAGCCAGCAAAGTGCCGCGGATCACCCCATTCTGTAAATATATTCGCCATAACGTTAATTTTTTAACGCGCATACATCGCGGTACATATCAAATATGTCAAAATTATTTCATCCTGGGAAATTATTCAATGAGTATGCAGTTATATGCAATAGAGTCACGGAAAGTCATAAGAATTTATTTCAAAAATGCATGATATTTTTTATCGAAATTAAAAAGAAACGAGGAGAAAAAGAGTGAGCGATAAAACGTAGAAAAATGTTATTGAAGTTGCCTATAAAATAATATTCCTTTCATTTTGCATATTTTATACCTTCATCGTGTACTTAAACAAAGTACTAAACCACAAGTCTACAGCTTTTTTATTTCTTCAGCAATCCACGTTTAAAAATTATCTATTTTTTCGGCCGATTATACCGATCTGACCCTTTAATAAAGGATGCCATAAATTTACATCGGCGTACCAAAGAGTCATTTGTTAATACACCGTTGAAATGAGACATACAAAGTACAGTGAAAAGGGTCTATCGGAAATATTTACTTACGAGATTAATATCCACTTCAAGTTCCCAGAACCGATCATTCATGATACCAGCATTATTGATAACTATATCAATATGACCGAATTCCGCAATCGTTGTCTGAAATGATTCTGCAAATTGAATTACATAGTATTATTATAGGAATAAGTGCCATAGCAATAAAAACGATATACATGCACGTACATACACACATGCGTGCGCGCACGCATATATTGAATACACAAATTTTAATGGGTTTCGTATAAAAAGTCAGGTTTTTTGTATTCTTTCAAAAATTATTTTTTAACCTTTCCTCAACAATAGCTGATAATGTTGCCTTTCTAACGATATATAATAAATAATGTCTTTCAATAATATAATACAAAAATATTAATTATGTCAACTATTGAGAATCCATCAAAACTTTTGCATTCACCTAATATATATATCTACTTATATATCTACTTATAGTTATTTATGGACGCGATGAACGCATCCATAAATATTGCAAATTATCGTACCTTCAAATTGCGGATAATCCGTGACGTCGCATTGCGAGAAGATCACGCGATCTTTGCCGTATTTCGCGGTCAATGTTTCCACCAGTTTCTCTCCTTCCTCGGTATTAATATCACAAATGGCCACCTATAAATAACGAGACACGTGTAAGAATAGACGAATCTTCTTACACTTGCAGTGTCGATAAAATAAGCTTGGCGTCGTTTGCAAGATATCTCCAGCTATTTTTATAGGCACGATGAAATGTTAATTAAATTTGCGTATGTACCTTTAAGAAAAAGTATTGTTTAGCTATATCAGTAACTGATAAATGTTCCAATTAACTGATGATGTTGGATTAGTTCGCATCCAACTGCGTAACTAATAGATCATCATCACTTAATTGGAATATTTATCAGTTACTGATACACCTAATCCGTTCTTTTTCTCAAGAGTATATAAGCATAAGCAAATTGTTATTAAATATAAAAGTTAAAACTCCTGGCTAGTCGCTGCAACTATGTTTGATGACGTCAGAAGCGAGAAAACGCATGTCATTCCTGCGTTTTACAAATTACATTATTCAAATAAACAGATATACTCATAAAATGACATTTGTGATCGATCCAGTACACTTGTAAAATTGTCAGCGCACTTTTCTTTTATTCGAATAAGCAATAAATAGTCGTAAAATTAACATTAACAAAATCATGAAAAAAAAAGATTAAAATGAATGGTTCCGTGTCAAATTAATTTTTGCGGCTGTTTATTGATTATTCGAATAAAAATGCATAGACAATTTTATAAGTATGAATCGATCACAGATGTCATTTTGTGAATATATCTTTTTATTTGAACACTAAAATTCTTGACATGGGTTTTCTCACTTCTGACGTCATCAAACAAGGACAGCTGCAGCAACTACCCAGGAGCCTTAATTTAAATTTTGCTCATATAATAGTGACGTATTTACTTGCAGGAATTTCCTTGGAACCGGCAAACGGATTAAGAATTTTCTGAAGTCGGGAAAAGTGAAAGCGTTTATTCAAGTGAAAATATCTGTTTTATACCGATTCTACAATATGTATAATATAATGAAACACAACCCTTACAGAAATTTATTACTACTAAGCTATTAAGTAAACTACCAAATGAGCGATTAATTACTTATTTTGAATACTTAAAATACCGTTGTTAATAATTTGTAATGATTAAATTACAGAGTTCGCACTGACCCAAAATATTTCAGTGCTTAGAGTTGCAATGATTAAATACTACTTTATTGTTAATATGATTACTTAAATACTGATGCTTAATAGCACAGTGGTGATGAAATATATCTTCACAGAAATTTAATACTAACAATTACTGAATTTGCAATTTGATTAAATATTGAGAAAGCAGTGGAAATACAGTAGATAGTGAGCACACATCGAACAAGTGTTCCGGTTCCTTCCAGAAGATCTAAGGTACCTAACTGTTAACCCTTTCGGTACATTTGACGAGTGAGATTCGTCATCTGCTTACTTGGGCATAAAATGTATTACTTTTACATATTAATCCATATAGCGACAAATTAAATCCGTCCCATGGGCATAAAAATCTTAAAATAATTCAGTACTCAAAGGGTTAATTAGATGACACAGGATACTGCCCTGAATGTATTTTTTCTCCTTTCTTCTTTTTTTATTATTTTTATTTTATTATTAATATCAATAAAAAACATATATAATCTTTTTATGTGTATAATTTAAAATATATTAACCAATGACTAAATATTGGTCAAATAATTACTGAAATACCGCCAGTATTTAATTATTGTAAATTCCTCAGTAATTCTCAATATTAAATTTCTATAAGGGAATACAATCGTAACTGAATAATTAAATATATGTTTTATAATATTCATATACCGAATGACCAACATCTGTTCGTTATAGCGGTTGTTTGCGACTTGATCTTTCGAAATTTATCTTGAACGAGCGATAAATTTCTCGCCTGTCTTCGAGAACGATCTAAATATAAATCGGCTGTTTTGAAGGAAAACGCATGGAAGAGTTCTCGGAACGTGTTTTTGCGCGAAACTCGGTCGCAAGTCGCGAGTTCGGGGCATTCCATGAGCGACAAGTGACGTTCGCTGCATGAAAAATCGCGATAGCGAACGACTTCTCTTTTCCTTAAAGGAGCGAAATATATTTTCGTGATACGAACAATGTATGTACGTCGGAAACAAAGTAGAGAAATTTCCTCCTAAAATACCTCACCTTGGCACCTTGACTCAACAACTCGACGGCGCACGCTTTGCCGATGCCGGAAGCGGCTCCTGTCACAAGGGCGACTCGCCCTTTTATCTCCATCTTTTCTAGATCGTCGTCCGCTCTTATATCTGCGCGTGCAAGACTCGAGATTAGTACACTTTTACCACTGTTTTGTCATGTCACGCAGCCAATTAAATCAACGGTAAAGTCTTTCAAAAACATTACATTTTATCAATTTCTTGATAATATAATCCTCAGACACAGAGGTCTGTATTCTGAATTCACTTTTGCCGATAAAAGTGCCTCTAAAAGTGGCGTAGGAATCATTTTATTGACTTAACTTTTATTAATTGGCTAAAAAGTCACACTTAAGGCACTTTTATCGATAAAAATGAGTTCAGAATATGAACTAGAGGACCCAAAGCGAGATTAGAGTTATCTCCTCGCGAAAGATTACCTCCTAAATTTCCCCCGCGATCTAATTCCGCCTCTTTTTCTCCGCTGTCCCTTTCACCCTAGACTCGTCGTTAAAGCTCAACAAGAAATTGATTCACCTACGTCTTCCAGGAGCAGCAGGCGTTCACGCACCGAACACACCACTCTCTCAACACCTGTCACTTTTCGGCCACGACATCACCGACGCTCTCGAATAACCCTGCTTCGTTCAACCACGTATCGACGTACCCTCCCCTCACTCCCTCTGTTCTCATAGGTAATTCCAAAATTCACGGCCGAGTACACCTCTCTAATCGCCCCCTCAACTTCGTCGCGGACGGATATCCGCCTATTCGCCGTTGTCTACCGTCGATCGCTTGCTTCGCCTACCGCAAGTCTCACCTTCTCGTTCCGTTGGCCGTTTACCTTTCAGATTCTTCCAGCCGTACCGATGTCCGCAACAGGCGGGGGTGCGACGAGCCGGCTAACTTGCCTATTCGACTGCAACTGTCCAGACGCGTCTTCTTCGCCGAAGGGGGTGCAATCGACGACGGCTGTGGGAGACTCAGGGAGGAAGGTGTGGTTGGTGGATGCGACCACGTACTGGCTGACTGACGGTCGGCCGGTACGACTGTCGGGGTGCCCACCCAGCGCACACCCGGTATAGTCCGATATTGATTGGCGCGTCTGCGTGCCATGCGGGTGTGCGCGATGCGCCTGCGAGCCGATGCGTGCCTTTCACGCACGTGCGTGAATGAGTGGGTGCGTGCGTGCGTACGCGCGCTCGCTCGTTCACTCGCCACCCCGCAGCAGACTGGCCGACGGGCTTCCACCACGTCGTCCCCGTGGCCCCTTTTATTTTTAGAACGCCGTCCTGAAAAAGCGACCGCGCCCCGAAAGCGAGAGTTCGAAGGTCCTCTCGTTTTCTCGATCATACATGCCGCTTGGAACTCGCCCGGTCAAAGGCTACATTCCAAAAATTTCTTCTCAGTTTGCATTTGCTGTTCGTTCGCTCAGTGTATACCTAATTTAAGAAGATGTATACATGTAATGTTCGATTCTGTACGCCAATTTTGCGCCTATTATGTCATCTTCTACGCGCAACTTCGGGTTTCGTGGGAGAATCCATAAGCCTGAGGTCATTTATATACATGAAAGTTACATCCGCCGCCCGTTAATCAGATTTTCATGTAAATTGACGAATAGGACTGATATGATTGAATTTAAATAACAGGAGCTAGCAGATTTGCTATTTTAAATTCCACGTGTAACGTTTATCTCTCGGGCATTTTTATCGGAATAATGTCGCCATCTCAGTTTCCCAGTTTCACAATCAGTCATTCCGCAATAGCGATAACACATGAGACATTTATGTTATCGTCCAATTTTATCATCGCTATGTTTACACCAAATACTGCACAGATTCATTATCACGGAGAAGTTAGATTTAATTAAATGAGACCGATTTGGAGCATCAGGAAGTCTCATCGTGTACTATCAATCAATATCTAGCGTCTCGTTTAAAAGGTAGTTCCAACGTCGATTGTTGAATTTTATTTCCGCATTTTCACGTAGTTTCAAATGGTCGGGCACAGCAGATATAAGTTCGACTCACGATTATATATCATTCTTTGCAGCATTTCGTCCTCTTAAGAAATATTAAGGATACATCCGGAACTTCACTGAACCGCCACTAATAAGAAACCGCAAATGATGGGAGAAGAACGTGATCGGGAGATGAAGACACCAACGAGGTTGCGCTCGCGGATAACGAATCTCGCGCGACGAGATACCCCGGTAGAGTGAACGTCACGCAGTTCTGAGGTCGAAGATCGTAAAACGAAAACAACGGATTCTTCCATATCGGTTCAAGGAGGCCGGAGACGACCCGCGTCACAGCTAGTGGCGATCGGCAAAGAGACGTCGTCTCTCTTTACCCCTCGATCGTGAGCGGTTAATTGCTCCTTCAAGTAAATTATCGAATTCGTGGATGACAGTTTTCGGTGACACGTCTCATTGATCGAGTTATTTCGCAAGTGAAAAGTATCGTTGGCAAGAGAAGAGAAAGAAAGAGAGAAAAAGAAAGAGAGAGAGAGAGATCGGTTGCTCTTTAGGGATTTCCTGAGAGAAGAAATGCAGATCAAGGATAAACGCGCTATAGTGACTGGAGCAGCGAGTGATCTGGGCCTGGCATTTAGCAGAGAACTGCTGCGAAATGGTGCCTCGGTACGTTATTCAATAAACATCTCCTTGTATCATTCGTTTTATTCAATATCAATGTTAATAAGATTGTGTATTATTAAAAACTCTGAAAATCTTGTATTGTTCGCTGGTTCGCCTGCATTTAGAATATGGCTCTGTAATTTGGTCATCGTACATGATTAGTTACTTCTGTCTCTTTGAATATGTGCAAAATAAGTTTCTTAGACGTGTGATTTTTAGTTTGGGTAAACCTCTGCTGTACTTGTCATAAATGTGGACCGTAGGAGCTGCGTTTATTATCTCTATAAGAAAGAAGGACTTTCACTGATCTCTTATTCCTTTACAGGATTCTAAGGGACTTAATTTATATTAATATATTGAACTATGTTAGAATAATATATAATATATAATAGAATAAAATATTCCTGCTAGACCTACTAGAGTTTATTTGCCTTTTCACTAAAAAAGACATAAAATCCAATACGAGAAATTTAAGCTAAATAACAAAATAAATAACATTATCTGTGATCAGAAATATGTGTAATGATTTGGTTGATATATTCCACACGTCATTACTTAATTTTAAGCAATCATTATTAAGCATTTATTTGTATATTTCTAGCCTATTTTTTTCTTTCCTTTTTTGTTTTCTTTCATTTTAGCTATTATATTTCCATATTGATCAGATTCTTGTACAATTTTTATTCCTTTATGTAATTTTCTTTTAGATACATATGCTAATATTATATTAGAGGGAGTTATTTTTTTCTATTATGTAAATAAATAAATAAATAATAATAATAAAACAAATAAATAATTTAGCGCATATAATATAATTATGTATTTCCTTCTTGTTTTCGAGAATTAAATTAGCTATTATTTTGTTAAATAATAGCTAATATTTAATTAAATTAGCTATTATTTTCTTTGTAAAGGTTAATAAATTAGCTAAGCGCGATATGCATATCAAATTGAGTTAAAAATAGTCTTCACTGCTATTGATCAATAATAATAATAAAAATTAGAGACAAATTCACCGTGAAAATCTTGAAAAATATCACAGCGTCCATTATTGTGCACAGTTTAATATATGGAAACGATAAATACTTCCAGATGATAATTATGATCGATATCCGGCAGTCGTCTGGAGAAAACGCCGTGGAGATTCTGAACAGTGAATTTGGTCGCAAACGTGCTGTATTCTTACATTGCGACGTGACAAACAGCTCCAAAGTCGATGGTAAATATCCACAGAGTATTTATTTATATATAAAAAAATGAAAAGGCTAAATATGTGTGAAGGAAAAGTTAAAGCGAAATTAATCTAAATTAAACTGGAACTAAATTAAACCGCAATTACAACAGAAATAAACTTACCTTGGCAAGACGGAGGGCCGAGCTTCGCTGACTTTTTGCAATAAACTTTCTTGTGACGCCAGCTTGGTTGACTCTTCGATAAACGGCGACTGACTGATTTTCACCAACTAGAGACACGCAATTATTTATATGTTACCAGACCTGGCCATATTATTAGACGCACTTTGATTTTTTAATAGAACATAGGACTATATATAATAAAAGTTAGGAGAAAAGAAAAAGCTACTAATTTTACTTTATGTTCACATGATTAGAATAATTTTCGGTGTCAATCAGCGCTTTTACCTTTGCAACTTTCTGAAGTGTCAAATCACTTGTTTTATCCAAAATTTTTGTAAACAATATTAATATTTTTCACACAAAAATTTATTTTTCTGTCAGCGAGGAATTTGAAGCTTCAAATCACAAATAAATAAAAATAAAACTAAATTTAAATTGACACATATTCAAAACATATCTGTTCTCGTTATTATAACAATGCAACTAGCGCGGATTCATACTTATTCAAGATCATTGTAATAGCCAAGTGAAATGAGGTCATAAAAAATATCTTTTATAGAACAATGGTTCCTTAACATAATTCGATCGATAGATAAGCCGTATTATAAAGCTGGTTCTTGGAAGTCAATGAGTGACATTGTAAAAAATTAAGGTGCATCTTCAATAATATGGACAGAGATTGTATTTGCTAAGGAATATTAGAGTAGTTTATTTCACTTGGATTAGATAAATATTACTTGAACGGAGCACACTGAAAGGAAAAAAGTGTTACATTCAACAATATTTACTTAATTCAAATAAAATAATCCAAATAAAATAAATTACTTCAATACTTCTTAGCAAATATTTATTTGAACGTAGCAATTTTTTTCAGTGTACATATATACTACTTATTTATATTCTATTCTGCTAAAAAATATTCATAAACAATTGGTAATTGGTTTCAATTACAAGCTTAACGTATAACAGTTTTGTGTGTGTGTGTTTGTGTGGACACATTTAAAATCGAGAATAACGTTTATTGCAGCTGCGTTTAAAGAGGCGATCAGCATTCTTGGTGGGCTTGATATTTTAATAAACAATGCAGGCGTAGTTAACGAAACTGACTTCTCCAAAACCATCGACGTCAACGTGGTAAGTTCTGTCTGCAAATTTGGATTTTAATTTTCGAATAATATTTAAGTCAGTTTTGAAAAACAATCTTCGTTAAATTCGTCGGAGAATTTGTAAATTAAAATTCTTTCGAAATTTCCGAAAATTCTGTTTGTAATTATCCAATTATATCAATTTCTTGATGCATAACATTACGTTCGCGTATTATTTACTCTTAGGCAATATAAAAATTATGAATGAAAAAAACATTCATTAATACGAGGCTAAAATGCGACTGTGTTGAAAATTAAATTTGTGGTAAGATACACTTAAATAAAACGAAAAAAAAAACAATATATTAATGTTCTCTTTTCTTCTGCAGACGGCTGTAATTCGCGGAACTCTGCTGGGAATTCAACAAATGCGAAAGGATTCCGGAGGAAAGGGCGGTGTCATCGTAAATGTTTCGTCTATCGCCGGACTACGAGCGCTATCTGAGCTCCCGGTGTACTCCGCTACGAAGCACGCCGTAGTTAGCTTCAGTCGTTCTTTTGCAGTAAATGTCCAAGTCTTAAAAGTATATTTAGAAACACAAATAATAGCTGTTAAAAATTCAAATAAAACTAAGTCGATATTTCTAAGCTTGTTCTAAAAATACGACTATATATATATGAGTAAAATAATAATGATATAAAAATATATAAAATTCCTGAAGATCATTGCACGTACATACAATTTGTGAGTGTAATAAAATTTGAATAATTTAACAGCTATCATTATCTCGGTAACGTTTTTTTTGCTAAATTGCAACCATCGTTTTGTCAAGATATCGCGCGAATTCTCCCGGCATTCATTGTCCTGAATAATTTGTTATTTCTTTGACCCAGCAACCCTATCACTACGGAAGGACCAATGTCAAAGTAATCGTGCTGTGTCCCGGTTTGACAGGCACACTGGAAGATCTGCCCCAAGACATTTCAGACAGCGAAATTCTGCAGAATTATCGACCGCAGAGGTGAGTCAGTCGATGTTTCGCGTGTCTGTCGAAGTTCGCATGGAAATGCAAAAGCAAAATCTGTCGTTAGGGTGGAGAGCGTTGCTCATGGACTGGTGTATGTGATTCGGTGCGCGCAGAACGGTAGTGTGTGGATCAGCGAGGACGGGAAGCCGGTTTACGAGGTGCAGCTTCCCGACACGTTGCCGCAGAAGAAAAGCGATACACTCGACGCGGGAGAATCAGCCGTGGACCCGAAGCCGGCTGAAAGTTAAATGTTCGTGAAATTGAAGCGCGTGTTAGCCAATTATGTAATAATTAATATTAATTAGACGGATTGTGTTCGTATTTCATATAATAAATTTGTCTGTAACTACAGACAAATATATATAGAAAACGTAAACACAGAAAAATATATACTGCATTCGAGTAAACATTACTTGTTTCATGTAATTCAGAAGTTTATACATCTGCAAGTATATCTTAAGTTCAACCCCAAATTGATTCAAAATATATTCTGAATCCTAATATATTTAGCACTTCAATCAAGAATATTAAATTAAAACACTTAAACTAAAACTTTGGTCTATTTATTCAAATTGACTAAATTAAATTTTTCTCCGATCAAGTTTGTAATATCCCGGGAAATTGTGATATCCATAGGGAAAAAATTTCCCATATATAATTGGATATAATTATATATAAGATGCCACACATAAAATATGTCTATATATAAAAATATATAATTATATATAAAGTGATGATATGGAGTTATATATAATTATATATAAATATAATGAATTATGTATGATTATATATAAGGACATATATTCATATACAATTATATATAATTATATATAACCATATATAATTATATATGGACACATTTTACATATAATTACATATAATTATATACAAGAAATTTTTTCCCGGGATATTCTTGAAAAGAGAATAAATTCTTCTTTTGAATACATGATAATGAACTTTTTTAATATTTGTAACAAGTATATTTTAATACTATTATATCAAGAAAATATTCTTTATTCAAGATAACTATAACTTTTAAAAGAAAAAAAAATAAACCGAGTAATTGCTTTTCTTTGCAGTACGATTAATATTTTTCTTTGTGTAGGTAAGTTTCGTTACATGCATTTATCATCAACTGGTTAAGACTATCACATGGGGAATTTAAAGGTTTTATGTTTATAAACGTTATATATGTGTTTCATTTCTTAAACTTTGTAGAATTCTAAACGCGATGCAGAGCTTATAATATATAACGACTTTGCCGAAAAATAATTTACGAAATTATTTCCAAGGTAAATCGCACAAAAACGTGCGCTAACTTCCATCGACGAAAACTTCGATCGAGCAAATCCGCGTTGCGTACAAAGTTTGACGTACAAAGTTTACAAATGGAAACCGCCCGATCTCGCAGTTTTTGTCACATTTGCGTCACTGGATAAAAGGAGATATATTGTTTCGCTGCGATGACAATATAGTAAATAATACTCTACAGAGAGATAGAAAGAGAGAGACCGGTCATCCAAGCAATTTGCCGAGCAAAACAGCAAAAATGTAACGTAATTTCACGCAGACGCGCGTATCTGTAATGCAAAAATAATTTACGAAATAAATTCCCAGGTAAATCACGCACGAACATGCGCTAATTTCTACCTGAAAATCTCGATCGAGCAAATCCGCATCGCGCGACGCGCCAAGTTTGCAACCGCCCGATCTGCATCACGGATCGCAATTTTTGTCGCATTTGTATCACAGAATAAAAAGAGATATCTTGCTGCGTCGACAACATAGTAAATAATACGCCACAGATAGAAAAAGAGAGACTGGTCATCCAAACAATCTGCCGAGCAGAACGACAGAAATGGAACGTAATCTCACGCAGACGCACGTATCTGTGAAGCGATGCAATGGTGTAGCGGGCAGACACACACGGAAAGAGAGAGAGAGAGAGACGAGGCGTCACGCACTTAAGAAGCGAAGCGCAACGCGATAGTGCAAAAATTACGCGAGATAATTACTTTCGTCTGGATTCGGAGTAAAGTTCGATCGGAACCGACGTGCTCCGGTTATTGGTATCGGCTGACGGCGCGCGACGACACCACTTTCGCCCCATGATTTATGCGCTCATCGCCAGCGCGACGCGTACCGGACGTTAAGTGGACTTTTTCCATCGATAAGACGCCGGCGAGCACGAGCTGTGCGCACGTCGAGCTCTTATCGCCGTTTTGTGCCACACGACCGCTATTTCTGTAGCCGACCGACCGCCATGAGCGGAGGCGATAGTGCGCTGCAATTTGCAAGCGTTGCAATTTGCGAGCATCGCGCGAATCAGGGATCTCTGCCGCGACGATCATCGCAGCCATTCTCTCCTTGATTTTTTCACTGTCGGTTTGCTAAAGTTCGACAGGGACGTCCCGACTGATCGTCACAGAATGAATTCGCTTGATCGAATCCCACGAAATCCCCGTCACGAATGCGCGGATGGATATTAAAAATAAATGGAAAAAGTCTCGCGCGTAACGAGCAGATCAATAAGCCGAGAGGTCGGCAACATTTGATTCGGGCTGACTGCGTCGATAATATACAATTGATAACGTTTTATTGCGTTGCTTCTTCTCGGTGCATGCGACTGTTGCATCCGGATTCGACAACGAAAGTTCGATCAAGACGATCGCGGATGACCGTCGCGTGTCGAATACTCGGAACATGGTTCGTGCAAGATTGACCTCTGCAAGCGTCATCGTCGTTCCACGAACCGTGTGTTACGACGCTCTACGTCAAGTAACGAAAAGTCATTTCTTACCGGAGCCCGCGTTCAATTCGCCAGAGTTATCCTAAGACTCGCGAGTGCGTCATATTGAGAGAGAAAAGTGATTAATATTACTGAAATTATAGTTTTTTCCCACACTATATCTTCTCATTGTTCCAACGAGGAAGTAGCAGTAACACACTGGAAAAAGTACTTAACAATTTATTTGTGGGATATAAGATTTATTTCACGGAAAAATTGATTTCATAGCAATAAGGTGAAATCAATTTTATGTCCTAAAAATAAATGTTTAAGTACTTCTTCTCAAAACAATATACAGAGTGTTGCATCGACATATTGAGCAGTATGCCGAATTACCGTTGCAAAAGTACGTATGAGAGAGTGAGAGCGCACCGTGCGAACTCGGGTCGATTGCACGCGCGCTCTCACTCCCTCATTACATACATATACATACTACATCACACTTACTACAAAAATGATTCCCCTGACTACAATTCTTTCGCTATGCGATTATAAATACTAAACGCCTTTTTCTCATGTGCATGGTTCGCGTTAGATCTGTTTTTTTCAGTCGCGTCTCTTCCATGCAATTTCTTCTCTCTCTCTCTCTCTCCCTCTCTCTCTCTCTTCCTTCCCTCCCTCCCTCCCTCCCACCCTCTTTTTCTCTCTACGCTAAATTAAAAATTGATCTTTCACGGGGAGGAAGAGCGGAGAGATTATGAAGCGAAAGCACAACGGGGGAGCGTGGGAATTTATTATGATGCACCGAAAGGAAATATTAATCCAGAAGTGATATAAGGTAGTCTGAAAAAACTGTAGCATGATATAAGAAGGATATTTATAACAGCAAGAATATTTTTTCTAGTTGCATCCCGCGGTGCGAATAATATACAATCCACCTGGCAGCCCAGCTCCGAGCCCGGAGTGTCGTCGTAAATTTTTATTAACAGAATGCGTGGCTCGCCTTGAGTAAGATCAAATATGTAAAAGCGGACCTTTCGTGGGGAAGGCCTGGCTCTGGATGGAAATATTAAACTCTACACGGTGGTCTTTGATCTCGCTCCCCGCGCTCCCTGTCGCTCTCTCCGTGTTATTATTTGTTGCGCTCTGCAGAGAAAACGCGCTGCAAACTGTGCGGCAGCGGCGGCGCACGCGATAGAGCGAACGCGCAACATTGTCGAGAAACGGGTTATTACCTAGCGTAGTGATGTACCGTCTGGATCACGACCTACCCGCGATATCGATACCGCCGCACCGCAATTATAATACCGCGAGGAGAAGGGAAAAGTGCGCAGCCGCCTCGAGAAATCTCGGCCGGCTCGTGTTCAATAGGTTTAATATCAGGAGACGGGCTGACGGCGCTACACGATTAATTGGTCCTCGCGGAAGAGGTTAATTAGGGGAAAACGCTATCGGGAACTGCCCGATGAGAGGAGAAGTAGGCTTGTCTAGCGAGAGGGAAGATAAGTGAGACAATGACAGGCCGGAGGAACGCGACGGATGCGTCGAAAAGTCGTGAAAAATCGCGATTGAAAACAACATCTAAGTAAATCATTCATTTCGATACACATAGGAGTGATATTTCCTCATATCGGGAAGCTTGCTGAAGTCAACCCCGAGATCCGTTGGCGGTCGATCGAAAATTTGAGGGTACGCAATCGGCTGATTAATGGCTACTACACTTTTCCACGATGAGTCTCGTAACTCGCATCTCGCGTTCGATAGAAGAATTTGTTTCCCTTAATTCTTAGAAGATACATTTTCCTATTGCATATACAGAATGCGATGCAAAATTCATCGGGGAAAAGTGTTGCGACCTTTAATCCGCCGACTGCACGTGTACATGAATGATGGTAAAACTTTCGAATTATTAATAAAACTTTATCCCAATGAGAAATAAAATATCGACGTCGATCCGATGTAATTTTGATTGTTTCGACGTCGACTTGACGTCAGTTTGACGTCGATTCGATGTTCATTTCTCGATGAGATACATTTAAATCCTAAGAGAAACAGGATTGTCTCTCATGTTTCCAATTATAAAAACCTCAGAGAATTTGCAAACATTTCAAAATCTGAAACCTTCTGTGTGAATTCAACAATATCTTTTATTCTATTTTCTATCTAAGGTAATAAATCCTGGGCCACAACCTTACTCTAGAACGTAATCAGTAAACAAATTGACTAATCTCAGTTATTTATTCAAAGAATAATAGATCATGGTTAGTCGATTTGCTTAATCCTTACGCCTTAAAGCCATATTATAACCCAGGGCTAAAGGGCCGTCTACAATGAAAGTAGTAACTGTCGGAGTAGAGAGCGAAAACGTTTTTTCAGTGGAATAAAACGTAACACCAGGAGTAAGCGAAATAGATTATTCTCATTTCCATAGAGAATAAGAAATAGGAATGATCCATTTCGTTTATTCTCGATTTATTTACGCTCTATTCTATCTGAAAAACTCTTTTACTTCTTATTTCAACAATCTTATTGCTTTCATTGTGAACAACGTTTTCAGACGTCCTTTAGACATATGTATTGCTTCGAAACTTTCAGAGTCGCCAATGATTTCAAATTTCTAAGTGGAGAGGAAAGAAAAGCTGAAAGAAATTTTCTCAGTAGTAGAGAGCTTTTTCTATCTACCAATCTGTGCGTGTGCGGTCTCTCGTTCAGAGTCCATCCTTCGCCCCTTGAATCATCCCCGCCACCGCAGAAACCGAAGTCGCAGTATCACGAAATCCCGCGCATCGATATTACCGCGTATAAATACCATTCGAAACTCAGTCTTGGAACTCAGTTGAATTGAACGTGCTAGTGGCGCGAGTTTTTCTTGACGTGTTCTTTCTTCGGTATCATCGCAAGAGGACTGAAACGGCCCGGAAAGATTGGTTGCGCCTATCTCTTGAAAATTCATAGCGGCTTCATCCATGGAGGGTAAAATAGGTGAGTCTCTTCATCACGCGCTTCGGCGAAGTGCCTCACGTTATGTAAAATGTAACGTGACAATTCAAAAGGTATTTTCCAGATCTTGCAATTTTTCAGATTACTTCCGACGAAGGAAGAAATATTATTAATAACTGATCATCTCTCAGGCAATACAATGTTCAAAATCAGGACACAAGACGTCTTAAAAAAATCTTAAAGGCGTTTGGACGTGAAATGTCAAAAACATTTTAAAGATGTCTTAAAAACGTCTTATGTTTTGAACATTGTACTGTCTGGACTGTGACGCGCGAGAAACCGACGCGAGTGCGTCTTCTTGAAGTTACAGAAAGCATGTTAAAAGAACGGGAGCGTGTCCGGGGAATATGCTTATTAATGTGAATTTTAAACTACTTCAATTTTTTCACGAGATACGAGTTATCTAGACAAGGTTGACCGTAACGCAGAGATCGATGGGACGTTCGCTCGTTAAATATCACACGATAAGTCGTTTTATACACGAGATAGATAAACTCGCCTCAGATAGACGTATATTTACACAGGTCTCCGTAAAAGTGACCAGAGGCACACGCGCGATATAATTTCGAATAATAGCGTAATTCAACATTGACATAATATATTAACGTAATGCACAATTAACTGGACATATCGCCAGTTTCTTCGACACGTTAACATTTAAACTGTCACCTATATATAGATGATGGTTTTATAATAACTGAAATAAGAATAATTTTATGAATTATTTATAGAAATGTTGAATGTGAAAATAATATATCATGTTTGTATAATATATATATAATATATATTAATAAATATTTGTAATATTAATATGTATACTAATATATACTAATAAAATAGTAATAAAAAAACAAGATTAACATTATATATTTATTATAATATGATCAAACTTGCGTCTTTCTGATGTAAATTTTAACAGAAAATAAAAAATACAATTTAAATAGAAAATATTTTATAATTCATCCATTTACAAGTGTTAAAAGTTTACAAATGTGTGGTAACACAATTTTTTGGAACATTTTTTATTAAAAATAGAAAATAAGAAAAAAAACATAAGGATCATATAAATTGTTCAAATTGAGCCTCCTTCGTCATTAACATATACGTACACAATACACATTTTCTATATTTTAATTTATATTTTAAAAAATGCGCCTTAAATTTATACAGTATGTCGTGTAATACCCTGTATATTTTTTCGTGATATTTTAGAAAACAATTCACACATAATTGTGGTTGTTATCAAATCAGTATATTAAAGATATTTACATTAAATAACATATAAGATATAGAAACGTATGGAAGGATAGAAGTAGATAGATACCATCATCCTTTCATTAGGCACATAATTTATTTTGTATTCTAAATCTGTATATACGGTTATACGCGTTGCAACTTTGAACCCCATGGGTTTTACGCTCAAAACTAGCTGAGCAACAAGTGTTAAGGAAGTTATAAAGCTTAATGATGTATTTTCAGTGGTGTATCAAGGGAACCACACATAAATTTAGTATTTATCGAAAAAAATCATTCTTCTATACACTTTTTTTCTATTCTTTCTTATTCATTTATTTTGCCACCTAAAAACTAAATAATAAATGTTAATTTGAAACGAAGTTGAGGTAGACATATGTATATATACATAAGATTACAAATACGCAAATTATCTTTTTATTTTTCTTATTAATGCTATATTTATACATCAGTTCATCTAATAAAGATGCACAAATAATAGAAAAAGGTATATAAGTGTTTAAATATATGCATGTGTGTGTATGTGTGTGTGTTTCGAGTGTTACTATAAGTTATGAACTTTACACCACTGGATTTTAAAAACAAAATAATCAGTAATTCTGAAATTTATATATAATGTCGTGTCTATATATTAAATGTCTATATATTAGTCTTTAATATCATAATAGTTTTTCATCAAAATTTTATTTTAATTTCTATTTTTAATTTAGAAGATCTTAAAAATAGAAATTAAAAATATTACGCTAGTCTCAAGAAGCACATATAAAAAGTATTTTTTTGCAGATATCTTCTCCAGCAGCACCAGTTAGTTGGCTAACCGTTACCCAATATTTGATCGACGTTGGACAACGATTAGCTAACCAATTTGTGCTTCTCGGATCAGCTTTCGAACGACCCATCTTTTTCTAATTACACGAGCAGATAGATATTTCAACATACATAATGCTAGTTTCTTCGAATTCTTATTAAACTCATTACGACTTACAGTCTTCTTGAAGTAAATCCCTTTACCTCGATTCATCGGGTGAATTTCATATTGCAGAACCAGGCATGAGAGCGTTCCGCCGTCGTTCCTCGGCATCGGAAAGAGCGAAGGAGATCGAGGCGATCAATTGCATTGTTTCCGGGAAGAATGTTCTCATTACCGGGGGTGCGGCAGGATTGGGTTACGCTTTCCTTAATCACTTTTTAAAACACATAGCAAACGTAAGTCGAATAACAACAATATACAACACACGCAGCACTAAAAGAAACTTAAACTCACTGTGAACGAAAAGGAGAAACTTAAATTCCTTCTCGGTCGCGCTTTCTGCTCAAAAGTATCTGCTCGAAAGTATAATCTGCGGATTTCTTGTAGAAAATAGTTATACTAGATATTGACGTTGAAGCTGGCAAACGGATCGCGCTTGGTATCGAGAAATCTTACGGCGAGAAGAAAGTGCACTTTATACACGCGGACGTGTCGAATCACAAACAGATGTCCGGTAAGTTGCAAAGTGAAATTCTGACGTCGCGTACACGGAGAAAAATAATTTACCGACATAGCAAATTTTATGCTGTCGCAGCAAAATCTGTCAGTTGTTATGTGAACGACAAAACAATTCGTTAAGAATATCAATTACCATTCGCTGGATATATTTCGCTGAATGTACGAACTATTTTGCTGTAAAAACAAATTGGAAAATGTAAGAAAACACTATCTTGTTCTAACAGTAAATTAACGTGTCCAAAGATGAATTCACTCAGCAAAATTTTTCTATCCTGGTAACAAAATTATCTCTGCTTTAATTACGAATAATTCACTAATTTGGTCGTACTAACTAAATTTTATCGCTCTCGTAACTAATACGCAGTAGCAACGATGATTTCGTTGCAACAGCTAAATTATTCTTTTCCGTGTACAAACGTGTTTATTTATCGGATGGTCGCTATGTTATTTCGCATCTGTACGTTGTCAATTTATAGAGGCTTTCGAGGAAGCGTCGTCGTTATTAGGGAACATTGACATCGTGGTAAATAACGCTGGCATTTTGGACGAGAGAAGATGGGAAAAGGAAATCGCGGTGAACATCGTAAGTGTGTCTCGTTAATTAATATAACAAGTTCTTAATAATACATATCGATTCTTCAGTAATTTCCTTCTCCTCCGAAAAAAAACTTGTTTAAACAGCAAAAAGATTCGATTGGGCAGCAAAAAGATTCGTTAAGAATATTAATTGCTGTTTGTTGGATATATAGACAGTAAAATAATTTGGTTGTGCCGACTAAATTTTATCGCTGTCGCAACGACGTTTTGCTATAACAACAAAATTATTTTCTCCGTATAACAAATTTTTTGGTTGTCCCCGTAGTAGCTAACAATTTGCTGTGCCAGCAAAATATTTTTCTCCGTGCAGAAATACTGAACATAGTACTAGGTTGGTGCAAATGAAATGTCCGTTTTCAGTGTTTTGAATTTCCAACCCCTATAGATTACTTTTCTTTTATACAGAGGACGGTGTATATCTACTGTGTGAAAGGTACATGATCCACATGTGATTTAGCGCACATAACTTTATTTCTATATTGTACTGTTAGTCATAGAAGCTTGCATTAACGCTGTGATGGAAAATAGAGAAATTCGTATAATTTACTTATACGAGTTCAAACTTAGTCATACTGCAGCCGATGCAACGCGTAACATTCATACTGCATTTGGTGAAGATACTGTAAGTGAAAGAACGACAAAACGTTGATTTGAAAAATTTCGTTCTGGAGACACAAACCTCGACAATTTATCTCGCGGACACGCACCTTCCGTCATTGATGACGTTGTTTTGAAGGAGATGGTTGAAGCAGATCCAAGATTAACAATCTGAAAGATTGTTAAAAGATTCGAAGTTGATCATTCAACTGCCGTCCGATATTTAAACAAGTTGGGAAAAGTGAAAAAGTTGGATAAATGGGTCCCCCATGAAATCATAGAGAGAGACAAATTGAGACGTTTGGAGATCTGCATTTCTTTGCGGTTGCGACAGAATACAGATGAAATTTTACACAGGATTGTGACTTGTGATGAAAAATGGATTTTGTCCGACAACCACCGACGTTCTGCGCAGTGGTTAGATGCGAATGAGGCTCCAAAATACATTCCAAAATCGAATCTTCACCCCAAGAAAATGATGATGTCTGTATGGTGGTCTAGCAAAGGTATCGTTCATTATTCATTTACCAAACAAGGTGAGGTTATAAATTCTGATAAGTACTGTCAGGAAATTGCCACCATGCACCAAAAATTGTGCGCTCCATAGCCAGCATTGGTTAACAGACATGGTATGTTGCTGTTGCACGATAACGCTAAATCACACATTGCAAAACAAACCGTTCAAAAACTCGCCGAGTGAACATTGAAGTTCTCCTTCACCCTCTCTATTCTCTAGACATCTCACCAACAGATTACACATCTTTTCAAGCATCTGGATGCATTTTTGGCAAGCAAAAATTTCAATGAAGAAAGAAGCGTGAAGAATGCATTTAAAGAGTTTATCGATTCACGCTCTCTAGATTTTTTTAGAAAGTGCATTGATGCATTTGGATCACGTTGGCAGAAGTGTATTGAAGTAGGTAGAAGCTATTTCGATGAGTTATGTAAGTTTTAAATTTGAAAAATACAAGTTTCAACTTTATATTTATAAACGGCCATTTCATTTGCACCAACTTAATATATAAATATTTAATGTATACTTTGTGATGCTATTGAAACATCATAATCAACATATCAAAAATGTCCAAAATATATCATAGGGATATCCTAAAGATATCGCGATATCTGGTGTAATTTGAATATTTTTGCTGTATGGGAACATATTTAAAATATATTTTAAGAAATATTCATTTATTATGCCATAATTTTAGTTAAAATATTGACTCCTTATCATAACAATAATTCCGAATTAATAACGCTCTCTTTCGGGCAAAATAAGCAGCAATATTCATGGCATCTTTGAATATCGCCGCAATTTTCATGACATCGGGCTTCTTTTATATACTGACCAAATTCTTATTGTATGAGGACGCATCTTCACGTAATTACTAATCACGATGCAGATATACCAAGATATATCTATCTAGTATATATTTTCGAACAATATGTATTAAGAGACGTCGTTACGACTTCTTAGGACGTCTCAATGCTATCTGGGATTTCGTGTTCTTTAGCGGCTCTTATCGCAAGGTAGTTTGATTGCGTAAATAAATCGCACTCGTAAGAGAAATACACGAAGATCGAGTTACGAAATAAGAAATTATTTGTGAGAGATACGACAAATCTGTATAAAATAATTTCGAATCTGCCGAGGTGTTGGTTACGTAACGTTTGCTTCGTCGCAGGGTGGTATGATCAACACTGCGATGCTGGCTATGAAATATATGAGCAGAAACACGGGCGGCCACGGCGGTATTCTAGTGAATGTGAGCCAACATGTGGATATACGGAACACGGCTCAGCTTCCTGTTTACACAGCCACGAAGCACGCCGTCATCGGCTTATCCCAATCTCTTTCGGTAAGCGAAAGTATATACATAAACGATCATGAGAGATTAGACTTGAACCACTTAAACAACTACCGAGTATGATAGCGAATAGTTTTTAGTATTTCAATCGTGATGTACAGAAAAAATGCTAGATTCGAATATATAATTACTCTAATACTCTTTTTAGCAAATTTTTACTTGGATCAAGTAAATATTTTACTTAAATAATTTATTCGAAAAATATTTGACTTTCGGCTCAGGTAAATATTATACTTGATTCAAGTAAAAGTTTGCTAAAAAAGAAAGGAGTATTGGAGTAATTATTTACTTGAATCTAGCATTTTTTTTTGCATAGACAAACTTAAAAATCACGAGATATTGGAACTTTTAACTCTCGTTGCCCGGTTCTTCATTACGTTTATTCGCCGACAGGACCCTAATCACTACGAGAAGACCGGTGTCACTGTGATAACTCTATGTCCCGGACTGACAGAAACCGCTCTGACGGTAGACAGCCCTAATAAGCTACTCTCCAGAGTCATGAAGGCGGATTTCGTCAAGAACCTCGAACAGTTCGCGATACAAACGTGAGTCGCTCTTGAGATATTTAACTGGATTTTCTTGCGGTCTTTTAAAGTGTAAAACATAAATATCTTCTTCCCTCTTTAACTAAATAATAATAAATCAATAAATAATTAAATAAACTATTTGCATTTCTCACTACTTATAGCTTTTTGCAAGTAGCGATAAATGCAAAACATCTTAATCAGAAATCTACATCTACATCATTTTAACAAGTATTTTTCTATGTTAAAAAATAATACCGATTTCTACGAAAGATATACTTGCAATTTATTTCTCTCTCTTTCAAAGACACGTAGCCTTTCACGAGGTTGTAAGCACTACCGTTCGTTTAACGTGTAATGTTATATTTCACTCGGCGCGATATACTACGTGTGATCACTAAATGAAATAAATTTCTCATCGCTTTGTACATTATGTGAACGACGTTCGCTTTTACAGGCCTTACATAGTCGCGCAAGGACTAATGACGATCTTGAGAATCGGCGAGACCGGCAGTATTTGGGTTATCGAGAGCGGCAAGGCGCCGTACGAAGTTTACGTGCCGAATCCGTGCACGCTGCGTCGTTACTACAAGAACAACTTGGCGCACGTCGACGCTAAGGTCACGAGAGGTCACACGATAAGGGAAGTCTGCGAGACCACGAGAGCGAGCCTGATGAGTTGCGCCTGACCGCACTCCGCTGATAATTAGCGAGTGCCAGACCGTGATAGTTCGGTCCAATTAGCGCCGAAAATTTCCTTGCGCAATTCGCGCCGCGAACGGAGATAATCCCGCAGTCGTGCCGCGTGGAAGAATTTCACGCGCGCGATCTAACGCATTGCATAATGTCGTCGCCCTGTTGAAAATGGATTCCCAGATGGATTCCCATGGAAATCCGTGGGAACTCCGTGTGAATTCATGTAGGATAATAAAGGTCCATGCAAGAATCCACACGGATTCCTTCCTAAGCCCTGGGTTTTGGTGCAAATCTTCAGGAGCAATCATAGGACTCCATATAGTTCCTGTGTGGATTTTCCAGCTGGTTCTTTCCAACGGGGTAGCACCTAACAAAACGGTTGTTTCTCTTAAGTACATATAAGCGATAAGACACGTTTCTGAACATATCACGAAAATATTTAATTGCCAAGCGAAAGTACACCTGGCAGCAATAATCCACAAAACGATACATAATTAATTGTAAGCGTAAGAGGGAATCGCAGTCGAAGCGGAGTGTCTCGCGTGCGAGGTGTTATAAATTAAAGTTACATAACATCTCCTCCCGCGTTATTTTTCACGTCTCCTCCGAGTCGATTACTTCGTATTAACTCTAGGACTGTACTAGGGATATTTGCAGCTTTTCTTTTGTATCTTTTTACATGCGCGCTTTCACCGGGAAAAATCTTGATATTTCCGTTGTGTAATTTCTTTAAACGCACGAATGTTTCAACGTTCGTTCCCCCTCGATAAATGTATAATATCAAGTTTTAGGCAAAAGTCAATCTGTGATCAAGACTTCACGCACAATAAACATATTGGAAAAAAAATGATAAGACTTATATTGGAATGAAACCTGGTAATTAGACCTTGAAACTACGCTGAGATCCAAGTGATTCTCGGACGAATATTTTAATTAGAGTCAACTTGTGTACCCAGACAGCAAATATTTAAAAAAACATAGATATTAAATATTTAGTAAATATTCAACGTCCGAGAAAGTAAGGTATGAGAAAGATTATAATAAATATTGTTTAATGTTTAATTCTCACGCCTGACTTTCTCGGACATTTGAATATTTATAAAATATTTAATATTTATATTCTTTTAATATTTTATAAATATTGTGTGCTGCCTGGGTGCCATAAAATTTGCTGGAAAAGTGTACGCAACATAAGGGAAGACTCAAGAGCTTCCGTCGGGTTTAAATTGTACGAATTAACACTGACACTTATCGTTCAATAAATCATTTCATATCACTTCATGTGTTTTGATCAGACAAAACACACGCACTGGATATAGCGCGTAGAGTTTTTTTGCAAATGACCTAATCTCGCGCAACGTGTACAATATGCAGCACATTTCTGAAAATATTTCGATATCATCGGGTACACGATAGCCTTGTAACGTGCGTTAATCGAGATCTATTGAAGACGTTACGCAATTCTATCGACACTCGGTAATGTTTCTTTTCCCGGAAATCGTACGACACGCATCTCTCGTATCTCCGATTGCATTGTGTTTGTGTATGTTCGTATGTGTGTGCGCGTGCGTTTCCAATTCAAAAATCGTCACATCTAACACTCGAATGTATGTACAAACATGAATTGTTCTTTTATATCAGAATCATCGTTATTGTAGGAAATATAGGAAGGGCGAGACGTTAATGAGGATTAAATATGAGAGACATCGGAGCGATTTTAAGCTACAAAATTTAATCGTGAATCTGCAGTAACATTCTCTTGATATTTCAACTTCATCGTCGAGAAACTAGAGAGTTCCTTTGTCACGTTTCGAGCGGCCCGAGCGGAAAGAAACGTGTAGGAGATTGGAAATGACACGACGCGTTATTTCATCATTTCAGTATTATTCAGCATCGGGGATCATAATATCCGCTGTACAAAACAAAAATTCATTCTCGGAAAATTGCGTACATTATTTATTCTTCGCATGCTTTATGCATGAAACTTAAAAGTTAAATTTCCTCATCACCATATTTCTCTCTTTATTCGCTTACACTGCTTTATTCCTATGATTCTCCTTACTTTACTCTGTGTTTCCTTTAATAGCCTATGGAGGATTTGCTTATCAGTTATGTAAATCTCGAGTTATGTGTGTCATGTATAAGTGTATGTGTGTACGTATGTATGTATACAATATCTGTATGAGTTGGACTCCGTACGAGCCATAGAAAAATAATAGTCGCAAATAATATTCTTATTCTGTTTCTTCCGCGTCTTAATCTTTAAGGACATCATCATCATGCTTTAGTCGTATTCGCATCGCCATTTAACACAATTTATGCACAGCGTCGTCGTGTATCAAGGATTCTTCGAGAGCGTGAATAATTAAACGAGAAATATTTGTATCAACGAGAAAGAAAATGCACGTGTTTTCTTTGTTTTACGTTTCATATCTTGTTCAACGAACACTTGAGGGATTTCTTTTTTTTTCACTTCAGCTTACTTACAAATATTTACTTGACTCATAAACAAACTCAGTTTATTGTTCACTTACACACAGAACAGTACTTTTGTTTCCAGATCGAAATAATTGAGTAAATGTTGATAGGGAAAATGGATTAATTACAATTAAATATAATTTCAATAAGAATATGCTCGTTGTAATTGTTAACTTTATATAAGCACAACGTTTCCATTGAATGTGAATGTCGCAATTTCCTTTCGAACAAAGAATGCATGTTATAGCAGCGAGTTACTGGAATTAGTGGAAAAGAAAAAAAATGAACCGACAAAACAGTCGTCTAAATTGCAATTATATATATATATATGATCATTCTATGTCTTTCTAATAATATAAATTTAACAGGCATTAATTAAATAGTAAATATAATACGCTATTGTTCCATCCTGTTCTCATTAGTCGATGCGCAGCACGTTCGATACATTCAAAGGCAGTCGAGGAATCCTTAAGTGTGCGGAACACGATGACAATTATGTAACATAATTTAGAACTTAGCTACTTACAACAATAAGACCGACGCTCACATTTTTCATAATCCTACAATACAGATCTTGCAAAGAAAGTATAAGCGGACCGTAAGATTTTAATTCAATCAAATTCAATAATACAAAAATTACTATATTCCCTCGATTGTTTCCCCCGATTTTATTTATCCGCCCTAATAAAATCATGTGTTTTACATTAACTTTACGCCGAGGACGCGAAAACATCGTCTGCGTATATTCGAAAAAAAAAGAAAAAGAAACCAAAAGAAAATGAAGTACGGCACTTCGCCGGATTTTTTTTTCTTGTAACGTATCTCAAAATATCCTATATTCTCGACAAATGCAAATAGATACACAATCGATTTCTTACATACTTTGACGAGAAAGTACTTTTATGCACGTCTATGCCATCACTTCCGATACAACGGATACAAACCAACTATTCCATAACGACCAGTATAATCAAGTCACCAACATCGTAAAGCCACTCCATAATTGCTTATAGTCATGTTTTGAGAAAAACCGTACTGAAGAATGATCACGATAGAATTTAGCGTTCCTCGACTTAACCACAGACATCAGCCATACATGATCATTAATCATCGATTCAAGGTGGCTGCGGGGATTATCCTGGAATCTTCCACTAACCCATATAAATAAGTGTACCAGTGTAAAAAACAGAGGAAAAATTATTATCCGTCTGTAATCGACCCCGCCTTCCCGACGAAAATCGTCTCACAACGCAAATTCACCATGATCATTGTCGACTAAGCGGTAAGAAAAGATTTGTCTCTAAAAGTACCTTCTTCGATCATTCAGCCGCAAAATATCGATGCAAAGAGTCATATGCGCCAACACGTACAGCGTTCACATGTGCGATTCTCGTCACTTAAACGCCACATGTAACTGATTCGACAATTGCAAACGCGCTCCGTTCTAAAATAATCTACATTAAATCTGATTTCCGTATTTACCTCCGTTATGCGGTTGCCGAATTCGAACCCAAATCAGTCCATAACGGTGGAGCACATATCAGTAAAAATCTTAATATATAGAATACTTATACGTAGCAGCACATCGCATATTTTTTCCGGCATGCTTTATTATACCTACGCCGTACCAGTGACAAATTAATTTTTTTTCCTCTCTCTCTCTCTCTCTCTCTCTCCCTCTCTCTCTCTCTCTCTCTCTCGCTTTTCTTTTTTTAGATTACATTCGGTTGCGATTGAGAAGTAGACTGTTCGTTGGTCACACGATTTTGACTCCCCGTGTTATTTTGTAATTGGTTACCAGGTTTGCGATTACCGCCCCTGGTACCTCGATAGCCACCGCGGAAGCCGGCATTGCCGCCACCACCGCCGCCACCTCTGTACATGCCTCCCATTCCACGATTGTAATAACCACGTCCGCGGAACCCGCCACGTCTTGTGGAAGCCACACCAAAAGTTTCCGAATTCAACTTTCGCTCTGTTCTCCAATCCGTACGTTGGAATCGCCTGGAAAATTTTCAGCATATGTGAAATATTTCGAAATACGAATCATGAGACTACTGATGAAATGTATCAAGTACTCTAACGTACTTTTGAAAAAAAAAAAAAAAAAAAANATGAGCAGTATGGAAAAAAATGTTATCTCTACTCAAGTTGATTATCATATGTATTTGAACTCAAACAAGACAACTACTTTTATTACTTTCATTACTTAAACTATATCGTCCCTTTAAAAAAATATAATGTTTTCTATTATATTCATGAATACTTTCAAGTTCTCTTTTAAAAAACGAAATTAGCTCGTAGTCGCATTGAATCGCAAAGTAATCATATCCACCGTTATACTAATAGATACGCACCCTTTACTCCTCTCAACTGCTTCACAGCTAATGTTATCGAAGAACGATTTCGACTTATCGTAATGAACAACCTCCGGTTCCTCCTCAGGCTCGCCTTCACCCGCACCTGTCTCGTTCCCGCTGTCGTCTTTCTTCTCATTGTCAGCACCGGCATCGATCTTCGTCTTTGCGAACTGTGACCTACGATGCAACACATACGTCAGAATGCCATAACGCGAGACGAGTTATTGTCTTTCACAGCCGGCCTCCCACTCAAGGCGAGCGTCGAGAATAACAGTGTAGGCTGTACTCTCGACGCTCGATCGTTAACGACCGCTAAATAAATGATTACGACATTCAGAGTGATCTTTTCTTCCACAGCAGGACGACGATGTTAATGTGATGCGTAAGCGGTGCGCGATCTGACAGAATCACGAACTGCTTTAAATTCACATTTGATTTACTCTGGCATGGTATCCACATTGGTCATTTCAAAGGAATACTTGAAATGAATCCTGCACGACCATGCCCCATGTTGAATCGCGAATGAACGAACGGGACGTCGATGCGCGAGAACGTTCGCGCTTACCTCAACTCCTCGAACTGGGTGTTCGCTTGCTCGAAATCATAGTCATTATCAAATTTCAACGTGTTCTTAGGCTTAGCAGCGTTGCCCGCTTGATTCGTGCGGAATCCACCGCGTCCCCTGCCACCTCTGCCTCTCATGTTTCCGCGATTCACCCAACCACCGCGGTTACCTCGGCCACCCTGAGCATGACCGCTCTGCCCCTGCATTTGCCCGTCCTGCTTCATCATATCCCTTTTCCCGTCATTGTACTGTGGCATGCCCGTATTGTTCTTAGTACCGTGACTGAAAAACACACAAGTGACAATTAAACACAAGTGTTGGGAACGGTAAGGATAACAGTGACTTGGTTTCATTTAATTCGTACAAATAATGAGACATAATCGAGCATATTAACAAGGCGATAAGAGTTTCAAGCAATTTCCGCAACAGCGATTTCCAGAAGAATGGAATTTTCATCACAGGAACGTGATGAACGTGAAATCTCACATTTTTTCGCTGTAAAATATACGAATTATTGCTCGAGCGAGAGATACCTGTCATGGTCGCGCCGAGGTGGTTGGACGGTCCTCATGTTCGATTTATCATTCAACTTTCCAATATTATTCTGCTGTTGCGACTGCTGATCGTGTCCTACCTGAATCCCCTGATCCATCGTAGGACTTTTCCTCGTCAGTAAGGACGACGTAGGGGTGGTGGAGCGTGAACCACCACTGATAAGATCTAACACACCTATTGCCGCGACACAGGTAAAGTCATTATGTAATACATGTTTCGACTGGACGGGCTACGGCAAATCGAGAACATCTATTGCATACAAGCATTCACGAGACATCACTAACGTGACTAATAACAACTCGACTATAAGGAAATAAAGGCATCAACCTTTCAATCCCAATTTGAAGTTAAAAATCGCACCGCTTTGCGGGAAAGTTGTGTGTGTGTATACAATATAAAAGAAATCTCTCGAGGATTGTAAGTTACTGGCATACACTATTACTGTTCTTGCTATTCTGTTACTTGTCACAGCGGCAATACGCATAAACGGAACAAAATTAAAAATATCATGCATTCGTTTTTTAAATAAATTATGAGAGAGTGCATGGAGTTAAATGTACAAGTTGAACAAACGTGTATATATAAATTCAAAGCGAATATTGTAAAAAATATTTTCCAAAATTTGCAAAACATGAAATTGTAAAATATGCAAAAATTTCACTGTGCATAAGTGCAAAAATTTTTATACAATATTGCACATGCAAGCCAAGCGAAGCAAGTATAAAGCTTGTAAAGAAATAATATTAGACATTTAAGTATAATGTTATAAGAACAGCATGTTTTCATTTCATAAATTAATTTTCATATATGACACGAAAAGGATCACTCGCGCACGCGACAAGTTATTAAAAGGTTTACTTTATGATTGTAAAATTTGTTGCCACAATATACAACATTCGATGGATTTCATCGAATATATCTAAAAGCCCCAAGTTGAATTATAAATTCAAAATGCATGAAATCTAAATACTCCTATTAAATTTTACAATATTAACTACATCACGCTTTTAAATTTCATTATCCAACCCATGTAATGACCAGATATATATTAACAATGCAGGATGAGAAGAGAATATGAAGAAGACTACGTAAGAAGCAAGAAAAAAAGGAAAGCAAAGTAAAATTATTGAAACTATTACGCTCATATTACGTTATGGTAGCAGTTTTAGATAAAAAGCATTACCAAGCAGCAAGCATGCCATTGGCAAGGAATACTTCATAGCAAAAACAGTTTACCATCTTCCAGAGATTGATCTTTTTGTATTGGGTCGATATTGGCCGTTGACAGTGAGTTTGGGATAGAGATGGCATTGGGTTCGGCAGAGCCCAAGCTCAACTCACTTGGCTGTTTATTCATTGCTCCACGGGGATCTCTAGCTGCGGTAGGCATTCCCATTACCGGACCCATTGCTCCCATACTCATACCATATGGGGCCCCATATTGGCCGCCCATTGGACCCATTTGACCCATCATTGGATGAGCATAACTGGGTTGTGGTTGATAAGACTGTTGACCCATAGTTGGTTGGACTGTCATCTATAAAGAATCACAATCAAATTATGCAAGTCTATGTGTAACGTAATTGATTTCGTCTTTCAAGTTGTGTTAATGTCCAATTCAAAATGTACACAAGATATATGATTGCTGTGAAAAAGATGTATGGAGGAACAGCATTAATAAAACAATTACCTGCACGATAGCTGGATCATTGGGTATAGAACTGACATTGTTGACAACCCTGATGTCCTTGATGTCAGATCCACGAAACAGGATGTATTCGTACACCTGATTTTGAGGTGCCACAGGGAGTTGAGTTTCCCTATCCTCAGTACCAAAGGAGCGCACTGTGAGAAGTACAATAAATAATTATTAATCTGAAACTTTTCAAGTAATAATAATACAATTAAGTGATAATATTACAATTTGAAGTAATAATATTACAACCTATTGTTTATGTGTGTGTGTGTGTGTGTGATGCTAAAAAAATATTATTTACTTTACATAAATTCACTGTATAATATACATTAGCACGATACTTGTTATATTTGTCAATTTTATCTAGAGAGGAATTTCATGTTTATAAATTTTCATGTTTATAAATTTTCACACACAGCTCAAGGCAAAATTCACAGAAATCAATGTGAATCCAAAGTACAAGAATAATATTTGTTTCTTACACTCGAAATTCTAAAGTCATTTGCCTATACGGTTAGATCTAACAGGACAAGAATAGCAAGGACATGTAAACAGGGCAAAGAAAGAGGCAAACATTCCACGTGTACGTTACGTGTACCAAATTGAAATTTAAAATTACATCTTCAGCAACGTACCGAACTTTTCCTAACTTTGCATACAATCGAGTACCTTCCGAGGTATGTCAGCAGCGTGACGACGAATTGTGTCGTCACTTTCGGAAAGTTACAAATTTCACATCAGCAGCCATCGTGAGACACAAAGGCGCCCCAACATAATTCCAGATCGACAAAAGGTGCGAGGACGGCTTTCGTCCGTTAATTCTGCACGCAAGTTCGGCGATTGCCAACGTAGCCAAATAACCGTAATAACAAAGCGGATCAAATGATGCCGGACGACTTCGATGGTCACCGGACACCTGGCATTTTCGCCGATCGCGCGACGTGATCGAACCTGTAGCTGAGATAACACGCGTCAGTCGTGGGTCTTCGCCGCTTCGCAAAGATCGGGCTCCACACACTTTCTCGAAACGTTCGTTGCGAGAGAGAAAGAGAGAGGTCCGGTCACGGCGACCCCGCTTGTTTTGCGACGGGCTGTCGGCGTCGGAATCGCAGATTCCGCAGCGGTGTACCGAAAGTTGGCACATTCCGAGGGACGGACGTCGGGGACGAGGATCTAGGATCGTTGTCCGCCCGGCGGAAGATCGAAGCCGGCGGCTTTTGTTAAGGTCCAGATTTCGGCGCCGCGGGCACGGGAAAATGACCCCTATGTTTATCCGCGAGCGCGGTAATGCGACTTGACGCGCGCTAAGTTGAGAGCGTGAGAGATCAAGACCGCCGCGGGGGTCTCGATATCCGTCGCCCCGAGACGTAGGCTCTCCGTCGTAACGTGAGACGGCCTCGGTATACGCGATACGTCGGCGGCGGGACGGCGGTGGATGATGCGGCGCGGTGTCCATCTTGGATTCTCGTACTCACCGTTAGCCAGGGCGATCGTGCACTCCTGCGGATCGACGGTGAACAGGCGGCCCTCATAACGAATATCCGCCTTCGATATTAAGCTGATCTTCGAGCCGAGCTCCGGCATTCCACCGCTCATCTTGACTCTTTCTCCGCCGCGCGCTGATCGATGTGATATTACTGGATTCACGACACCATCTGAAGCGACCTGCCAGCTGACACCAATGGTCGACGGCGAACTGCCAAGAGTACCAACCGCGCGACGCATGCGCCGCTACCCCCTCCCTCCGCCCGACCGCCATGACGGGGGCAACTTCAAGCCACGCTCGGAAATAACCGCGCGGAGCACCGTGACGAGAGATCGACGGGAAGATTAGCTGCGCTAATTCGTTCTCACGTAATGTGTACATTCAGCGCAGCAATGAGAGGTAAGGATGACGCTTTCTCCACATGTCAGCCGTCGGAGATGATCTAGTCATTCTCTCGTCTATGGCCGACGGCCTTCGAATCTAGCGAGGATCATGCGATGTGTCATGAACGTAAGGAGTTTCGTTCGTTGCCAATTTTATCGTGAGCAATTCCAAGTCGAACTCGTTCGAATTACACCGCTTTCGTCCTCCGTGAGAAGAAAGCGAACGCGAATAACGCGCAGTACGTAACAGCAAGTTGTTGCAATTACGTCTCGGCGGAACGAGAGCTCTCATCAAATTCCTGATTATCTCGGGATAATAAAGATGTGCACGGCAGATGACGGTAGAACTTGTGGTTTGAACTCTCGTACCTCATGGATCTTGAAATTGTTTATACAAACAAAACGCACGATATGCGAGAGAGCCAAAGGAACGAAACAGGCATACGTAGTTTGTCGTACGAAATGCGAGGTCGCAGGGTCAGCGAGAGGAAAATTCCGCGGCCGCGGATTCCAGGGCGTTTTTTACAGCTGCACTTTCGGCACTTCCTCGAAATTCCTCCTTTCCCCGCGAAAAGTGTAGCACAGTGCAATGTCGGAGAGAAGGCCGAAAGGAGAGGCAGCGCCGATTCGAAACAAGCGGACGTTCCTGTCGTGACGTTGGCGGCCTTGCTGCGACTCGACTGAAGTCATACTTCGCCTCGTGCGCGTCTCGTTTCGAGCCCGCTCGCGGAGGATTCGCGCGCGATCGATCGAGTTCTGTTTGAAATAATCGCGGAACGATTTGCCGCGACGAGCCGACCGCTTCGTCCGTCGCGCGTCGACCGAGCTTAACGAGCTCTCTACTGACTAGCACCTCGACATATCGGACATCTGGCCAAGATGGCGGCGACGTTAGGTCGAATTTGTAAATCGGGCCTTTTAAAGCCGAATTATGGCACGCTGATCGGCCAGGTAAGTGAACGGCGAACGTCACCGGCTCCGTAACTATCCCGCACGTTCCCTCGCGTGAATTCAGCCGACGACGACGCGACGTCGGTGTCAGGATATCGACGTTGCGTTCACCCAAGGGCTCCTCCGCGGGGCACCGCCGTACGGGTCGTCGGCTGCTGTGACAATCCCGGTTTCCTCGCGATATCGCACTCTACGGGACACCTGCGCGACGTCAGGGCGACGGCGAAGGGTGCGACGTCGCGCGACCTTCAGCTCGTGAGATGTTTCGACGACACTTTAACAGATGTTATATAATAGTGGGACGACACCGCAAATCGCGATGCTGCCATGATCAAACGTGCGTGCGTGAGACTGTCGCGGGTACACCTGAACGATGAGCGGCGAATAACGGCAGGTGAACGCGTGTCGTTAGCATATTTTACGAGTCAGCATGTGGTCGACGGATTTTCTTCCGTGCGATCGTAGGAGCGATAACGCACTGTCAAGTGTCACGACCGTCGGCTTCAAGCAAGTTGGAATTGAATTTTGTGCAGATTGTACATTGAAGCGCTAATCTTTGTGTCATCTCTTGATTTGATTTTATCACAATAATATGCGTACAGCGCATGAATGAATAGGAAGTTGGAATTTATCAGTCTGTTCTTGATATGTGAGGTATTAACATATCTTTGACAGATAGAAGAGAATACATATATACTTTTGATATTATGGATATTGTTCTATATAATCAAGTTTATACAGTTTGTATTTATAAGTGATAATATGACTATTTGAAATGTAAGTACCAGACATTTGTGAATTCAAAATAATTGAAGAATGAAAAAAGCTAATATGTGAAGACAAGTGAAAAATAAGAAACATTACTTGCAACTTGTATTCTGTATGTTGTGTTAATTTAGGTAGAATACCAACAAGATTTCTTTTTCTCTCTTTATAGGATATTGTATGAATTTATTATCTGAGTTTCTCAAATTTTGTCTCCATAGGCCAGCAATTTCTCCACGGTGAAAGATTGGTCGAGGGGTCGAAAAGTGGTATGTGAATTTAATTTGTCTTAATTGAAGATATCCCAACCTTGTCCAATTCTTTATCTGTCAGAAACAGCTTTATATGTTTTCACTGCATGCTCTAATAGTAAGTTAAGATATTCTTTATTCATCTATCTATCTTTTCAATAGATAATAATGTTATTATGTAATATGCAACAGTGATATTATGTAAACTAGAGTATATTATGTAAACTAGTGTAAGATAGCAGGTAACAATACCCTTATTGCTTTTATTTGCAGTTATTAACATGCCTAGGAGTAACAGCTGGTGGCATCAGTGCTCTTATCTATGCATTAGATAATTCTGTAAAAGCTTACGATCTGATAGCTCATCCACCAACATACAAATGGGATTTTTATGGATGGTTCAACTCATTAGACCATGCTAGGTACAAGTTTTTATCACGTAACATTCGCAGAAAGGATGAAAATGACCATTCTTGTTGACTTATAACGTTTTCCTCAGTTTGCGACGAGGATGGGAAGTGTACAAGAACGTGTGCGCAGCATGTCACAGTTTGCAATACGTGGCATATCGTCATCTGGTCAATAACACGCACACCGAAGCGGAAGCGAAAGCTATCGCGGAAGAAGTCTTGGTACAGTATCAAATATAAAAATCTCATGTGTGGTAATGTTACGCACGCGAGCTGTAATAGATATCGAATTTTTATAATACAGATCGAAGATGGCCCCGATGACACCGGAGCATACTTCATGCGCCCGGGAAAACTATCTGATTACGTACCATCCCCGTACCCGAATGAGGAAGCTGCCAGAGCAGCGAACAATGGCGCTTATCCGCCTGACTTGTCTTATATGGTCAACGGTAGGCACAACGGAGAGGTAAGCTATTCTTTCGCGCTATATTTATTCCGAGAAAAGATCGAACTTAAATTCCTCCGATAATCCTTCGATAACACAAATTTAACGCTATTGTGTATGCTACAATCATATTTTCAATATTATTGAATCCTCTCTTATTTAAAGATATATCTCACATTTTACAGAACTACATTTTCTCTTTGCTAACTGGATATTGCGATCCACCAGCCGGCGTCACTTTGAGAGAAGGACAATATTTCAATCCATATTTCCCAGGTGGTGCTATCAGTATGGCACAGGTGAGCTATTGAAATGTCGAACGAACGTTTTGGTCCTGGTACCTGGATCCTTTGTATTAGCTTTTTGTAAACTATGTTACAAACCTTATGATGCAAAACAACGTTTGATTCTTATTTGCCAGTAAATAATCAAAATTCTATTTTTTCATATTTCCAGGCTATTTATGATGAAATTTTAGAATACGAAGATGGTACTCCTGCAACTGCCTCACAAGTGACAAAAGATATTACCACATTCCTCATGTGGTCTTCCAATCACGAATTTGACGACAGAAAAAGAATGACTATCAAGGTAAATGATGACGATGTTTATGTATAGCCTTGGACAGAAAAGTTGTCACATTTTTTTTCGATCAGTTCGGAACGCAATAGGCGGTTCAATGAGAGAACTTGTCTTTCGAGAACGAGTTCTCTCATTGGATTATCGTTTACGTTCCGAACTGCATCGAAAAATGTGTGACAACCTTCTTATCCATGACTAGACCCTTTTTTTCACATTGAACTATCTCATCCCAATTATACTTTAATATCGATGATTTACAGGCACTTGGAATTATGGCAATTATCACTGCTGTTACATATTATGCCAAGAGACACAAATGGAGTACCTTAAAGTCCACGAAATTAATGTTCTATCCCAAAAAGTAGTGAATTTTCCCGTACGCGAGTTCATCGAACCGTTAACCAATGGATACTCGAAGATGGTAGCGTGCTGGTTTTCGGGATGTAGTTTCGCCATTTAAGCAATGTATCCGGCAAGTTGTGACTTCTCTGCGAAGATTCAAACTTATTCATATAGCATTCGACGATTCAGTCAATTTATCACCAATACCAAATCTATTCAATTGTACATTGTACATAGCTATGCTGAATGGAGTCATCGTCTGATTTAAATAAATTGTTAAACATATGGAATTTCCGCCCTTCTCGACGATACGATTTATGATTCTCGACACATGAATAACAGAATTTACCAAAAATATTTGCAGAAGTTTCGACCCGTAAAATCCAAGAATATTTTAATTCGAAAGATATAAGGCAATAATTTTGTAGACTACATCACATTTTCGTTTACATTTGATAAATATTTATAATGCAGTATCGTAATATGTAACGAATCAGTTCAGTGTGTTAAAATTGTTTTTACAGACCGTTCTCTGAATTCTCGCATTTTGAAACTATATAAGATCATATATATATATATATATATATAAGTTAGAAGTTAATTCATATATATACGAGTATATATAATACCGTATATATAAAACTGTATATGTATATATACAAGTAAATATCTAAATTCTCGAATGTTCCATCAAGCCATTACACTATATCGAAGTATCGATTCTAGGGAAGTTGAAGTCAATTAGCATTACATATGGTTTTAGTAAAGAAGGTAACACATTTCTAAGGAAATCATTTTATTCTCCTTAAGCTTGATTTCGTCCACATGGAGTTATAACTTGTTATTCCTTCAATAGGATGATTTAAATTACACTATTACATACCCATAGTGTAATACTGAAATGCAAAGCTGACAAAGAGGTATGTATGTATATTCCATTCCGGGCAATCGAAAAATTTCTTTTTACATTACACAAGAAACGTGGAGATATTTCAAAATCTACTTTGGTGAAACTGACTTTAGTCTATGAATAAAGACATCCTTTCGATCAATCGAACGACAATCCTCAAATGACATTGAAATAACTTATAATTATTCTCTTACTGTGTATGTGTGTATGTGTGTGTGCGCGCGCGCGCGCGTGTGTGTAGGAGCGTGGGGCGAACGTAACAAACACGTCGTTTTCGATATCGGAAATCATTAACAGGCTGCATACAACTCGATATCACTTTCAGTAATAATATGATCCACATAATTTATCATTGTAATTGCACTAAGGAGTGAGATAAACCTGATTTTGTAACAATTAATACGCAGCTTGTATACTTTACACGGTGTGTTAAGAATTAAGTATGACTCATTAATAATTATAATTATAATAATAAAAATATATAATAATGATACATCAATTATGAAGCCTGGATCGAACATGAGCATTGTTCACGCAGTGATCCCCTTGCATTTTAATGGACACGATCCAAGTACACGCGTTGTACTTTCGGCTCTTATGTATGTTCAAATACATAGATAGCAACTAAAAGTTGTTCATCCACGATGCTTCATACACTGATGTACCTCACCATGCAGCATGATATACCACATTCGTCATACAGGATTATTATAAATCAAATTGTCGCTTATCCGTCGGTTACAGAGCGACGTTCATCGATTATGAAACATAAATCGTACGATGCGACAGGCCGTTTTTAGAATTAAATTTCTCAACCGAATGCGCGCAACGCGTACACGTTGTTTATTTAACTTTGTCGAAAGATCGTTAGTTGTTCTCGCATTATTTGAAATAGTACGCAGCACAGAAAACGTAAAATGAATGTATAAATTTACGGTCCGGAATTTACAATTATTGTTCATTTCTTTTTTTCTACAACAGCACTGAGAGAGTGAGACACCTCCGCAAGAGATGAAATGGCACTTACGCGCAAACGGAAAAAAAAGTCTTAAAACGGTGCACAATACACAGGCGTTACCCTTCTCTCGTTTAAAAAACTTCGAAGGCATAAGTTATTCTTACTGATTAGCTCGTTTTTCTTACAGTCTGTTTCAAGTTTTAAGATTCAAAATATGATTTTTTGTTTGCTTTACATCGTACTAGCTTGAAAAGCTGGAGCGAAGTTTCCTTGGATCAATTCGCGTTGTTTACATGCAATCCGTGCATAAATATTAATTAACGTATACTCAGTTTCACTACGGTTTGAACATTTTTTCTTTCATACATTTGAGAACTTAGCTGATAGTCTAATGAGAGAATTGATCAAAAACAAGTTCTTTCATTGCTACGTTCCGAACTATATTGAAAAAAAAAAATGTTCAAACTGTTCTCAAAACCGTTTAAAAATGTATATGCAAAACGAAGTATTGGGAAATATCCGTAGGGGACGCTAAATTCTTTCTTTCATTGCAAAATTCCGATGAATCAGCTTTGTTTTGTCAAACAAAACTGTTAATTTCTCTATCTAGCCTATGCATAAATTCAGTACACTCATTCAACTTTCCAAGCTATTACCTCCTCCCTCCTTTCACACAAAGCTGTTTTTTCTTTATTTTTTTTGTTTTTTTAAACATACATCTTCAGCGGGCACCCATTTAATATTATTTGGTACCTTCAATTAGATCTCGCCTCATGCTATTGCAAAAAGGAAGATGTCTCTGTTCATATGGTTAGGCTAAAAAGTGCTGCCCTCCGGAGGCTGAGAAAGTTTCATATTTTCCTTCAACGTCATCAGACGACGAAGCTCCTGAAGAACTGTCTTAATTGTGTATTCTCGCTGCCACTTTGCGAGAACTGGTACACTGCGATTATCCACCTTGCAAATTTTATATGTTACCTCATACATATACATTCAACTGATACAAATGCATACTCACAGTTCAATACTTACAGCTCCAGTAGCACTGTTAATGCAATTCATATTGATTCTGCTTAAAAATCTAACATTAGGGGCATCGTCTGGATATCTTTGACCGCAGTCAATTTTTAAACTATACATCCTATTTTCATAAGGCGTCTAAAAAATATAAATGAGAAATTACATTAGATACATGCGGAGCAATAAGATAATCCATAAACTTCTATAAATCTGGCGCAAACATTCAATTTCATAACTAATTCTTTGCTCATTTCTTGATTTTTATACAATAAACATTTCCTACTTAACATATCACATGGTATAGCCATTGACAGCGGTAACCTTTATCTGACAATGAAAAATTTATTGTCTTATTACATTCGATGAGGATGCAAAAGAGATGCGGAAGAACAATTATCTCTAAAGTAGATCTCGCAACCTAGCTTAGTTTTTTTTAATCCAAGAGAAAAAAATTCTCATAAAAATGGCGCTATATTAAACATAAGACGTAACATCAGATTTATACTGAAGGAAACAATACGAATGAGAACTGTTTTCCTTACCCTAGGCGGTCCAATTATCATACCCGTCCAGTGCGTGAGGGTCATGTCATCGTCGTTCTCCAGGCCCCAACTGATGGTGCCATCACCCACACCTTTCTGCCCTTGCTCCAACTCTTCCAAGAGACGAAAGTTCCGGGGCACGACTGCAACGTGTCACGCTCTACAGTTGCTATAATAATGTAAGTACATCGGAACGGCCGAAAGAGTTGCGCGACGTTCGCGCTGATGCAGAGGTTATGGCTCTTGGAGGGATATTGAGCATGGTTAACCTTTCCCGCTGTGTCGTGTTTTCGAAATTGACGGCGGTCGTTCGCGTGCGAGGTCGCGGGATCGGTGGCGATATCGTGACGAGAAACAGTACCGGCAGCGCGAGAATTCTGCGACCCGTCGTCTCTGAGGCGGTTCTCGTTAACACAAGAGAAATACAGGCAAGTCGTAATGATCGTCCGACTGTCTCCGTGCTGTCAATTCGCGTTCCTCGCTAGCGCAACAAGCCGGACGATGGTCGACGGATCGTCCGGATACGCAGCCGTGCGCGACGAGGCCGCGGGCGTCGCGATAGCGCGCGTCTTTTCGCGCCCGGGACCTGGTTAACGAGATATAACTCACCTACACCGGTGTTGGGCACCGCCATGATCTCGTATTTCTGCGAGGCGCCGTATTTTTTTCCGGAAGTACCCAGGCGGGCGAGCGCACCGTTCGCGGCCGTGCGCGGCGATTCACGTGGTGGGCTGGCGCGGCTTTAACTGCGGTGCGGCGTTTTCATCACTCGTTCAAGCGAGGCGTGTGATATCCCAGCGTGTTGCGACGGTATCTGCCTGGCGCTTATCCGACAATACGAAAATACACCTTGCGCGTATTCAGCCAACCTCCGCAAGAGATTGCCCGTCTCCACGGACTAGTCATTCTCTAGATTACGTTACCGCATTGGTGGGCGAGCGCGGCACCACAGCAACCGTGACTCATTATCGAGGTCCGCTTCTTCCAATTGTGCGCTCTCTCTGCACTTTGTCCATTTTACTCCCTCGCACTCTTCCCGTACTTCGAATATACCCAGATAGACAGAAATGCTGAAAACATAGTACGAAAATATTTCATGTACGCTTTGCGAGATGCCGTTGCGACAGCGCATGTTTAAAATATGTTTGTTTGAAGAAATACTCATTTGTTACGCCATAATTTTCATCAAAGTATTGACTTATTATTATAGTAATTCCAGATTAATTGTGCCGTACTTCGGTAGTATAAGTAGCAATATTTATGACATCAGAATATCGCCGCAATATTGCCACAATATTGACACATTTTCACAGCATCAGATGATTTTTCCCAAGTAATAATGTTAGTTTCATGTACGTTCTTTAAACATATGTAATACGATTATGAAACGTTACTTATGTTTAAAGAATGTATATGAAACTAACATGTGCTACCAGGATTTATACAGGGTGTTCCAGATCAACAGGGATTAACTTCGTAGAACAGATTGAAGTGAGTGAACAAGTTTTCTACCATTTTGGAAACAACACGCAAAATTTGGAGTTATTAATTATTGAAAATGGCCATGTATAGAGGCTTCTTTAATTAATAACACAAAAATATGCGTGTTATTTGCAAAATAATAAAGGTTTTTTTTGCTTAGAGTGGTAATAGCTGTTATATACTTGTAGATTAGTCCACTCTGAAAAAAAAAGTCCTATACCATTTTGCAAATAACACACAAATTGCTGAGTTATTAGTTCCTATACAACGTTGCAGCAATGTTGCTGCAAACTTTTATGCTATATGGATTAAAGAATCCTCTAAATATGACCATTTTCAATTATTAATAACTCGAAATTTTGCATGTTGCTTACAAAATAGTAAAGGACATTTTTGTTCACCTCAATCCGTTCTACGTTCTCACGAAGTTTGTCTCTAAAACATTCTATATATTGACAAAATGTTTGTTATATAAGAACGCATTCTCTAGTCAAGAGAATATATCGAAATATGTCTGTCTAGGTATACATTCCCAATGCAAATCGGCGTAGAGAAGTGTAATCGAAACGAAGTCGTAAGTTTGTTCTCATCAGGCCGCACTCTTTTGAATTTACTTCCCCTCCCTCATTTTCTCACTGATACACGAAAGTTTGTGTAATCGTAAAGTCAATAGTATAGCATGCAGCGGAGCGCACATGAGACGAACATATGATTACGGTAAATTTTTGAGTCGCCCGATTGGTCGCAAGTTTTTCCGGTGACAGGTTCAAGTGTCAACATTTGAATTTGATGTCCTGAGGAAGCGTCAGAGGCGCCAACGTGGCCACATCCGCTCCTGAGGCATAAACTTGCCGGCGAGTTTATTGTACGTCAGATCTGCTCCAGCCGGCTGCACTTTGTTACACCTTCTGTACTCGAAAACAGAAACAAACACATGTTTTACGACTTGGCGGGAAAGAGAGGGATAGAGTGAATTGTCGGCAAGTGCAGTTGCAAGGTGCGGAACGCTCCTCGGGCGATCGTGGAGCAGAGAGCGGGAGCGAGCGAGAGGGGAGAGCGGCTGACGCACGGCCGATTGGCCAGCCTGGCGACAGTGGGGCAGCGCCGCGCGACACGGTGGGGAGACGCGCAAGCGGCAGTGTGTGGTATCGCGCCGTCGTCGCCGGTTGGTTGCGCAGGAGCAGTCGCGAGTAGTCGCGAACAACGCGAACGCAGACCAGGAGGGTAAGCCCCCGGTAATAATGAACTGGCCGCGATAACTATCACTCGTTTTCGTAAGTGCATTTCGTTGCGAGCGTTGCGATGCGCCGTGCGGCGTCGGTTTTGTGCGTACGGGAGAGGTGTGTCGTCCGCTAGACGCTCGCCGACGACGTCCCGCCCGGAGTCGTGGATTACTCCAAGAGGACGAGCGAGGACGACGACGAGGCCGACGAGACGCACGCGGTGGAGTACGAGAGATACGGTGAGAGAGCCGATTATTACGCTGCATGTCGCGCGTGTTTTGGTCACCGGACACTCGCGCGGCGTCCGCCACCATAATAAACAAACGCGAATACGCCATTGACCGGCAAGCCGGTTCCGGATTTGCGTGACCTTCTCGGAATCGCCCGACGCGGCTATGTCGTCGTGATATATACGCTTTTCGAGAGCGCGATTCGCGCGAATAATTCGATCGCTTCGAAGGAAGACAGGCTACTCCCGGTGGTAGTGCCCTGCGTGGCCGGCGGTGCACGCCATTAGCCGTGCGCGCGGACGATTATGTTGTTTTCGATCGCGAGCCCGGCTTGCATGGGGGCGTTACATTTATGTGGACGATGGGGAGACGTTCCTGACATTGATCGTCGTTACTGTCAAGTCGTTACCACGCTCGCGAATAATTATAATGAATAGCACGGCGCGACTTAACGGCGCGTGACGGCAACGATAAGGGCAACGGAGGACGGGATATCGTGGGATTGTATTTTGAACAGATATTTGAGAAAGCGCCGATAGCGTCTAGAGGAGATTTCAACGCATCGTCGCGTTCTTTTCGCGAGAGATAAGTCATTATATCGAGCGTGTCGACGTCGACGTTCAGCGTTACTCGAGCGAGAGAGAATATACTTTGCGGGCGCATAATACAATAATCATCGAGGCGGTGGCTGGGAGGAAAAAAGCACACCAAGCAAGGAATCCCGTTTGCCTGGAAAGATCGAAAGTTCGTCCCTCCATCCTTTCTTCTTTTTCCAAAGTCATTTGAATCGCAATTGTCGCGAAGTAAGCCGCGAGACAAAATTAAATATTCAAATGTTCTCGGTGGGTAACTCGTAAGGTCGAACGTTATCGACGTCGACCGTCGTTCGAACGAGAGAACAATTTACCGAATGCATGATAATCAAGGCGGTGGCTGGAAAAAGTTTCACGCACAACGAGAAATCTCAGAAAAAAAGTCCTCCGTGTTTCGAGAAGAAAAAAAGATAAAATTGAACGCTCATTTATTTTGAAAAGCCGATGGCAGAACCGCGGTTGCTTTGAAGCGCGCTACGAAATGGAATTAAATTTTCAAATGCACTCGCGCTATGGATCTGTTCCTTTTAGCGGCGCTATGTCGCGCTTTCTGTGCTCGAAATAAAGTGCGTATGTAGTTGAAATTTGATTCAGGAGGAGATATGAGGGGGAGGGGAGAAATATCGCGAAGAAATATAGAACGTACAGACGTGCCTTCTCTTGCGAAACGGGGTTCTTCCTTTCCGCTTTTATTCAACCATCGCACCTCGATCGTGCGTAAAATTTCTGAAAAGATGTGTATATAAATACAGGGTGTCCTAAAGTTCTCGTATGCGGAGTATATAGGGAGAATTTTGATGGCAATAGAAGTATCTTCTATATAGTATCTGCGAAATAAGCGATTGAAAAAATGGGATTTTTTCGCGAGCTAAACTTCGAGCGAAAAATAGGTAGCAAAATTATCTTCTTCGGTCAATTTCAAGTAGACTTTACTTGAACAGAATTTTAACCTAAGGCTTAGTTACAAAAATATGTTATGTTGAAAATCGAAAAGTTTCTATAAATAATGATCCTTCTCGATATTTTCGCTAAGGAAAGAGTTACTTCCTTTGCTATGAAGAATCTTCCTATACACTCCACATGCGGGAATTTGGGGACACCCTGTATATATATAAATATTTACATGATAGCCGAAGAACATTGATACGTGCGGTTTACGTCGAGCCACGTTTTGAATATGATAATGAGTATGGTAACATGATATCGGTTATTATTTTACGTCGATCGCCGACATCGATCACTCTTCACGTGACCGTTCGAATTACGGAAGGGCTTACGGTCGTTGATTTCCGTCGCTCGGTGCTTATTCCCGTGTATATTTCGCTCTTATATTCGCTACGGGCATTAGTCACTCATGGAAACGGGGAATGTACTTCCTTACGTTTTCTTATCAGCAGGGCGTAACCGCCTGATCAAGCGCGAATAGATGTGCAATTTCCGGATGTGCACATTCCGCCGACAAATTTTTCCTGTAATATTTGAGAAGGGCGTCTTTTTTCGTTTGCACGTTTTGTTTAATCAATAATACGGTTCGTTCGGCTTTACTTTTACGAAAAAACGAAAATAGTGGATGTCTGTGAACGAACTGAAAATAATTCGGTCACAGGAAAGTTGCGCGTCGTTTTTTTTTCTATGATTCGAAATTTTACATGAAAATTTTAGATTCTTCCATAAACCTCGCAAATACTGATTTGCGCTTCTAATTATGAAGAAAGAATGTCGTTTATCTATCTATTGGTTATATCTGCTCGTCAATCTTTATTATTATTTAATACCTGTTTATCACGCGTACTTTATTTATGGCTAATTTATTTAATTTATATATTGTTTATTGAAATTAAAATAAAGATCAAATGCATATAAAATATTGAGATAATCGAATGTTAAGTGATTTTGGAATCAGTCCTTCAAGTTAATGTGGAATCACACCTTTAACTCGAGTAAGTTTTGACACAAACAAAAATTGTGAAATTATTATCGTCGAAGCAACATTCAACGCGATCGAATGTACGAAGAATATAGGGAAGAAAAAGAAAAGAGATCTAGAGGTAGCGCGGTTTCATAACGTCAATAAATCGTATTTCCCTGATGAAACGATAACAAAAATTACATCATTATAACGTCGTACTAACGTTACATCCATTACATCGAGCAACAAAACGGAATCGCCTTTCTCGAGGGTAATGTAATAATCTTCGTTATCCTCATTAAACCTCTTCAATAACACGTCCCTTGCCAACACTGAGGGTCGTACTGTCCCGCCGTCATTTGCAGTAAATAACGACAGAGCGTGTAAGACAACGTTCAAGTTAAAGCTGAGAATCAGAGCCGGAATTATTGGGCGGTGTTAAGCGACTCAACGAGGCCGTTCGGATGAACGGGCGAAAATTGAATGTAACGAGCGGCCGATCGAGGCCGGCTTAAATCGACGTGCAGGTCTGATTTAAGTTTAACCACGGAGCCCTTACGGTCGATTGGCCGACCGCGCGGCCAACCTCGGCTTAACCTTTAAATCACGTTGGCGGGCGCTCGCTTCCATCGGAAATTGCACGCGTCACCGTGCATCCTTGCGGGATAAATATCGCAAGAGGGAGAGATAGGGATAGAGGGCAAGAGGAAGGAGGAAAGAAAGAGAGACCCGGCGAGATTGGCAAGCGCGAATTGGTCGCGAGAGGCTCACAAAGGCTGTGCGTATCGCGTGAAATCGCGCAACTTGAACTTCACAACGCGTTTAAATACGCGATCTTAATTTGAATCAACGTGGAGAGTTGATCTCTTGAACTTTCAGCGGAGTTCGCGCGCAGTTAATTTCAATTATTAATATTTAATCAATTTCATGAAAGCTCGATTGTGACAATAGGCGGGAGCAAGAGGCGGCTTATTCACCGCTGAAAACAATTGAGAGCTCGCCTCTTCAGACGCTTGTATTATCTAGTAAATGCTGGGAGCATCGATGTAAAAATTATATCTTTCTTTTCATGGTTAATTTCATGAAACTTTAAAAGTTGCTACTACAAAATCATCAATTTAATGATTAAGTATGAATAGAAAAATACAATTTTTGCATCATCTGTTTAAGTCTAAACCACAAGTTAACCAGGAAATGAAAAGCCTGGTTTAAGCATTTAATCTTAATCTTCGGCATAAATATACTTTGCATTATGGATATTCACTTTCTGATACGTGGATCAAGTTGTAGAATTATCAGAACTGTTCTCAACGCGATTTTCCAATTGTTTTCAATAGTATGTAAAATATTTTCTGTAAAATAATATTCTGGACTTTTTATATATTATATTGTAAATCCTGAATAACCCGATAATGATCGAAACACGATATAATGTACACGAGAAGATTCTGCAACGGCACACAAAACTACGAGAGCGAAGTTACAGGTACTTTTGCATCACTCAGTTTGTGTAAAATTTCTCATATAACAGACGATTGCCTACGAAGCGAGCCGTAGCCGACTTTCCTCGCTCATAAATTCGTCATTACGCGTGGCGGCGATCGGCACGCGCGCGCGCGGAGCTCTTTGCGTCGTGTACGGCACGCGCGCGCACCACGCTGCGCTATGCAACGCGAATGCTATCATTCATGTTCGATATCGGTGTACCGTGAGGGACATTAATCAGAGGTTGCGCGATGCAGAGATAAATTCGTTTCGTGCTCGCGGGGAAACGCCGCGCGGCAATGAAAAGGGAAAGGGAATCGAACGAAACCTCCATTTCGTGCGTTTGCAATTTGCGTACGTGCATGCGTTTAATCGCCGATTCCTCGAGAAGTGCCGTTGTGCGGGGAAATACACGTCATACACGGTGTGCGCGAGCTTAAACTGACGCACTGGCGATACTTCGTTATCGCTTATCGGTTTAATTATTCGCGTTTGTCGCGAATAGCGGTCTCGGAATACTAAAAAGAGCAGTCGGAAACGTTTTAACGAAGACATATAAATTTCACGTAAAATCTTCGATGTTTATGTAAAGAGGATGTTCACGGGCGTTAACGTCTTCTTTTCTGCATATTTCACGCGACCTGTAAATTTCAGGATAGGAGAAAACGACACGGAGAAAATTTTACAACTTGGCGATATGATAAATTTAACATTCACTCCGTTCTCGTAACAGCTTTACGAGAATATAGGAACACCGGTTTCGATCATCTTTTTAACTCGCCGATCCAATTATAGCGTCGGCTATCTATATTTCACTAAAATTAAAGCTCACAGCTCTTCGGCCGTATAATTGCGTAAAAAGGCGACTCTTTGCGACTCTCTCTCTCTCTCTCTCTCTCGTAAGGCGCGACACGCTCGGAATGAGACACGCCAAAACAGCTGCTCGCTGACGCATGAATGGCCGCCTTATAAACCTGACGTTTTATGGAAGCAGCTTTTTTTACGGCCGTCGACGAAAAATG